ACTTGAGTCCCTGGCATGCGATTCCGAGTTGAGTCTGGAGTCTTTGGGGCACGGGTCCGATTTGATTCTCAAGTCTCTGCTTCGCGAGTCAAAAGTATACCCCTACTAAAAACCTGTTAGGTTGGATGCAGCTTCAAACAACAAGCCTTTCATTATAGAGAGCTGAACTGAAATGAAACATATATCAGTCAACATGTGACTTGAGTCTGTGTAGTGATGCACGACTCTGGGTTTTCGGGACTCTTCGACTCTACTTAATTTTAACCAAGACTGCACCAGAGATGATGATAAAGGGATTTAGCAGAAATTAGACAATTCTAAATGTAGTTTACCTAATTTTTTGAGTAGCTGCAGATAGTAACATGAAGAAAATTCATAGATTACCAAGTAATATCAAGTAGATTGACAAACTTACTGATGTTTCAACACATCTAACCATCAGCCTATTTCACATAATGAGTGGTGAGGTGTGATGTACTGAGAAAGTTACTGTAGTCACATTTCTTAAAACATTTACAAATTATTATTTTTAAATGAGCCTGAAGTTGGCTTCGTATTTGCCAGCTTCTTATTCAACTTTTCCCTTCCACCTTAAATGACACACCGCTTACCTTAATGGTACACCAGCGCTGGAATGTAACCAATCCAATAAAGGTGGAATGGAAAATTTAAATATGAAACTGGCAAATAAGACTTCAGCTTCATCCTCTTTTCCACAACGTTCTGTGAAAAATATTGGTTAACATTTACTATAGAATACTGTTCATAAGCGTGCATGACACCTATGTAATCCTGTCATGACAACTGTGATAACCCTACATAAATGTTTACAAATGCTTACTCCAATAGGCATCATCTGTCATAAAGGCTAATTTTCATCAAATTTTGGCAAATGTCACTTTTATGGTGTATGACTTCATTGGTCACTTTTATGGTGTATGAATCTACTGCAATAAGCATTTATAAACATTTATGTAGAGTTATGTCAGTTAATATGACACAGATATGTACGTATCATGTAGCCTTATTGTTGTAGTTTAGCAATATTGTTTGTTTTTGGTTTCCTTTTTTGTTCCTTGTACTGTTTCTTATCTTTTTTTTATTGTAAACCTTACCATAAAGAAAATGTACAGTTGGGTAAAGATTGGTGCAGGACCTATTGAAAACATTTTTGTGACCACAGTTTGTGCTTACAGCAACTAGTAAGCAGTGCGGGCCTGGTAATGAAACAAAATCATGCAACTCAAACTCTGTCCCGTATTGCACGAGCCTCTGTCAAAATGCCCTTCAAGTCAATTACAGTGAAAAACAAGGAGTCAACTTGGAGTCAGAAAGCTGACTCCAAGCATTTCGACTCTCAGAGTCGCAGTCCAAGAGACACAGACAGATGAGTCGAAGAATCGATTTCTTCTGGAATCGACTCCCCAATCACTAAGTCTGAGTCGCTTACTTGCGGCCTCATCTCTGGTGTGTGTGTGATACTTACACTGCTCCTCCTTGGTGTAGTAATACTCTTTATCAATGTGGATGCGGTCATCCACAGTGTGTGACAACAGCTCAAATGAATTCATCACCTCGATGTTTCTTCCCTCCTGCTTCCCTATCAGAGCTCCAATCACTGCAACACCGTCACAAATTAACATTTAGACATGTCAATATTACACAGTTTAATTGCACTTTAGTGCTCAGTTTACCTGGTCTCTCTCTCACCTTGCATGGCACGGCCCTCCTGAGAGCGAAGCCGGATCCAGTGGTCCGAAATATTCAGGATGACAAGAGGATGGAGTGCCACAGACACACTCCCTGTTACTCCAGATGCCATCACACTAGGACTTGCTAAACAGACAGACAGACACACACACACACACATTTATGCCCAACCTAAATGTCCAGTTATCAACAACAGAGGATCCAGCACTAAAGAAATATGACACAGACTGACACTTAGCAGAACAGGATGAAAAGCTTTTGAGAGCAACCTGGACAGCAAAGAAAACAAACAAATGAATTCTTGACTATATCAAGCCTCGGTTCTCACTTGAAGCCCAGATAACCAAACTGAAGTTTATTTTGGAAATGTTCTGAGAAGAACCAATTTATTGGAAAAGACCACTATGCTGAAAGAGTTGAAGGTAAAACAGAAAGAAGACGACCAGAAGACAGGATATTCTGGAGAAACTTTATCCATATAGTCGCCAAGAGTCAGAAACAACTTGACAGCACAATAATAATAACAACAACAATAATAATAATAATAATAATAATAATAATAATTGTAATAATAATAATAATAATAATAATCTGGTCTTCTTGCAGACATGCAAACTTAATGTGTGCATTACTACATTATTACGATGAAGGGTTGCCCATTCATCTGGGCTGACAGGGGGACAATGCAGACTTTTTATGAACTTTCAGAACTCCACATGACATAAACTAAATGGAAGGATTTCCAAAAAGTAATAAATAAAAAAATTGAGACAAACAAACAAAAATGTCTTCCGAACAAAGTTATACATAATTCACATGTAAATGTGCAAATTTCAGTGTCTGTATTAATCATGTAAGCAAGTCAGGCTGAAGTGCCTTCTCATAAGCTCATTTTATACGCTTACAGCCACGTGCCCTCGCAGATTGAATGTGGCGATGTTTAGCACTTCAGTAGATGTTACAAAAAAGGCAATGTCAAGTTTAAATATATTTTACACAGGGTTGAACAATATACCAGTTTATTAATTGAATGATACAACTGACATATTTTTCATCAATACATGAGAAAGTACATAATTATGTAAAACGAATGAAAGATCCATCTTTTAGTTTTAGGCTGTTTTATGCTCAATGATATCAGGATCATATTGGTATCTTCAGATATTATTATAAAAAAATAATCAGCAGCAAAGAGATGTGTAGATTTGACCGACATTTCAAACTACATTTGTATGCTTATAGAAATACATGTCATATTTTCTTTTATAAAGCAAGTAGTCCCAATTTCTACATTTTATAAATGTTTATGTTTTTGCGTAAGCATCAGAAGGGTACATAAACAATATAGGATATCTGCATCGGCCCACTCTTCCCATAATGATGCATCCCTAGTAAGTGATACTAATTTTCAATCTACCTTCCAGTTTACTTACAATCATACCACATTATGACATTAAAGTTGTTTTGGTAGGCAGTTGAAAAGTTGGAGAAACACAACCGATTCACGTTAGTAGTTAATGATTCATTTCTAATCCAGTTTAAACCATTAACTATATGCTTTAACTGTTGACAACATTCACTGTAGCCGCTGTCAAGCCCGTCCTCATTCGTATGAGCCAATCAACGCGGAGATTTCGATAATGGGGCGGGATGATAGAAGAAACCATGCAATCATAAACAAGCTCAAGTATGGGCGAGCCAATCAGCAACGACTACACCGTTTCCCTACGAGGGCAGCAACTCAGGACCACAAGATCCGGACATTTAGCCTGAATATATCACGTCGCCGTGTGTTAAGGTACATACAGATAATCTAGTATAAGCTTGTGAACATTTCTGCAGTACGCAGACACAACAATTTCAGCATTTACACCTGTAAATAGTGAAAATTTCCCACCTGCTCCGTCCACCTCCATCACTCCGCCGCTGCTGGTCGCCATCTTCTCCGGCTGAGTGAGGCGCATGCGCAGTGCTGCTCATTTACTGAGTGCGATTCTTCCCTGCGGCCGTTGGAGTCGCTCTAACGATTCAATAATACACACAAGCATTATATTCTGGGCTTTAAAGCATTTAAAGAGCCCATAACCTACATTTTCATGTATTTTTTTTCCACGAGGTCCACGAACAGTTTTATTAAAATGGGCTGATTTTGCAGCTTAGTTTCCTTGTGTGGACTGTATGGATTTAATAGTGAAATGGAGATTCCCAGTCCATGCTGTCCGTTTATGGAAAGTAAGCTGCAGAAATCCATTTTGATTTTTTTTGATGCCACCTATTTAGCCTACAGCAATTAAGCCACGCCCAGGAGTGCTTCAGTCTGGACATCTTACTGAATGTGACACAATCTTGGACATCCAATCAGAGGCTATTTACATATACCAGTTTTAAAAACAGTAACAAAAACAGCCTGTTTAATTCGAAGGAAGAAAGAGACACCATGTAAAAATGAATTATGTCATATGTGGACCTTGGTGTGAAAAATACAAGAATAATGTAGGATATGGGCCCTTTAACAGTATTTACATGCTCCATAAGACCCTTGTATTAAATAATAATATTCCAAAAATCGGTCGTTTAGAGGGGAATTCCACAGAATTTTCGTCTGCATAATTCAGCGGTTGAAATGTAAATAAAGTCGTTCAAAATGGTTTGATGTGAAATGATTCATTTTTAGAGAAACTTGCCGACTTAGTGATAGGAACCAGGGGTTGTGATGTCTACAACACAAATACAGCCAGTGAACCTACACGTGTCTTCTCAGTTTTTATATGTAAATGTTTATGATGGCAAAATAGTGTCAAATCTAAAAAAGATAAGATAAGCATTAAAGCCATCACTCATAGGTTAATTCAAGTCTTGTGAGCCCTCATTTATCACAGATAATTCTAATTTCTAATTTATCGTAGGTGTGTAATTTGGTCGAGTCTGAATGGAATTCATCAAAAGGGTAGCTGTTGTGTATTGAACATGAGTGTATATTGACCATAGATGCTTCACAACACATTTTTATTTAAGGAGATATTGTACATTATGTACTTAAATTCCAGGGGTGCCAATAATGGTGGCCAGACATGTATAACCATTTAATGTAATAACCTTCTGTGAATTAACTTTTAGAGGTGGACGTCTGACTCGTATCACCACCATTGTGAACAATTCCGACTCGGCATGTTTCTTTAGAACGAAGCATTTTAAACCAAACTACTCCGAATGACTTCGTTTACATATTAACCATGTAGTTATGTATACATTTTGAAAAAGTTGTGGACTTCCCCTTTAAAGCGTCAGCTCCTCTGTCTTTAAGAACGGTTGCTGTGCGCTTCTCCGCCACAGGAGAGCGCGGATGTAACACATCCAGTACCGGGGGGCGTTTCACTGTGTTAAATCAGGACAAAGTGAAGGATCCACGAGAAAGGAGGAGAGTGATAAAGGAGCAAATCGGAGTTTGCAGTGACAATGTCTCGTAAGGAGAGTTCCCCCCGAGCGCAGGTAAGATTTATACGCATACTCAAACACACTTGCACACACACACGCACACGCACACCCTCTGTTATCACTAATCCTTTGTTGTCTGGTTCATTTGGTCCATTGTGTTTTCCACCGCTGCTCCTGCAGCTCTGCACTGCTTTAGCACATGTACTAATCCTCATATAGGGCCTTTATTAGAGATGACGGTGTCAGTGTATGAAAACACTTCAATGTGTCCTCACAGCAGCAGTGATTCAGGTCTATAGTTTAGTGGGTGTATATGTACACATATAACAGCCTGCATGTATGTGATGCTCTGAATGAAATTACAGCAGGTCCTGATTAAACTGGGGTGGAGGGTGGAGTGATCTTATGGGCGTGCTCCTCTTTGTGGAGATGCTGCAGACGCTCTGACTGACCCTGCAGTGCCTCTGTGTCTGATATGTAGTGCAGCACATTGGGCGTGGAGGCGCTTCCATGTCCCGTATGTCCACAATGGGGTGGAGGAAGTGAGCCGGTATCCTTGGCAACAGCTAGAGATTTGCGGGGTGCTCTAAGGTTTGTCTCAGCAGCATTGTCAGATTTCTCGCGAGATTTCGCGATATCAGCGCTCATGGAGGTTTAACGTAGGCTTGAATCTCAAACGGCTCCATACTCCCTATGTAGTGCACTATGTAGGTCTTAAAATAACTGCTTCCACACTCAAATAGTGCTTTGTATGCCTAATAGAAAACCGCTTAGATTCAGCCAAAGTTGTACAACACATAACACGCATTTATTGTGGTATTTCCCTGTAGAAGCCATAGGTTTATGACCTATGAAGGGAGCAAGGAATGAAGCAATTTTTACGGGAAGGGCACAGTTTAAGGGGAGCCTGCCCATTTCCTATTTTTCCCGTTATATCAAAAATCGTTGAACAGGGTTTAAATGGTGCTAAATGACTAAAACTAAAAATGAAACTTGTTTGTAACCGTTTGGCGGGACCCTCCTTTAATTTTGGAAAGTAGAAAGATTTTGGGCAGTAGGACTCTAGCATTATTGCTGCTAAGTGCTGATTGGTTAGCAATACTGCTACCCAGTGCTGATTGGTTAGAGAGTGGAGCAACTCATTGGCTGAGTACACACTTACTGGAGTCAGGAACGTATATAAGGTGCCGTTACAAAGTCCTGGAGTTCAAAGCACTCAAAAATAGTAGTGTTGAAATATTCTATGCTGTTTTGTGTTCCAAAATGACTGTATTTTTGTATAGAACTTATCAAGTATTATCACACTATGATTTTGCCTCAAAGCTCTACAGGAGCTAAAAGCTTACAGGACTTTCTTGGGAGCGTCCTCTAGTGCTGATTCCCTGATTGAGCCATAGTCGCATTCCATATGTCTTCAAATTTAGGCCAGTGTGAAGTCCTTGATTTTGTAATGATTCATCTGGATTGAAGGTCTGGCTTTACACATCAAAGTCAGACCACTGTAGTTCATTTATCTCACACCAAAATTAACTAGGTCGTAATCTGATTCTGCTGGATGATTTTCTTATACCTGGAAACCCATTTATTCATTGAATACTGTTTAGAAACAATTAACAAATGTACAAAAGTTTTCAAGATTTAACCCCTTATGCCAAGGTGATGGTGTGCAAAAATGTATTGAAGTATAGAGGCATTTAAGAGTGGGCATGGCCTTAAAATTGGATGCTAAGGAAGAATCTGCAAACTATATTCAGTATTTTTGAGCTTTTCATGCTACGTTTATTAAAAATAGCGTTTACTTTGTTTAACTACCAAAATAGATGTATATTTGTCTTTTATGTGCATTTCTACCTCTGTATGTCCACACTGAAGCATGTTCAGATCAGATCTTTCAGACTTTGATATTTATTATGTATGCAAGAAAACAGCTAAAAGGGCTAAATGTCCAGCCATGCTTCATATTCCCTCCAGCATCCACCTGTCAGGCTCATATTTACACTCATTGGCCAGTTTATTAGGTACACTATACATGTCTTGTGTTTACCACAAGACACTGTTGGCTGGATATCTGGGTGCTGGTCTATTCTCAGTCCACCAGAGACACTGTGTTGTTTAAAAAATAATGCAGAGAAACAGATGGACTGCAGTCAGTAATAGCAGAACTACAAAAAGTAGCACCTATATGGAAAATGTACCTGATAAAATGGACTATGAGTGTAGAAGTTAGGTTTTGCCTAATAAAGTAGCCAGTAAGTGTATATGTTTGCCATAATCTGTGAAGTTCTAAGGAATCTTCTACTGAATCTATTTCCAAGAACCAGAGCAGTTTTTCACCTCTGGAGATTTGAAGCAGATCTAACCCAATGCGAAACATACCGTTTCTTATAATGCTGCATTTATGTGTGTGTTTGTGTGGTTTTGTCTCTGCAGAGTGAGCGACTGCTCATTAAAGGAGGGTGTGTGATTAACGATGACCAATCGTTCTTCGCTGACATCTATGTGGAGGACGGAGTCATAAAGTTTGTATCAGCGGAAACACTCCATCTACCACTTCAGTTACATCAGATACCCGATAGTTTTTAATAACTTTGTTCTTACTTTCAACTAATGTAAATCACTTCTCCAAGTAATTTCTGTGACATACTAATAAAAACAGAAAGCATTGATTAGTAAATTCTGCTTGACATGTATTCAATTGAAAAAAGTTCATAATCACGATATTTAATATTTATATTTATTTATTCTATATATTTTACATATGTAATGTGTGTGTATATATATATATATATATATATATATATATATATATATATATATAATTTTTTGTATATCTATTCATAATATATATTATATACATGATCATTCCACATTTGATGTCTGCAATGCATTCCAAAAATGTTGGGACAGGAGCATGTTTACCACTGCATTACGTTACCTTTCCTTTTAACAACAATTTATAACTATTAGACTAACAACACCAATTGATCCAGTTTTGAGAACGAAATATTTTGCCATTTTTCAAAACTTTAGCTGCACAACCATATGGGCCAACATTATGTTCTTCACCCCTCATTTTCAGTTAGACAAGTCTAATTATGCAGCCATGCTGCTGTTGCACGTCCAGAATATGGCTTGCCGTTGTCCTATAAGCATAGAGGTGCTTGAAAAGGATGCTATCTAGTAGGCAGCATATGATGCTCCAAGACATATATTTTTCAGCATTAATGGTGCCTTCACAGATGTGTAAGTTGCCTTTGCCATGGGCACTAATGCACCCCAATACCATGACAGACGCTGACTTTATACTAGTAACAATCTGGGTGGTCCTCTTCTTCTTTGGCCTGGAGAACATAAAATCCATTATTTCCATATACAGTCTTAAAAGGTAACTTGTCAAACCACAGTACACTTTTCCACAGTGCATCGATCCATTTCAGATGAGCTTGAGCCTGAAGAAGTTGGCGATGTTTGTGGACGTTGTTGACATATGGCTTCTGCTGTGCATGGTACAACCTTTACTAGCATTTGTGGATGTGTGGTGTCTGGCAGTTGTTTATCAAAGTATTCCCGAGCCCATGTGGTAATATCCATCACAGATTTTTAATGTTGTGTTGTCTGAGGAAATGAAGGTCATGGGAATTCAGTTGTGGTTTTCGGCCTTGCCATTTCTGCATAGAGATTTCAATGGATTTTCTGAATCTTTTGATTATATTGTGCACTGTGGAGGGTGAAATACATATCATCCTCATGAGGAACGTTGCTCTTAAACTAATGGATTATTGTTGGATTGCACCTCTTCCAACATTTGAGTGTTTTCAGGCATCAGTTTAAGAATGAGCGGATATTTACAAAAAACAACAAATTTGATAAGGAAACACACTAAATCTTCATACTGTTTTTGTTTAAATACTGGTCAAAGTTGATTTTATAGGTAACTGCTCTCTGTTTTTATTTGTTTCACATACTGCCCCAACTTTTTTTTTTTTAGAAATGAAGGTTTGTATCTGTGTTTTGTAACAGGCAGCTGGGCGAAAATGTGACTGTGCCAGGTGATGTACGGGTGATAGAGGCGGGGGGCCGGCTGGTGATGCCCGGTGGTATCGATGTAAACACCTGTCTGCAGAAGCCTTACCTGGGCACCATGCCAGCTGATGACTTTTATGAGGGCAGCAGAGCCGCCCTCGCTGGAGGAACCACCATGATCAGTGAGTGAAACACCCTTGAGGTGGGAAAGTAAGATGTGATTCCAGGAGATTCCATCTGAAATTTTAATGCAGTGCCATTCAGGTTCATCTGTTAGATTAGTGTTTTAGATCTTTGTGTTAGATCAGTGTGGCTCAACCCAGTCCTTTGGGCCACCATGACTGTTCCACAATTTTACTGTATCCCAGCACCCAGCAAATGAGGTTGGAGAATAAATGTGGAATCATCTGGTGGGCCCCAAAGACTGGCTTGAGAAAGTGTTAGATCATGTGTACAGAAGCTCTAGAGGTCTAGATCTATTATTGTTGTTTCGCTATAATACTTAACTGTAATTACACACTATATGCATTAGGGGTGCGGGAAAAATCGATTCTTAGATGCATCGCGATGCAGACGTGGACGATTCTGAATCGATTCATCAATGTCAAAAATCGATTTTCTAAATATTTAATTTATAACGTAATGTTGACGGAACGCAAAGGGCAGAACCTGGAAGTGGTTAAGTGCAGCGCCCGGACAGTCTGTGGTGGCACATAACAAAAACACAACTGGATGAGCGAGAAATCCGACCGGCTCCCTCTGCATTAAAGCCAGGTTAGGTCAGGAGTCACAACACGAATGTTAAGAAGAGCCACTTTTAACATCAAACCACCTTGGGAGCCGCAACATTTAATGTCCAGTACGTGTCAGTATGTGATAATGTCCTAGTTTAGGCTAAAAAATATAAACAAAAACACAGACTTACTTTGCTCTGCTTTAACCTTTAGCTATAGCCGCTTTTCTTCCATCTCCACCAGAAAACTTTTCCTCAAAAGTTGATTAGTTTCTTGTAAAATGTCTCTCAGCGTTCCGCTGTTTTACGAGGCTGGAGTCGCTTCTCATTCGCCAGCTTCTTGCTGAACTTTCCCGTTCCACCTTAAATTCTGACTGAGGCGTCGAATGTAAAAGCGGCACCATTTAAGGTGGGACGGGAAAATTAGAAAGAGAAGCGACTTCATCTTCGCAACTTTTTAGTGTTTGACAGTCTCTCGTTGCAGATTTAACGTACCAGGAAACCAAGTGCGCTGCTTATAAATGCGAATAAGTCCATTCATCTCCAAATGTTCGTCTGTCTTTCTCTTTTCCTTTTTCGTTCGCTACTCGCTCGGCAAAACATCGTTGCTACGTGACCTGCAGTCTTTCGCGGCCCAACCCCCCTATCACGAGACCAAAACCGAAGTAATGAAATCACTAAAGAATATATAATGTGCTGCATGGTCATCCATTACCACTTATTTTATTTCACCGTAACAGCGCATTTTATCACAGATGAGTGGCAGCAGCGTCTCTAAACAAGAGCAGTGAATGAGAGCCTTCAGTTCACTTGCCAAATCACTTCCATTTGTTTTATTAGTAAAAGATATTGGAAGTAAATTCATTATGGATCATTATAAATACTTTGTTTTAAAACTACCAAGTCCTCACACAGTAAGAAAATAGAAATCATGTTTAGAAAAAAAAGATGCATCGAGATGCATCGATAATCGTTTTATAATCGCATCTCAGCCCTCTGAATCGTAATCGGATCGAATCGTGAGGTGCCTAGAGATTCCCACCCCTAATATATATATATATATATATATATATATATATATATATATATCAGTCAGTATGACCTTTAAATACAAGTTATTGATCTTTCAACATAAAAATGCAGGAAGCATATATTTAACAGAAAATTACGTAAAGGCCTATCAGTATTTAATTTGTCCACTCTTTACTTTTCTGTCACTCTACAGCCACATTAACTTCTTCTGTCATTCCTATCTTAACAACAAACAGCTGCGGCTGTGTCCTCCCAAGAAAAGCTATTTCCAAAAATGGCAGTGACGTGTTTCCTTTCAAAGACGCATTAAATGCATCTACAACATCTAAAGGAGACTTTTCTGAGGAGATTAGATATAAGATATTCCACATGCATAAAGATGAAAATCAGAGGAAAAGAAGTTTAAAAACTTATCTTCAAACCTGGAGTTCAAAAATGCGTTAAAAGGTACAGAGAAAATGGGGCTTATAAGAACCGTGCAAGAGGTGGTAGATCACTGAAACTATCACCATCAGACAAACAATACTTAAGGATTTTTTTTTTTATTCAGAAATCTGTAATTGAAATGTAAACAGTCATTCAGAGTGGTTTGATGTGAAATTGCATTGTTCACTGCTAACTTTAGTTTTAGCAATAGTTTTACTTGGTTAACTGTAATAACCCTGGTAGGTACCTGCAAAATCAATTAGTTAGATACTTTTTGGTAAATCTGATGGCTGCAATAAAGGAGAATCGCCAGGAGCAGAACTACTGAAGAATCTGCCAGTTTTACATCATTGCTGCAGTGTGTGTGTATGTGTGTGTGGGTGTGTGTGTTTGTAGTTGACCATGTGTGTGTACAGCGGGGTGAGTCTCTGTTGCAGGCGTTTGAGAAGTGGCAGGAGACTGCAGACAAGAAAAGCTGCTGCGATTTTTCACTCCACGTGGATGTTCCAGACTGGAATGATACGATCAGAGAAGAGCTCCACACGCTCGTCCAGGAGAAAGGTCTTTTATCCCCACCAATTCCTCTCTGTCTGTGTTTATCTCTCACAATTTTGTATGCTGAAAGTGTATAATTGAGTGCATTTACATGCACTTAGTAATCCAATCATAGTCAGATTTCGGCAGTTATCTGATTACTCAAATGGTTATGTAAACAGCTACTCTGGCTTTCTCATTATGTGATTACCCAAGTGTAAACATGTAAATGTAAACATGTTGAACGAATTACTGACAAAATCTGATTTTCTTCAGTTATTACATTATTAAGTGCATGTAAAAACACTCATTTAATGAAGTTGATTTAAACAATGTGTAGGGTGAGTGGGGAGCAACCAAACACATTTTATTTTTTTGCCGAATAATTTTTTAAAACTATTTCAGCTATATTCATTATTTGTACAGGCAGCCAACACATCTCTGATGCAAATGAAAACACAAACTTTATTTGATCATCTGGTATTTGTGAACAATTCAATCTAAAGTGGCTTTTGTGCAAATTTTACACTTTTTACTCAAATTTTACAAAACTTACACTATAGACACAGTTAATTAAAACAGAATGAGTGGCTAGTTGTAACTAGTTTTGTGCACAATGTATTCAAGTACTTGGATATGCCAGTGCCAGTATTCGAATACTGAAATCACTGTTTGGTATTTGTTTCGTTTCATTGCAGGAATAAAGAGAAAATACACAGACTAAAAACTTAGTCAAACATGACTGTTTTAATCATATTCGTATAACAGTACATTTCTCTGACAAATAACATGTTGGCACATCATCCACTGAGGAGTCAATACCTTAATCTGTAAGTGAAAAGGTCAGAAAAATGTATATAGATTTATTTTCTGTCATTGTTTACATTGGGAAGCTTACTAGTAACAGCATGTTAAAACCAGCCCTGCTGTGTGGAGACTGTACTTTAGCCAGGCTAGCTCTCATTGGAAGTTATTTACATGCTTCAAAACAGTGCAATATTACAGCCAACAAGAAGGTGAATATAAATAAATAAAAAATGAATTCTACGACTTACACTCAGTACGAAAACAGTCTTCAGGATGAGCCTTGAATCTTGTCAAAACATGCAGATGATGTTGCTACACAAAGAGGACAAAAAAAACTTTTTTTTGTTTTACTTAAACCTGTTTAACTACATAAAAAAGTCATGTTACATTTTACTCATGTTAGATTATGCCCTGCTATCCCAGACATCATTTCCACTTTAAATAAATATATTACATCAAGACATCTATTGCCAAAAGTTAAAAACTGAGTGACAGAGTTGCGCTGCTATAATATATTTTATTTATAGATCATTCAGGACATACACATTTGAATCAGTGCATTACATAACTGAACTGAATTAGTAATCATAACTCCGTTCAACAGTATTTTCTCTGTTTCTTTTTACACAGGTGTCAACTCTTTCCAGGTTTTCATGGCTTACAAGGATGTGTGTCAGCTGTTTGATTCACAGGTGAGAATATAAATGTCTGCTTACATCCTGCTGTGATTATTTTTACACCAATTAATATTTGTTAATTCTCTCTCTCTAGCTGTATGAGGTGATGGAGTGTCTGAGGGATTTAGGTGCAGTGGTTCTGGTTCATGCGGAAAATGGAGACCTGATTGCTCAGGTAAAGTCAGATTTGTGTGTTGTGTTTAAACAGGCGGGCGCCAAACTAAAGAAAAAATGAATGAAAATGCTGAGGAGGCCCAGTTGACATTGATTATGGATCAACATGGCAAAAGGAAGAGATATAATTGATTTTGAAAGAGGCTTCATTATTGGGGTGCGGATGCTCAACGGGCTAATCTGTCAATAGGTACAGTGACTAAAGTGGCATCTATATTAACATCTATGGGAACGACGTCAGTAAATAAAGTTGAAAATTGTGGTCAAAATCTCACATTTAATGAGCATGACCCTCATGCATTAGTGTGATGCTGTATGTAAGGAAAACAGAGGAGCAACTGTTTCTCAGCTGACAGAGAATGCAGGGTGTGATCAGACTGTCCGTCCACAACTACAACGAGAGGGCTATTATAGTAGGATTGCAGTGCATAAACCCCTTATTACAAAGAGCAATCTAGTGATATGGATAAGTTATTCTTCACTACATTTTCCACAAGTGGGTGAGTGCATGTTGAGTGCAGGTCAGGTGACTCTTTTATGCTGTGAGGGGCATTTTGCTGCCATTATTTTGACCAATGTGTTTTACAGCAACAAAATACCAATTTAGGGAATATCTTTTGGAAGAATGGTGGTACAACACCTCAGTAAGTCACTTTATACTGGGTTTTCCTTTAATTTGTCATCTGTCTGTACATAATTGTTATAGTAACATAAAACATTTTTTTTAGTCTGTAACAACACGTGATACAGTCTTGAAAGTGCAGCAATTGGTCAGTTTTAATGTTTTACTATTTAGAGTAAAACGTGTTTACAAGTGTTTTTATTGTGTGTTTTTGGGTTGGGCATTATAATGGTATGATTATTCTGGTGATAAAGTGCTTCACAATAAGCATTTCTGCATGGGTATAGTCAATTAATACACATTCTGGAACACTGAACAACTGCAGAAAAAGACAGATTTAGATAAATTGTAGTCATCCTGTAAACAACAACCTGTGTACAGAAATAGGATAAACTGCATAGTAACAAGGGGTAAATGCTGTCCTATTTTGAGATGCTTTGTGAATACTACCCCTTACAGTTTTATAATCTTTTCTCAGGAACAGAATAAGATTCTCAGTCTGGGTATCACTGGACCAGAGGGACATGTGCTGAGCAGGCCAGAGGAGGTATAAATCCATCTATCCATCCCTCCATACATCCATCCAAGTATCAATACAATCACCAGGTTGTGCAGGATTGATTTAAGTATATGAATGCGTTTTTGCATGTATTTGACTGTAACTCCCACTCCACAGCTCGAGTCTGAGGCTGTGTTCCGAGCTGTAACGCTTGGCAACAGCACTAACTGTCCTGTGTACATCACCAAAGTGATGAGTAAAGGAGCTGCTGACATTGTGGCTGCAGCCAGGAAGAGAGGTATACCCTAGAAGTACCAGACTAATGTAGTCATCACTCAACCCTACACATATCAGACTAATGTAGTCGTCGCACCTCCCTACATGTATCAGACTAATGTAGCTGTCATCCTTCCCTACACATATCAGACCAGTGTAGTCATCCTATCACTGTACTTGTATCAGAGCAATGTAGTCATCACACCAACCTACACATATCAGATCAATGTAGTCATATACACATATACATGTATTAGACTATTGCAGTCACCGCATCAACCTACACATATCAAACTAATGTAGTTGTCATAGCTCCATACATTTATTAGACTAAATCATATCACTGTACATGTATCAGCATTTCTAATGCATTCATTATACCTCCCTACACAAATCAGGCTAATGAGGTCATATCACAACACACGTATCAGAATAATAATGCAGTCATCATACCTCTTAACACATATCAGATTAATGGTGTCATCATATCTCCTTACGCACATCACAATAATGTATTAATTATATCTCTCTATAAGTATCAGACTATTGTAGTCATCATACTTCCTTACATTTATCAAACTAATGTATTCATCATTCCTCTGTACATCTGTTAGCATTCCTCTGATGAAAGTTTCCTAAGTTCTTTAATGTAAGAGACCAGACAACTAAGGAGATGAAACACAATTCTACAATTTATCATTTTATAATAATACCTTCCCTTTTAGATATGGTAATGTAAGAGCATGACAGAAGGGAAATCAACGACCCAGCCAAACAATAACCTCAGTCAAATAAGACTGATGTAGTCATAGTACCATAAACAAAATCGGACTAATGTAATCATCATACCTCCATACATGCATCAGGCTAATGTAGTCATTATACTGCCCTACATGTATTAGACTAACATAGTCATCTTACTTCCCTACATGTATCAGGTTAATATAGTTTCCCTACGTGCATCCCTAATTTATAATATGATTACAATAGCTTCCCTTGTTACATTGATTTGAGAATTAGGAAAATTTAAGACCCAGCAAAAAAATAACCCCAGTCATACAAGACTAATGTAGTTATCATACTTCCATACACGTATCTGACTAATCTAGTCATCATATCTTTATACACATTGTGATGTATGAACATAATAAAGTGACAGTGACCCAGCTAAACAAACAACCTCAGTCATTTTTACATGCACTCAGGGGTCCGTTTCATTTTCTGCAAACTCATTTCCAAACAACAAAAGCTTTGTTTTTTATGCAATTTTAAAATGAAATTTAGTAGAGTGTGGAATCTCTTCCTCACAGCACTGCTGAATCTGTATGTCATCATTTTTGTACATCAGTCTTATTAGCCTTTCTTTTGGTTATCTCTGACAGGGTCTGTGGTGTTTGGGGAGCCAATCACAGCCAGCATAGCTTCGGACGGCACACACTATTGGAGCAAAAACTGGGCCAAAGCTGCTGCGTTTGTGACATCACCACCCCTCAGCCCAGACACCACGACCCCAGATCACCTAACCTCCATGTTGGCCTGGTACCTTCACTGTCAATCAATTTGTGCAGTGTTGTGTGTGGATTAATTTCATGAACTGCTTGATAGATGGCTGTGCACTAGGGGTCTGGTAATGCATGGAATCATGTTTTTGATGAAGATATTAACTAATAATGACAATACAAATTTTGGTGTGCTATTGTTTTTATTTATTTTTGATCAGTCATATATTGATCTGCATGTATATTGCATTGGTAATGTATGGATTGTGTGTTGTGCAGCGGGGAGCTGCAGGTGCTTGGCAGTGCACATTGTGTGTACTCCATTTCCCAGAAAGCGATTGGGAAGGATGATTTCACTCTTATTCCTGAGGGAACCAATGGCATAGAAGAGAGAATGTCCTTCATCTGGGACAAAGGAGTGGTGAGGCATATATCTTCAATTCCTAAGCTTCGATATCATGTTGCTAAGCTATAATAACATCATAACTATCAGTCAACTATGCTAGCTACCTGTTGATATATGTTTAGCACTTAAAACTGGGAATTTTGTGAAAAAAAACTGCAATTTTGCAATCATACAAGCACAATAGCTATAAATACAATGTAACAGCAGAATATTTAGTTAACCCATATAACTGTGAAGAGTGCAATTGAACTACAAAGCTCCCAGTGCTCAGTGTGGGGTCATCTAGTGACCAACTTTGTAGGGAAAGTGCTCATGAAAATTGTATTTCTGTCTTTTATTGATATAGTTCAGGGCACTCAGTGACTACAAATTGAGCCTGTATTAACTTCTCCCTTACAGCTCTCACTGAAGCCCTCCCTTTTTTCGTTAGTGCTCACGGTCATGACATAGACTACTGGGCCGCTTCAAGCTTAACTTCTGTTCAATTCTTGCCGCTTAGAATGACCCACCCAAAAGACACAAATGCAAGGTGCTCAGGGTGCAAAACAATGAGCAATGCATCTCTCTGGGCACTTGGCCCAAAAACAATAACACATATAAATAGTAAGCCAACACTTCAGTACATAACTTACACGTTGGTTTCATAGTAGCAGGACCTGAATAAATTTTTGATACTGAATAATAAAAGAAAAAGCTTGCAGTATGTGGCTTAAAATTCAGCCGTTCTTACAGTGACAGTGGGGGACAGCTTCATCAGGATGCTGAACTCTCTCCCTACTTTGCCCCCCCTCCCCCCTTCTGCCCCCACACACACAGAGTTTGGACCCAAGCACAGGTTTCTGACCCCCACTCCCCAATACTGAACTCTGACATTCTCAGGGACTGTTACGCACCCATCACTTTCTGTTATGCACTCATCACTTTAACAGCTCCATAAGCTCATTGCACTACTGTTTATATTTGCACTATTTATACCCACAGACCTTAATCTGTATGTGCCTTATGTCACTTTAGTGTTAATTTCAGGACCTTCTATATTTATATATTTTTTATTATTCTGTTTTTCTACAATTAGTGTTTATTTTTACGATTAGTGTTTAGTGTTTTTTAATGTGTATTTACATACACACTTTTCCTGTTTACTTTCTATTTAATGTTATTGCTACACCATGTGGTCTGAGAGTAACACAATTTCAATACTCTGTATGTCCTGTACATATTGTAGTATTGACAATAAAGCTGACTTGACTTGACTTGACTTGACGGTGTAAAAAATGTCTTTCCTGCATTATGGAAGAACCTCTGAACCTGTCTGTCTCACAGGCTGCTGGGAAGATGGATGAGAATCAGTTTGTTGCCGTGACAAGCACCAATGCAGCGAAACTCTTTAACCTTTACCCCCGTAAGGGCCGTGTGGCTGTGGGCTCTGATGCTGATCTCATCATCTGGGACTCAGACAAGATCCAAACCATTACAGCCAAGTCTCAACATTCGGTGAGGAATGTTGTAGCTTAAATAATAGTTTTGGTGCTGCTTTTATAACAAGTGCTCTCTGTCTCATACTTCTCCACTTTCCCTTTCCTCTCTACCTCCATCCATCTCCCATCCTTCATCTTTGTCCCTCAGATGGGGGAGTTTAATATCTTTGAGGGACAGGAGGTTCGGGGAGGACCACAGGTCGTGCTGAGTCAGGGTCGGGTTGTTTTTGATAATGGCACCCTCAACGTCCAGCCAGGATCCGGACGCTTCATTCCGCGTAAAGCCTTCCCTGACTATGCCTACCAGCGCATTCGCATGAGGAACAAGGTAATCTGATCCCTAAGCCTCTTGGTTTGCCTTTAAATGGTGCAATCTGGTTCAATTACATTTTTCTTTTGTTTTTAAAAACATCCACTTCCTGCTGAATAATCTTTAACAAAATTTTCTTAGTTGAGACAATGCTTTCAATTTATGGGTGTACTTTGAGAAGAGCTTGTAAGACTGTAGGAGAGGAGACAACTCCAAAAACAGGACTGGAGTTTTGTTAGTATTTTTAAGTTAGAAGGCCGGACTCCCCCTTGATGGTGGAGGGGTACAATAACATTGTCACAAGAAACTGAAGATAGACATTGAAAATTAATAGGACATTAAATTGGAAGGAGGAGGAGCTTCAGGCATGGTCCTTCTTTAAAACTTCACTTGTTTCATAACTCCATATTGAACAATTCTATTCAGAGTACATTAAAGCTGCACTATGTAAATTTTGGGGATTTGGTGACCACTCTGGTGGAAATCTGTAATTACACTCAGCATGCTTAAGAATATTTTGTAATATCGGTTGTGCTTCAGACCTCTTTTCTGAGCAGATGAATCTTATGTTTGCCAGTGCACTGAAAGAGTACTCAAAGAGAACTTAGTGAAAGATGTGTCATCCGTGGATGTAACTGAATTATCTACTATTGTCATCATGTCAATGTTGATTTTGCATTTGAGACCAAACATTGTAATACATTCATTTTGAGCCTGTGCATGTGACATTAATACTTCAAAGATGCATACTTAAAAGAGAAATCCGACCGACACTTCTGCCTTTAATTATTATTTCAGGCCTCACAAGGTGACTCGCAGCAGCAATTTTAACAACAAAAAAAAAATCTTACATGTACCTTTAACAGTGAGTGTTGAAACCAATTTTAATGGAGTTCTTGTTTTGGTGCCTGTGACATATGTCTGCATCTTGTTTAAAAATAATGAATGTATAACATATTTATGTCCACTATACTTGAGAGCCTTGAGGCTCAAGCTTTACCATAGCTACAAAACATCTGCAAAATTACCCTATGCCCTCTGTACAAAACACTGTCAGGACCACTAGTCTAGATGAACAGTTATAACCAACCCTCTTGCATGCACTGTAGGCAGCACCCATGGAAAATAGCCTATTGTACATCAGTCCTGAATCGAAAATGGCATCTGTTGCTACTTTTTTGTTGATATTAGAACTACATAATATCAATTAATGAAAGGAAAGAAGCAAAAATCACATTCCTTTCTCTGCTTTCAAAGGCTGAAATGCTTGCTTTGAACCATTTTCATATCTGATTTACAATTTTATACCCCTAAAATGACCTTTTTGGCTGATCATAAACCCTAACATTGACTAATGGTTAATCCTAATCCTGAATTATGAGCCGACACTGTCAGGACAAAAAGGGTACTTTACAGGTACATTTTTATTCCTCAAGGTACAAATAATGTAAATGTACCCTCAAAGGTACAACAATGGTCTAAATCTGAGTGCATGTGTGTGTGTAGGTCTCTGCCCTGCAACCAGTTTCCCGTGGCGTCTATGACGGGCCTGTCTGTGATGTTCCTCCTACACCTAAATACTTAACTCCTGCACCTTCTGCTAAAACTTCACCTGCCAAGAACCAGCCTGCTCCAATCAGAAACCTGCACTTGTCCAACTTTAGCCTGTCAGGTGAGCAGACAATCATAAGCAAAAGCACAATCAAAACCAAACACTGAAGCAAAACAGTACACAATTGGACAGGTTGTACGTTACATTAAATTTACATATGGCATACACTCTTAACCAGAGCAACATTAATCTGCTTTAAGCGGTTTAATCGTGTTACAGATGTAGGCAGATGTAGAGTTAGAAGTCTTACCCAAGGACTCTTACTAGCATCGTGCGCTTGCCTGGGCATGAAATCGAACGCCAGGTGGCTTCATGAAGAGCAGCGGTATTACCCACCACACTATATCAACCACTGTTCTTCTTAAAGACTTCTTAAAGAAATAAACTCCACCTGTGCTCAGTTTAATGGACACTCAACTGATCTGTGATTCTTTCTGTTCTTTTGCATTGTATTTCCACAGGGCCGGAATACCCACAAGGTCAGTAACACACCCATACAACAATCATAAGCTGGTCAGAGATACAGTGGCAAGAAAAAGTATGCAGTTACTGAAGGTGCTTGCTTGAAGTTGCTGCTGTCAAAAGAGGGTTGACCAGTTATTAAATACAAGGGTTCACTCACTTTTTCTCCCAGCACTTTTTAACATCTACTGTTTAATTGGTGTGCATAATAAAGGCAAGAAGGATTATAATTGTGTGTGTGTGTTATTAGCTTTTTGCAGAAAACTAGGAAATTCCAAAGGGTTCACTTTTTCTTGCTACTGTATTTTTATAACTGCATTGTCACAAGTGCTATTCAGACAGCAGTACTTTTACATGGGGAGGGTAATGTAATTATTACCAGTGTTTCTCTGTGATTTTAGTCCTGTCCGAATCCACCATGTCAGTAAATTTTATGGACTGTGTGCTCCAGCATTAATAAAATGGTGGTGATTTTTACATAATATCAACTGTAGAAATAAACCCAGGTTACATTAATCCTGTGTAAATTGCCATGTTGGTAAATACTCTTTGAAATTGACTGAGAAAGGTTTTTTCTCTTTAGTTTTTTTTTTCTCTTATGTATAGAAGTACTCAAAGAAATCAAATTAAGTTGATATGTACTGACCTACCTCAAGTGCATAAGTCAGAACATGTAAAAATACAAAAAAAGTTTGATTTTATGAAGCATTGCAGAGTGTTGCTAATGAAAATACCTATTACACACTGCATTCACATTAGAGGAGGTAGATGGTGAGGGTAAGCATAATAATGATTAAGTTAAATGCACTAGACTGGAAAAAAGGACATATGGTCACCCTATGCAAGCTAGTGTGCTACAGCTCTAAAAACCAAAGAACAGGTTTGATTTCTCTACCGTGGTGTGTGCCACTAATTGCACCACAATCGCCAAGCTATCCTTAGGTTATCTAGTAGGTCACAGATCCAAACACCACAGAACTTGTCTCATTTCGCCTTTTTGTTCCTCCAGCACCAGTCACTCAACTTCACTCTCTCATATTTAAGTCATTATAATTTAAACTTGTCAGTGGTATATCAGTTAGCCAGAATCAAACCTGCTCTGTGTTTTGCAGAGCTGTTATCATGCTAGCTAAGCTAATGCTAACCAGCTAGCATTTTGCAGCACCGTTGTAAGGAAAATGTTTTAGAATTTATTAAGTGATGGACTGAAAGTTGTGCACCGCATTCACTTACTTGGTGACCAGCAAAAGGAAATTGAACAGCGTAGACCAGCTTGGAATTCTATACAGTAATATTTAGAGACAGCTGGAATGCATTTAATTTAGGTATTACTTCTTTCATACTAACCATCTGTCTTGCTGTCTTGAATTGAATGCAGTATGTCATTAACATTGTCATTAGCTTGGGAATTTACAGCCAACAGTGAACAACACTGCATAAAATATAACTTTTTCTCTTGTATTTATTTATTTGTTAGGTTTTAATGTTTCTATTTGTACACTTGAGGTAGGAAAGTACTTATCGTCTTGATTTTTAGCCGCTAAAGTCCTTTTCCACAGAATATAACAGCATTTTTACGAACATGTCAAGTCACACAGTACTAATATAACCTGAACTTATTTGTATGGTTATAGCCATACAAATAAATGGTACCGAAATCTTTACTGATGTGGAAGTGCACAGTCCATAAAAATGACTGACATGGCACATTTGGACAGGACCAAAATCACTGAGAAACTATGGTAAAAATGACATTATCACCTCCTTATGTAAAACTAATCCTGTCGGAATAGTGCTATAAACATTACCGATGTCATGTGGTAAAACTACATTACTAACATTCCCACGTAAAACTAAACCTGTCTGAATAGTACGTAAACCTATTGACATAAAATTGACATAATTTTAAAATCCCTTTAAGCTTTAAAAAAACCCAACAGCTTGCATCCAAACATTTGGCTTGTAATGTAGGTTATTACACATTGTAAACACTGTGGCTATTTTTATGCTATCAACTAGTTTGATGTTTCACCTTTGAAACTCTGCAGCTTCCCAGGCGGATGAGAATGGCCCCCGCCGGGCCTGCCACCGCATTGTGGCGCCCCCCGGAGGACGCTCCAGCATCACCAGTTTGGGCTGAGAGAAAACAGCTCTCTCAACTTACTCACAGTGAAACCAATGGTGCTTATTGCCTCTGCCCAGAGAAACCTGGAGCAGAAGTGTTAGTGTGTGTGTTTATTACTGCATGTGGATAGTGGGTTACCTGCATGTCAAGTCTGATGCTGCTGTTAAGTGCTTCTAGTGTTCTTCTCTTGGATGAGATATGACCCTACACGTTCTTTAAAGGAATACAGTTTTTCAGTTTAATCTTTATCTGCCACATCTGTGTTGTTTTGTATATTACCACGGACAATAATTTTGACGCATCTGCTTTTCCCTTTTCCCAGAAAAGCCAATAAGTTGAAAATCACTTAATTTCCAGTGAACACTATTAAGCACAGGTTTCTTTTTTATCGTCAGGAAAAAGCACAAAACTTCATTTAACAGAAAATTAACCTAACTGTCTAACCTTTGCTTTTATCACAGCTTGCGTGCTTTCAGGTTTTCAAAGGAATCTGCAGGAAGTGTTCTTCCACACCTCCAAAAGTCAGTTAAACAAGTTAGAATTTTTTGGGTTCACATGATTTAAGTAATCTTAAAAACACAGAATGATGTTGAGGACTGGACTCTGGGGTAGTCAGTTCATTGTTCTCAGAGCACTAGCAGTTTCTTTGATTTGCAGATTTTCTTTTTTTGTCAATTTCCTTTTTTCAGTAACTGCTTCTTGACAGCTACACATTCTTGATTTTCTCAATTGATTTTCTCCTCTCTCTCAAAGATGAAAGCTGTTTATCTTTTGGGGACAGTTTTGGTGTTGTTACGAGTCCTCTTTTCTTTATGTCTTTTAATCAATTTTTGAACTCCACTTTTCAAAAGTCCTGTTTTTCATTTGACTTTGCTATAGATGTGGCAGATGGAGATTAGGGTGAAAAATGCTGAAGTATTCCTTTAACCCCTAAAAATCCGACCAGAGAAAGTGTCTGCATCTGTAACTGTTTTGTAGGATGTTAAGGAGATTTTACTTTGAGTCTAGGACCAAAATACCAACAAGGTCCCAGAGATCTTGAAGCAAAACCCAAATTTCTGTATCTTTACTGCTGTTTTTGTACCTGTTTTTTAATTTATTATAGACACCATAGCTGTTTCCATGCTGTGCTCTTAGTGCTGTGTGATGTAGCTAAAAAAAACATGTAGAGGTGTTAAATAAAAAATGACAATGGATAAAGAGCATTTTAGCAAAAACATTTATTAAAAAAAACATGCCTCACACATGAACACATAAAAAAAAAAAACACTAATCAGGATTGTAGCATCTCTCTCCTTCTGGGCCTGCCATTTTTGCAGCCTTCTGCATTGATTAGTCTGTTGAAGAGAAAGAGAAAAAGAGAAAAGAGCAAGAGAGACCAGTCAGTCTTGTTTTTATGTTTTTGTTCCAGAAACGCTTAAAGGATCAGAAATTGAGGCTTGAAAGGGGCCATATTCTACACTTTTCTTACATTTTTTATTTTTTTCATTGCGGTCCACTTAACACACAGCACATAAAAATCGCTTGTCCTCTATTGCATTACCCACTTCAAGTTCTAATCTGCCCTGGAAGCGACATCAGCACAAGAACTTTGTGCCAGGAACTTTAATAAAATAGATTTCCATGGTAAAGCAGCTGCACACAAGCTTAAGATCACTATGCTCAGTGCCCAGCATCGACTGGTGTAAAGCACTGGACTCAGGAGCAGTGGAAATGTTTCCTCCAGAGTGATGAATCGCACTTCATTATCTGGCAGTCTGATGGATGAATCTGGGTTTGGAGATGCTACCTTCCAGAATGCATAGTGCCAACAGTAAAGTTTGGTGGAGGAGGGATAATAGTCTGGGGCTGTGTTCAGGGGGCTCTGCCCCTTAGTTACCCTTAGTGAAGGGTAATGTTAATGCTACAACATACAAAGATATTTTAGACAATTATATGCTTCCATATTTGTGGAATATTTCAGTTTTGGGGAAGCCCTTTACTGTTGCAGCAAAACTGTGCACCATGCACAAAACGAGGTCCATTAAGATGTGCTTTGATGAGTTTGGTGTGGAGGAATGCCAGTGGCCTGCACACAGCCCTGACCTCAACCACACTCTGAATGACTGAATGACTTTATGTCTCAACAATAGAATTATGCCAAAAATTGGTGGAATTCACTAATTAAAGGTATGTCTGGATGCTTTTAACATCAGCAAATTGTTTTATGTGAATGTGGTGAACTGTTTTCATGGAAAAAGATCATAGTTTTCAGGAAATTTAAAAACAACTGGGACTGTTTACTATATGCTATGATGGAGCCAGCAAGGAGTAAGTACCTGTAGGTGGCAGCACTGAGTGAAGGCCAATCTCTCTCTTGGCTTTTTAGTGGCAGTGCACTCATCTCTGCACCTACAAACAGATAAACATCCAGTAATGTGCAAAAGATTAAACACCCCTGGGTTTGAACATAAGTTAGCACATACTCTAAAGCCCATGTCACACACAAGGCCAGATAAGGCCTGAGACACGATCTTATCAAACCCACAAAATTATTTAAATTTTCTATTCATGTTAACCTGTTTCACAATCACCTGTACTACAGAGAGATTCACTCGAAAGAGGCCCTAAATATTCTGTTGTAACCCAGTTACAACCAAAAAAATACGCTATGTACCTTGACGTATGTGTAATCGATTGCATTACATGGAAGTGATCTCCATTTTCTGCCAGACACATGAAGGGATACAGGGGTATGCACCCGGAAGTTGCAAACGGAGGTTAAACATCGCAACGGCTGTCTGGCACCTACCTCATCGCATTCCAGCTTGTTCAAAGTGCCATATACTGAGGAACACATGGCATGTTGTTTCGTTCAGATTGCTTCGTCCTAGCGAGAGTTATTACAGAATATTCAGGGCCTCTTTTGAGTGAATCTACCTGTATAATTCCCAGCATGCACTGCAATATAGTGTGTGCTACTAGCTCTGTGGGACTACAGCAAAGAAAAGATGCCAAGTGTCTAGTTCAAGCAAATAGGTAGGTTTAAAGGACCTACCACCTTTACAGTATTGTAATACTTCTCATGTAATATTTAAGGACTACTACAAGTATACTTTGCTGCATACACTTTGCTGTTGATGTTCTGCCAGCCAGTTCAGGTTATAGCAAAATGTTATTTAAAAATGAAATAAAAGATATAGGTGTTCTCTGGCCCACTGATTTCTTGGAATTTTTAATATATTTCGTCCTTTTAGTGGTTGATTTTGACTCCTCTGCTCTAAAGGGAACAAAATCAAATATGGCACTTTTCTAAAAATTTTAGTGAACCACTTTATTCTCTGAGGAGTTTAAAATATTGGAAAAATGCATATGAAATATTCTGTAACTCTCGCACTGGTCCCTCCTCTAAAATGCTAAATTCAGCAAACAGTAATTGTGCATTAATGCCCATGTCTACTCTTTTTAATTCCCAAACATGTAGGGCTGAACCACACCGATTAGCAACATGGAGTGTTTATGACTGAGACTAACCTGCACGGCTGTTCGTCTGTGTGTCTGTCAGAGGTACCCTTGCTAGTGCTGCCAGTCGAGATAGGAAACTGTCCTCTTCCTCCTAAATATATTACAACACAGAAAAATACACTATATTATCTTTACACTTATTATAGTTTATGTGGGTGAAACTGTCTGCAGCCAACAAGACCAATCTCTTATGCATAGGCAACATTTAGTCATGTTTCCTTGTAAGGGAACCATTTTTGCATAGTTAAATCACAAGCTGTAAAGAAAATCATGCCTTGATGTGAAATGCTGTATTATGGAGTATTGGTGGTAGGAACCAGACGTCTTAAGGGTGTAGATTAACTGGTGGTTTTGGAGAATATATAAAATGGCTACATTTGTGTTGTAGACATGTGACTCCTGGTTCCTATTACCACGACTGTCAAGAAATCAGAGTCTGTCCGTTTCCCTACAAATGAACCATTTCACGTCAAACCACTCTAAATGACTTTGCTTACATCTCAAGGACTGAATTATTCCGATATGTTGAAAAATTGGTGGAATTCCTCTTTAAAATTTCCACTTTGTCTTCGGGTTACACTTGTTCGTTTGGCGTAAGACGGCGTTTTAGAATATCCCGAAATTTTCCACGACTTGAAATGTCCAGCTTCGTTCTATGACGAATGGACCAATTCATACCCAAAATCACCCGGAATAAAATCTCGCCTGTTCATTGGCTGTAAAACGTGTCCGTCAAATCTGCTGTCTCCAAGGAGGACGGACTCAAACATCAACATTCCTCAGACAGTGGGCTCCAAATCACCTGAGGTGAATAAAAGCAAACAAATCTATCTGATCTAATACTGTTTCACACAATGTATACGTGTATATACTGAAATACCGTTGATCGCTTATGAGAGGTTTTTTGAAAGTTGTGTCACGGTACATTGTATAGACAGTTTGAGCTAGCTAGTTGTCTGGCTAGCTAGCATCTCATAGCTTGTGCTAATACTTACCGTTACATTTATCCAGTACTGTTCAGTGTAGTTTTATGTACAACTTTGAATAGTAATCATGAGTAGTGTCAGTATCACGTACTTATCACTTTTGGTAAAGAAGACAGCAGGGTTTTTCACGAGGCTGAAGTTAGCTTCCTATTCGCCAGCTTCTTGTTCGAAATTTCCCGTTCCACCTTAAATAGTGCATTCTGGCGACTGAGACGGACTTCAGCTTCGTGTGTTTTTCCCTCACTGACTGCCCTGTTCATGGCTAACGTCATATTACTGTACTTATTATTGTCATTCTGTTTTCTAGCCAAGGCATGTCGTTATCCTTAGAGGAGTTGTGCGCCATGGTGAATGTCTCCTATGAGGAGGTGAAAAACATACGCCTTAATAATGAACGAGATGACGACGAGGGAGTGCAGAATAGCGCAGGTACCAAAAACAAAGACAGCTCACAAAAAAAGCTACAGCCACTGTGATCAGCCTACATAGTGCATTGTTGCGGTTATAATAGAAATACTTTAAATCTGCATTGCTTATAATTGCAATGGTAAACTGAGATTCTTTACTAGATAATAATGCCATATCTAATCTTTGTGCTGTAATACCTAGTGGGCTGAGTGTATTGTATTAATATCAGTATTGTCCTGTTCCAGACATTAGTGAAAGTATGCACAGTGATTTCAGTGAGAGGAACCATGATGTTCATCCACAGAACAGGCCTACACCAGAAGCAGACGGAGGTAAGGAAAAGTACAATAAAACATTAATACACTATGCAGTCCATTAATTAATTGATGACACTCCTTAATGCTAGATGGCAAATGAGGATCACCTTGCATTAATATTAGTAATAATAATAGTAATAATATCTTTATTTATAGAGTGTCTTTCATACCAGTGGCAGCTCAAAGTGCTTTACAGACAGGTGATAAAGCTTAACAGTAATAAAAGAAACTATGAATATTAATTTAAAATCATATAAGACAAGGACAGATCAAATTAAAAAGATATCTACCAAAGAGGCATAAGATTTTAATTCATAAGATTTTAATTAAATGCTAAATCATAGAGATACATTTTCAAATATATGTGTAATAAAAGGTGGAAGTGAGCTTCGCAGTTTAGAAGCATAATAACTGAAAGATGCCTCTCCATGTTTTCTGTATTTTATGTCTTTGCAGAGGGCTGTATCTGCAGATCTATGATCACGTGTTGGAACATAAGCAGACAGACATTTTGTGATGTAAGCGGGTGTTGTGAGGTCATTTAGAGCCTTAAAAACTAGAAGCAGAACTTTAAAGTATGTACTAAAAGATACAGGTAGCCAGTGCAGTTCTTTTAAAAAAGTGACATGAGCTTTCTTTTTCGTTTTTGTTAGGATCTGTGCTGCTACATTATGTACGAGTTGTAGAGGATGAATTGTTTTTTGAAGAAGCCCAGTAAAAAGATCAATAATGTGATCAACTCTGCTTGTAACATGCATGAAAAAGTTTGTCTGCGTCGCTCTGAAATAGAAAAGGCTGCACTTTAGCAATATTTTTCAAATAGTAAAAAGCTACTTTAGTGACTGCCTTCATATGTGGGATAAAACACAACTCAGAGCTCTCAGAGATTACACCAAGGTTTCGTACTTCAGGTTTAGGCTAAAGAACTTGGCTTCTCACAAAGCATTCTTCTTTGAATTCTTATAGAAGGACCAGTATTTTTTTCATGATTTAGTTGACATTTTTGTGACATCCACTGCGAAATATCTGACACACACCTGGTAAGCCTGTCAACAGAGCCTTGATGTTCAGAAGGAATAGAAATTGATATTATGTTTCCTAATGACACCACTTAGAGGAAACATGTACAAAAGAAAAGGATGTGCCCCAAAATTGAAACTTGTGGGACTCCACAAGAAATATTAAATGCTAAATTAACATGGATTTACCTTATCAGGAGTGGGATATACCTTGGACGGAATCCATTTACAGGTTTCACTAAAATACGTCCCTACTGTGACCAGATGCGATCCAACTGTCCATTCCCCCATAAAAAAGTAAAAATCAACCTACTGTTACCTACGCTTTTCAAATAGCAAGAGCTGCAATTTTAATTATATCCTACATTATTCATCACCAATAATCCTTATGTCCTGAATGTTCTATTTAAACGTTTTAATTTAACGATTTGATTTTAGTGTCTGGCAGTGATTCAGAGGAGGAAGAGTCTCAACAGCTGAAAAGGAAAAGAGGACCAACAAAGTGGAAACGTAACATTCAAAAAAGGAGGCGAATGGAGGGGAAGTCGTACAGAGGAAAACAGAAAGATGTGGGAGAAGTGACCAGAGCGGCACGTGTCATGGGACCAGGATGTGGGTCAGAAGCCTGCAAAAAGTCTGCTAAACGTTTCTGCCATACTTTCAGTGAAGAGGACAGGCAGAGAATCTTCCAGCACTTTTGGCAGAATATGAACTGGGAAGAGAGGAGGATCTATGTGGCGGGGCTAGTTGACCATACCCCAGTGGCACGGAAAAGGTCCATGAGTCAGGATTCAAGACGATTGTCAACACTTTCCTACCATCTCAATGTAGACGGTGAGAAGAGAAGGGTGTGCAAAAAATTTTTTTTGTCAACTCTAGGGCTAGGAGAATGGTCGGTTGCACATTGGGTGCAGGCCAGCGAACCCGAGAAGAACGGCAGCGAAACAGTTGTTGAGGATCAAGCCCTGGCAGCTCTTCAGGCCTTTCTTAGGGACTTGCCGAAAGTGCCCTCTCATTATTGCCAGTCCTCATCCTCCAAGTTATTCTTAGAGCCCATGTTCCAGTCCATGTCAGAGTTACACAGAGTTTACCAGCGTCACTGTGAGGAAGAGCTCCAGACAACGCCACTGTCCAGAGAAATTCTTATGGATGAGTTCAACCATCTCAATCTAGCCTTATACCACCCAAAGAACGACCAGTTTGATACCTGTTGCTCACACGAAGGCCATGCGAAACACGAAGCACAGCTAAACCACTGCCTAATAAAAGAGGAGGCATGTGAGGAAAAAGAAGAAGAAAACGCTGCAGATGATGGGAAAATGGTGTCTTGTATGGATCTGCAGACATTTCTTCTTTTCCAAAAGCTGAAGGCATCTTCCTTGTATTATAAGACCAAGCTGGCTTTACACAACCTTACTCTATACAACATGGCCAATCATAGTGGCACCTGTCATGTATGGCATGAAGGAGAGGGAGGGTTGTCTGCAAATGAATTTGCCTCTAGCGTCTCAGATTATCTTCAGCAACAGCAGCATGCTGAAGAAGCAGAGTAATTTATATAGCGTAATTTACAAACGTGAGCTTAGGCCAACAAATTACTCCTCACCTCCACTTACTATCTGTATGCCATTGACAGCCACATTTCCTCTAATGACATTGCCCCATATCTTTAGACAGTGGCCTGTCAGTGGACAGTCAGCTTGGTTTGTCAGGACCCTTTCACATTTTTGCTGTCCACAGCAAAGGGGAAAATGTCCACCCAGTACACACCAAACTGCTCATAAAGCAGCTGATACAGGCAGTGGAGCAAGGCCATGTCAAAACACATGGTGAAGGAAATGGAGCAGTGTGTAGCAGTTTACTCACGGCATGAAGATGTAGACCAGCTTCACGAGCCAGCGGAGGAGGTTGTTCATACAGATAAGAACCACAGAACCTATAGCTGCATGCAGATCATGTGGTCAGTTCAATTTCCATTGATGGTCCACTTACGACATTTGTCATAGTTCATTTTTACATTATCACTTTCCATCTTAAACAGACTGTTTTGTTACTGTGCCTTTAAGACTAATTTATGTAAATGATCTCTGTTCAGATGATCTCTACAATATGACGGTAGACGAACAACTGCAAACCAGATATTCTGCTGTTTTCAATGGTTCACCAAACATTCTACCACTGCCACTGGAAACGGCAGCACCTCACAGTGGTCAGCAGAATGTTCCGTTAGGAGTTCAGTGTTGGTAGAATATTCTGGGTGTTGATTTTGGGAGGCATGAATGCCAAACCTCTTATTGCTGAATTCTGCGTGTGCCCAGTATTATACAAAAAAGAGCATTCACCATAAATAATGAACATTGCTAAACTCTCCTCAGATAATAATCTATTTTTACTGGTGACTCTGCCACCATGGCATTTCCATAGCTGTGTGCCGCTGTCACTTTTTTTTTATTGCCATAAGGCATGACACCATGTTTTGTGTTTTTTTTTTTTTCCTTCAATGCCAACATGTAAATGCAGCGTTAGTTTCTATACATTGGCGATATGGTTTGGGGAGTAAGTGGTATGTTTTGATACTTTACAACATTCTTTTTTGTAAATGATAAATTCAGTTTTGCATTATATGGATGCGGGGGCAGCACGGTGGCGCAGTGGGTAGCGCTGTTGCCTGGGTTCGATTCCTGGCCGGGCGACCAGGGTCGTTTCTGTGTGGAGTTTGCATGTTCTCCCCGTGTCTGCGTGGGTTTCCTCCGTGTACTCCGGTTTCCTCCCACAGTCCAAAGACGTGCAGTCAGGCTGATTGGACATGCTGAACTGCCCCTAGGTGTGAGTGTGTGTGTGAGTGTGTATGTCTGTCTGTCTGCCCTGCGATGGATTGGCGACCTGTCCAGGGTGTATCCTGCCTTCCGCCCAATGACAGCTGGGATAGGCTCCAGCACCCCACCGCGACCCAGAAGGATAAGCGGTTTAGATGATGTATGTATGTATGTATGTATGTATGTATGTATATTATATGGATGCTTTAACGTCCTCATCTGCAATACGAGTCACTGTAGAATAACAGCCCACACTTCACCTGCTAGCTGACTGTCTTCTGGGGACACTCCTAGAATGCAGGTGCTGCTATTAAATATATCCAAAAACAATGTCTGAAAGGTGCAGGGAGGGAGGGTTTAAGCAGGTGAAACCCTGATCAAACACGAAATTAGATGGAAATGAAGACAAAACAACGAAAAACCAATCACTGGTAAGAAGTGCCATCCAGATGTGCAAAGCGTACTTCTCGTACCAGACATACCAAAACCAGGAAAACACACACTCGGAAATTGTGTTGTGTGATGGAAGTGAATATAGATCCACTCTTTTGGCAAATTCCCTCTTTCAATTTGCAGTGACTAACAAGAAGGTCATGCAGAAGTTAGTTAGGCATGGGCAAAGTACGAAGCTGTCCACAGTGTCATAGACCCTGGTACTAACAGACATCTTGGATAATGAAATCGTAAGTGGACAGTGCTATTAGGTGTAAATGGGGTCCAGTGGGTATTGGAGAAATATGACGAGCATCTCGAGAGAGAGAAAGAGAGAGAGAGAGGGGATCACTTAAACCATCTTCAGAAGTGGTCAGGGACCTATATGACCACATAACATTCATAGCGAAATCCCAATGTGTGCTGACAGCAACTGCATCACTGCAGAGGCTGTAGCTTCTTGTTCCGTCTCCTCTTCTGTTTGTTCGTGAGTTGCATTAGCAATTCATGCGATGTGAACATCTGGGCCCTTACATGTGCATGAACAAAGACTGGCAGCACACTGTCTGACCACAAATGCAGCAAGCGAGACTGACATACGTGTGTGTGGTACCATTCCTCCTGTCACAGAATCCAAAGCTAATAGATAAAACAGCAATGGTACCATAAAGTACAAGCTTCATCACTCTGCTAACTAGAGTCTATTCTCCAGTGAGGAATCCGACTGAAGGCCAGTGCATACTTCTTGTGAAGATGTCATTTCGTCCAACTTGTGTGATAATGACAGAATTATGGAGAAAACGAATAACGCCAGACATCTTGCAGAGGTTTCACTTGCCATGTCACACACATGGCAACTGGGTGAACTCCATGGACGAACATGCTACACAACAAATCCTGTGATTGTTTGGTACAAAAGGTGGATAATTTTGCGGGGTGGCTTTCAGCACAGCGAAACCACAGAGAGTATGTGAAGGAAGGATTATCACTGCTTTTATGAGTCACTGAAACACTACATTTTTTGAACATAGTCTCTATTGGTATTATCTTTTTATATTATCTGTAAGTATACTGTTGTTTCAGTTTACTTGTTGCCTCAATGTATATTAAATGTGAACATGACTTTTCACTGTTACATATTCCCGTATCTACTCCTAAAACCTCATTATCCTGAATGCTTATTAAACCTAACCATAAAAAACACACCATGCTCTATTTTAATGCCTGCCAACATATTTTAATTTACCATATTTGTTTTTAACTCACTGTTTTCCCAGAAATGTAGTATCATTTATTTCAGGTGGTGTGCCATGATGTACTTTTAATCTATCAAATTACTTCTATACCACAGAGTAAGGAAAAATAGGCTGCAGACTGCAGGCAAATCACATTTGTTTCTCAAATCAGATCTTTTAAGATGACTTTCTGCACTTTTATTTGCAAGTGATCAGATCAGATTTGTGTCCACACATCAACCAATCTGCATGGGTTCCTGTGGTAACGATGTAGGTGTCAGTAACTACAGATTTCAAATGTAGATGCAGGAGAGATGGAGGTGCTTTATCTCGCCCTCCAAACTCTTTAGAATTCTCTGGCATAAGCATGAATGTTTGGCGCTCTTCTTGAATTGTCGTTTGTCATTTTGCAAGTGACGCAAAGGACACTCTGAAATCCGTTTGGAGCGTCCAGGCTGAGATCCATCTGTAGAAATCTGATTGAAATCGCATTTCATGTTGTGTTTTTGCTGTCCAGACTATCAAAAATCAATCTGGATACAATACAAAAATTGGGCTGTCAGTCTAAACATAGCCATATTGTCATTTTAACGTCTGCTCTTTTTTGATTAATCTACAATTCATTAGTCAGTTAATACACCCACTTCCAGCACTTCTCACTCATTTTTTATCTAAGTCACATCCACTTTTGGTTTGTGATTTAAAAGGTATCAAAAAAGCCGTTATAAAAACCCGTCAGGAAGCTGTATCGAGGTAAAGGTATCGGTATTGATTTTGAGCAATACCCAGCCTTAGAACCCACTGTATAAAGCAGAAAAGGCTGCTAATTTGATTAAAAAAAAAACAGGTATAAGTTTAGCCATATAATAAATAATATTGCACTACATGCCTAAAATTTTGTAGACACTTGTTCATCCACTGTTTCCATCTGAAATTAAGAATATTAATAGTGAGTCTGTGTCCCCTTTGCTCTAATCTTTCTAGGAATGCTTTTCGCTAGATGTTTGAACATTGCTGTGAGAAGTAGATTCCATTCAGCCTGAAAAAACATTAGTTAGGTCAGGTACTGAAGTTGGATTATTAGTTCTGGATCACTCCAGCTCATCCCACAGGTATTGGATGAAGCTCCATCGCTCCAGAGAACTCCACTGCTCCACAGACTAATGCCTGGGACTGATTGGAATTTAACAAATGGAATGGACAAATGAACAAATCCATGGCTGGGGACATTCTGGAGGAAAACTTTGTTTTTCATGGTAGCTGTACTACTTTTTTAAAAACAAGAAATTACTGTTTTTTTGTTGAAATATATTTTTTATAGTTTATATGAAAATAAAATATAAAAACATTACTATAAAATTAAGCAAAAATAAGCACATATCCTTTACAGAGCACACACTTCTGCACATTTCCTTTTTTTATTGAACATAAAACATAAAATGCAGCCTATGGCACATTTTATATTTTATTTGTTCCCCAGTATGTGAAATTCAGCAAATAAATGGAACTTGTAGGTTGAGGATATGTTAAGGATTAACTTACTTTCACTTAGAAAATCAACAAAAGTCTTGGTCCATCCATTGTAAAAAAAAAATAAGAACACAATATAAAGGTCAATTTAAAATGGTAATATATATATATGTGTGTGTGTACTCACCCTGAGTTCCTCTCTGGTGGTGTGTATTTGGTGCTGCAGGTCCATTATCTCTTCTTGGTCCTCACGCATACTTTCCTCCTCACACTGACAGAGACCGTGCCTCTTCTGCTGCTCAACTCTAAAATACATGCAAATACACAATGACCACACTAAAGGGGTATTCTGTGCTAAAACTAACTAGCATTTAATATGTCATCTGTCATGTACTATTCTGTATTGCAGCACTGCGTTCCTCAGCCTCATCAGTTTGACAAAATTCATGATTTTGTATCCTTTTTGTCCAATACCCAACATGCTTTATGCAAATACCTCATAAAACCATTGGGAAACAGCCCACAGTGATAAAGAAATTCTGATTGCTGTCTGTAAAACCAAATGCAGAGTAAAACATAAATCAAAACTTGAAGCTCCTCCATTGTTGCCACTGTTGTTTGTGTTTATTGTTAACACTAGATTTACATGAAAATCATCCTGTGACCATCCAAGCTAAAGAGAACTCCGCCTACTTTCACAAATCTCTTTTGTGATGGGAAATAGACACCGGTTCTCAACCAGGGCACAGACAGTTCTGGGTTCAAATTCGTAACCGTACCATGCTGTACCGTACTGCTTAGTGGGAAAACACCATGTGTGACGGACCATACAAAACAGTGGGCCAGTAGTTTGAGAACGCTGTTCCAGAGATATTATAAAGGAAGAGATAGGTCAATGGCTGAAATATGAATGGGAAAGTCTGTACTCAAAGTCCCACCCTTCAACAAAATAAGCCAATCAGCTTGCTGCGAGCCAGAAAAGCTCCCCCTTCGTGTGGAGATAATAAGTTCATAATCTTATCCTAACTCCAGATAAGAAAACAGTATTACAGAAACAGCGTAACTACATTAAATTTAGTAAATTCTGTTCAGAGGTGAACTCCAGAGGTGTCTTAAATTCTGTTTTAACTGTCTGTTTCCTTCATTTAATGCAGTGACAGGCAGCACAGTTCACTATAACTGGCATAATTATGTTACATTTATCTACATCGGTGCTTTGACTTTTGAGGTCTTATGATGTTTTTTTTCTAACAGCGTTTTAAAAGCTAGACCCTCAGACAAGATCTCCACCGTCCTCTCTTATTACCTTCGTGTTTTAATATAAATATTAAATATTACAGTGATAGTGGTGAATAATAAGGAGAAACTGCAGAGTAGCAAGGCTCAGATAAACAGCACAAAGCGCTGTCACTATATTCATAACTTTAAGTTTATCATACTTTAGCGTGTTTGATCTTTTTTACATTCATAATGGTACCTAGCTGTCTGGCTTACTAGCTTGATTATTTTGATTATGTGTTTACATTTCAACTGTCAAGTACGGTCGATTGCTAGGTAACAGACATTTCAGTTGATTGTTGACTTTGATCAAGTTAAGATTTCCTAACTTAAGATAAGATGCTGTAAGATAAGATGATCATCTTGAATTAGGAAAAAATCTTATCTTGACCTGTCAGATCTTAAGTTACGACAAAAAGATTCTGAAGTTTCTGTAATACGGCCCCTGGTCTTGTATGATTGAAAAATAACTTTCCAGGGTTGTTGCCAATATTGAGTGGACAGACTTTCCTGTAAGGACTTTGTTGTGGCATAACAGCAGGATGCATGTAGGCATCCTACAGCAGATTCCACAACATACAACTGATTTAGTGATGTTTACATTTCAGGCAGTGTCCCTGAACTCATCCACATACAAGTTTGTGTGTGTGTGTGTGTGCATGCATGTGTGTACCTCTTGTAGAACTCAGCAGAGTGGGGTTTTCTGGCCCAGTTACTCAGCTCTCGCTGCAGAGCTCTAATGCACTCTCCTCTCTTTCTCTGTCTTTCTCTCATCTCTGAAAGACAGACATGCACATTGATTATATAAAACAGGAGAGACAGAAGGATGGAGGAAACAGACCGATAGAAAGAAAAAGAATAAACTGTACTGGAGTGCTGTTGTTGTGGACTGTGCTGTGTTGCTGTGATAACAGTCTGAATCTGGGAGTAGTAGTTCATTATGAGTGCGGTGACCGAGTCCTGTGTTACATACACACTCTCACACACTGCTTCCTTCAGCCGTTCCTGCACAGAGAGAAAGAAGGAGGAGACAAAGAGCGTATATTTCACTACAATGTTTATTTAAACTATAGGTTTTTTAAAATTTTTTTACTGATGCTTATATATTAAAAGCAAAATGAAGTGATGCATGCAAGAAGAACCATTCAAACAAAAACCTGATGCCGCATAACCGCTATATATTAAACAGGCATGACTGCAAATTAGCTACAACAAACTTTTATGCACAGCTAGCTTAAATTCTACAAATATAACTGGCTATTATTCTTATTTAGACCAGTACTTACTTAAATCTACTTTTGTGGATTAATTTGTGAGGTAGTGGTAAATACAATGTGTAAGAAATAAGGAATTAACAGAATTATCAAATGAATACACAGAGTGCAGAATCAACTGCTTGGTTTGCCAATACTTCAATTTGCAATAACTTCAGCCATCAAAATAATACAATTCAACATAATCCTACTGTTAAATGTTTCATTTCACTAAACACTAAAATATTCATTAAACACAATGCATTTGTATTACTAGTATTACTATTATTACTACTCATAATAACAAAAAATAGTATTGTTGTTGTTACTATTATTATTATTATAATTCTTTTATTAATGGTATCATTATTACTAATATTAGTACTAATATTAACATTAGTACTAATAATAGTAGTACTTGTGGTTTGCAGTGACAGAAGAATTTTCATTCCAAAATGGTGTATATCTATTTCTCTAATAAAAGTGATATTAATCATAATAATCATATTTCTTGTATATGTAAGGCACTCCCAACAACAAATGTCATGAAAAAAGACCACCAAGCTACAGGGCCTCAGGTAGTTTGAGACCCCTGAAAGACTGCATATCATGAAAAAATTAAATAACCTTGCTTTTTTGAGCAAAAGTGATGAAGTATGAAAGCATTGCTAAAGTTGTTGTTTCAAAATGTTCTATAATTTACTCAGTCTACATGCGGGACATAAGCTGCAAAAATAAGTCCTATGAAATTCACTATGGTTTTGATGTCACGACCATGAACACATTTACATATGACCCATTCAGTCTGTAGCAGTGTACGAAGTCCATTCACCTTATAACAATACTGGTATTATGAAATATAAAATAAATAAAATGCAGTGCAATTATTGTGAAAAGCTATTATTTATCATGCATGCCACATGAAGTCTAACTAAACTGCTAAATAACTAACTTGCATAGCTTTTAAGTCTCACAATTTTTTAAAAGCTGCTGCTTTACTGTAAGACTCATACCTTTTGTCTGGTAAATCAGTGAATGTAAATCACAAGGGTTAAAAAGTTTGTTTTACTGCAGGCCGCACAGTGGCCTCCCAGAAACAGTCAATATTGCACTTAGCTGCGGTGGTGAGGCTGGATATTATAGCACGTTTGTTCAATAATATAGCCCCATCAAATTAAAGCCAAGAGTGTTGATTTTGCACTCTAGAATTTAAACATGCTACCATCTCTTTCAATTTAAATTAAAACAGTGATTTATTTATTACATTGATTTATGAATTTCTAAGTAACTTGATCTTCTACAGTCAAACTATGGAGGACTAAACTGCAGCCTTCCAGAAGACTTAGATCTTTGAATGGATTGGCTTTTTTATTATATTATTTTACAGTATTTTGGCCTGAACTTCAGAGTTTTTTTCTTACATGTCAGCCTAAATTTTGGACAACGCACAATTCATAACCAGCCAAAAAAGAGGCCATTTACATATATCAGTCATGAAGGCATGAAGGCACAATAACAAAAGCCTATTTATTTCTAAGAGGTGAAGAGAGGTAAAAATGAATAATAATTGTTTTTAGCACATCAAACTACACAAATGGACTTCAGAGTAAAAAGATAAAACAGTGCAGGGTAGGGCCTTTGAAATAACTTGTTTGTATTTCCTGTTATTGCACTTTCTGTGTAGTTGCACTTTCACACACAAAGTTTCAGCTTTCTCACCTTCTGTCCGTCATTAGCCATTCCTGTGTTATCAGGTGCAGAGTCCACCAATCGCAGTTGAGCGCTGTGGGCAAGGGCGTGGCCGATTAACAACCGGGCATGTTCTTGTATGAGCTCAGAGGCGGTCTCCTGTTCTGATAGATGCTCCTGCTGAAGGCTCTGACCAATTAAAGCAGAATCAAGGATTTGGTCTCAGTGCAGCACAAATACACCTAAAACATTTGAGAGTGTGTGTGTCTCACAGTTGCTTCATGCAAGTCTGAGTTGTGTCTCTTGTTTGTGAATCCTGTCAAGTCCTGAGTCTTTGGGCGCTAATCCGAATCAAGTCTTGAGTTTCTGGGATGCGAATCAAAATTGGGTCTGGAGTCTTTGTGATGCAAGTCCAAGTCGAGTCTGTGTTCTTTTGGGTGCCAGTCCAATTGAAGTCTCCATTTACTAGCCAATATAGCCCCTCAGATTAAAGCCAAGTGTCGAGTCTAGAGTCTCTAGGGTGCGAAGCTGAGTCAAGTCTCAAGTCTCTTGAGTGTGAATCAGAGCAGAGTCTGTAGGGCGCAAGACAGAGTCAAGCCTTGAGTCTCTAGGGTGTGAGTCATAGTCAAGTCAGAATGGAGTCTTAACTCTCAGAGGTGAGAATTTGAGTAAAGTCTTGTGATTTTGGAATGCGAGTCAGGGTCAAGCCTCAAATCTCTGGATTGTGAATCTGAGTCAAGTCCCGAGACTAACCTACATGCTAGGCAACCGTTTCAAACTATTTTATATTTTTAATTTAAGCACCACATTTACTGCAAGTTTTTTCTCTAATGAATGGCATTGTCATTGAAAGCCAAACCTGAAACAATACATTTTATTAACTGACCACATTAAAGTTGGAAAGCTAATTTAATTATTTTTATTTATGCTTAACTCAGGCTTAAAGGCTTTAGTCTCAGGTTAGAGTTGAGTTGTGAGTCAGTCAATATGTGATTTAAGTGTGACTCCAAGATGTCCAAGATACTGAACTGAGTTGCCATTTCTGTTGTGTGTACGTGTGTGTGATCACCTGTGTATCTGACTGTAGGTTGAGCTGTGTGAGCTTCATCTCTTTCAATGTTTGGATGTAGAAGTGCCGAGCTGCTAATATCCTCTGAATCTCAAGTATGAGCAGGTGCTGCTTCTCCGCAATCACACTTCTGCAAGACAAGAGTTTTTAAGATGTCTGTAGCTACTTTCTAAAGGCAACAGTTATTTTTTGAGTTCTTAGTGTTCATGCTTGCAATGAAACATCACATTGTTATGCATTAAAACAGACAGAAGGTTTATTGTGTTTATGGCACGCAGCTAGAACAAGAGGTGATCCATACCTGACAGTTTGGCTGTTTTACCCATGACGATAATAATAATATAGAGTGCTAAGCCTTTAATTATACAATTATATAAACAGTCCTGAGAAATGGTGTTTCATGGACAGTAAAATGCAATCTTCAGAATTAGCAAGAATATAAAGAGAGGTGGAGCCAAGCACAGGGCATTACTCACCTGTTCTGTATATCGTTCTCTCTGGCAACTGTTGCCATAGTAACCTTCATGTGTTGGTTGGCAAGGTGTTTAAGGCAGGATTTAGCCAGCGCCTCCTCTTCAGCCCAAACCTACAGTAATGAGAGAAACACTTCAACACTCATACAAACAGTCTCACGCAAACAAACATATGCACCTACACACACACGCACTGTGATGTATGTCAGAGACCACCCTTCATTTATTTCATTTCCAGTCAAGACAACCCTTAAGTACAAGTTACAGATTTTTTAGCATCAGGAAAAAAGTAGAAAATATATTTAACAGTAAATTATACAGAAGCCTCAACAACTAAACATATCAAATTTTCAGCATTTAGTTACTTTTTACCTTTATTACAGCTTCAATACTTTTTGGGAGTCTTCCTTTCAGTTTCTCAGGTTTTCAAAGTTTAGTCTTAGAGGTTTTTAAAGTTCAGTCTTAGAAGTTGGCTGAATTATAATTATAATAGATATTCAATGATGTTGAGGCCTGGAGTCCGGGGTGACTAGTTCAATGTTATGAAACACCAGCAGCTTCTTTGTTTGATTTGTAAATTACCGTTTTTCCTTTGCTCCGTAACAGCTTCACATCCTTTCAAACCCAAAGGACAAAAACACCTGTAGACTTTTTCTGAAGCAAGAGTGGAGCTTTATTTTTCTCCTGTTTCTCAAAGATGAACACTTCAAGTATTGTTTTTCTGAAAGTAACAGTTTTGGTGGTCCACCAGGTATTGCATAGTTGTTTCGAGTCCCGTTTTCTCTGTATCTTTTACTTAACTCCAATTTGGATAACTCCATTTTTTCCGTTATTTTCCTTTTTTTCCTTCCTTATGCAACTGGATTATCTTATATCTCATCAGAAATATCCTGAAACATGAATAACAATGTTAACACACTAAAGCTCCAAACATTACTGAACAGGTTAGATTTCGGCCTTCTGTCACTTCAACAGCAGTCACCTACACTTTCTAGTTAGTAAGAATCGAACTTTACTATGGTGCTGTAGTACTCATTGGATCTGTAGCCTGCTTGCTAAACAAATGTTAGGTAAGCTAGTAGACACATATCCAGACAACATGGAACAGGTTCAGTTTCACCTTTCTGTCCCTCCAACACCAGTTGCTCAACTTCGCTCCCTCAGATTTGAATCATTATCATCAAAACCTGTGTAGCTTCGTATAGCCAGAATCACTGTTTAACATTTAGCAGTTGTTGTTAGACATTTTTACATTTACTGAATGATGGATTGAAAATTGTGAACTGTGTTCATTCTTTAGGTGACAGTGTAAGCCTGCGTTCACACCGGCAGAGACTTTTCACCTCATTGCCCAAATCGCTGGTCAGTCATCAGCTGGGGGCATTTCTCGGGCTGACCATTGGTTGTCATGGTTTTACTGACACCAAGCACAAATCCCATGCATTTCCGCTAAAAATAAATATCCTGGAGAGAAATAGTTTTTATATAAGTTTAATCCCAGCGTGGTGCATCACTGTCTGTGCAGTCAGTGTGTGAAGAAAACTGTTTGGTCTTTGCGATTGCTGTCTGTTTGTGGCAAAAGCACTGAATTCAGCCTTGGTCAAATCTGTCACACTCTTTATTACCCAGTAAACACAGTTGTAAGACATTCCCAGTCTAAATTCCAACATATGCAATATGACCTCCCAGAAAGGTAGTAAAAATGCACACTCCCATATAGAATGTGCAAATGTACCAAGTTTCTTACTGAATAAATGTATCCTTTATTCCTGATTTCCACTCCTTGAACTTGATTAAATGAACTTTTGAATGATTAAATGAACGAAATGAACTTTTTATTTGATCGTTTGCTGTTTTGAAAGGATCTCAAAAAGCAATGTAAATGCTTTGTGTTTTTGTGCATTTTTACATATTTATTTACATATTTATTCATATATGCTACTACTACCTGTTTGAAGACATGAAAAAGTGGCTACAGCCCAACTCTAATACACATGTGCTCACACACACCTGTCTGTCCCGCTCCAGCTGTTGTCTGAGTATGTGCAGGTGCTGGTGTGTGCTGCTCTCCTCTTGCTGGATCTGACTGGCCAGCATAGATTCTGTGTTGTCTAGCAGTGTCTGGCAGTCATCCACTGAGAAGGCGGAGCTTGTCAGTACACACTCTCTCCAGAGTTCAGTTAAGCTTCCCAAAAAAACCTGAAAATGCTTCTAAAAATACAAAGGTACACGCACACACACATATTATATACTCTAGTTTCTCAATTTAATAATGGATCATCACAACATGTTTTCTAAAACAGAAAAAAAAATTACTGCATGATTTAAATATACAGTTAAAACACATGTGAAAGTGCTTTCCATATGAACAAACCTAGTTTGAAAAGCATAGTTCATATACGCACCTTCCACAGCTCACACACAGCATCAGATACTCTCCTGTCATGCTGGAGCTCATAGTCTGTTCTTTGCTTCCAGTGTTTTACTTGCAGTTCCTCCAGCAGCTGAGAGAAAGATAGACACAGATACAGACTCATAATTGAGGGACTGTGTTCTAGGGTTCTAGGTTCTCTGAATAATTTAGTTTTCTGAGATTCTCAGATTTGTAGTAAACATCTGAACATCCAACCAGTTCCTGACTTCTGTATAATTTGATGTATAAATGTATGATAGCATGAATGACATGAACAAGACTTCAACGACTATGCAAATACAAGTCATGTGCAAATGTTGCACTGTTTTCTACCTTGATTTATTTAAATATATACAATTTATTTATATATAAATATATAAAATCAGTTACATAACAAGGTCAAAAGGCTAATGTGTTAAATTTGTCACAAAAAAAATTCCTTTTGAAACCCCACATCTATTATAAATGGAGGTCTTTCTAAATCAAGTGTTCATTTGTGTTGTACTGGCTTCACAAGGTGTGTAGTGCTTGGACCCTGATAATTGACACTTGTAAATTGTAGTCTTTTATTTACTTTTACTTTTTTATTTTGCTGTCATAGCTGTTGCAACGGCCAAAAGAAATTACCATGTTATGCACTAATTTCAGGCAAAAAAACAAGCTGTCTTGGTTGCAAACAATGATAATTTACGCATATTATCCTTTTCTGCACACTGTTCAAAATCTGTGAAAATGAAACTAACTTTACCATTCAAAACAAGTTATTTCTTTCTTAATGGTCAATAAAAATTAAACACCATATCTGTGGAATGGTCAAATGATTTGCTGTGCTGTGGGGGGGGGATTCTCTCTCAGAAGTCTGTTAGCAGCGAGCCATTTTCAGGTGACAAGTTTGCAGAATTTAAGAACTGCATTAGATGGAATGCAGGTAAGGTGAATGTCTGACACAGGTGTAACTGATATCACTCACTTCGATGACCTGCTGAGCATCTCTCTGCTGATGATCACGTGACTCCAGCACACAACTCCACTCTTTGGCCTGAGCCTTCACCATCTTCCTCATCTTCATGTCCAGCTTCCTGCAGTGCTCACAGACCAGCTCCACAGTCTGCTGCCTGATCTCTACATAAACACACACACAGACATTTGTTTTTGTGTAATGCTTTCTGAAGCAGATGTGTATTGCTATTAGGTTTCCCTTGATGTGCACCTTAAAATGTCTCTTATTACATTTTATTTTCTAATTATTTCTTAAATGTAACTCACTAAAACATCCTGAAAAATTCTGTGTATTTTACCATGTCAATCCATATCACATTTTTGTTTTTATGTACCAAAGGGGACATTTTACTGTGAACTGATTTGGTGAAAAGTTAATACATGTAAATGTGTGTACTTTTATTAATATCTTTTTGCCGTGGAAAAAATGGAAAATAGTTGAAAGTTCACACTTGAACCTGTCGATATAGAAATGAAACTGACTGTAACTGTAATTATGCAATTTATCAGGTAATCACCCCTAAATTATGATGTAATGTAAATCAATGCACCTAAAACAATATAAGTTATTATTATTAAAATAATAGAAACAAGAACGACAACTATAGACTTCTAAGGATCATCAGAAATTTGGAACATTTTGTGCTTTGTAACTTTATTAATTCTGCCGATTCTACAAAAGTAAAATGATCATTTATTGGTATCAGTATCGTCTACCATGACTAGATCAGACTAGAAATTCTATTTCAAGACACTTGTAGTTGTTATAGCATTGTGTGATGTTGATGTGTACAGTTACAATGGCATATTTATCAATAGTACAGCACCATCAAAGCAGCGCTGGAGCTCTTCTCTGACCACAGTCTGCAGGTCACTGATCAGTCTCTCCATGTGACCAAACCCCAGATGTCCATCAGCTGTCAGCTCCTCTAGTGTTTGGATAGTGAGCTTCATTCTAAGCTCTGCCTCCTGCCTCAGGAAGGCCAGTCTGATTCTCAGCCAACCAGATAGCTCCTCCCACCACTGCATCCTATCACACAGGATCTGAGAGAGGAATTTGAGAGAGGGGATTGGGGAAGGTTTTTATTTTATATTACAAATTATTAATAGTTTTATAATTAATTAATATTAATTAATATTATAATATTAATTACAATATTAATATTAACTGATCATGACCAGTTTATTTAGGATTTGCCTACATTACCATTAAGCTGTCTTGACTTCACTTTCTAGTGATGAGGTAGGCTGTTTATTAAAAGTATTGCCTTACTTCACAATTTAGATATAGATGATAAAAGCACAGCATTACGCTATCGATGCTTGAGAGGAGATTAATACTCAATATAGCACACCGAGTGTGGTCTGTTTCACAGCTAAAACAATTTCACAAGTTGTTACCAACAGTGATAACCATGGCTGTCAGCTAATTTATCTCAAGGTGGTTTACTTTTTTCCAGGTAACCTAGCTAAAAGACAGTGCCACTGCAGGTTGCTAACCACATTCTACCATGTTTCTGTGAGCTGTGCAGATGGAGATTAGGGCAGAGTTATGTGGCGTAGGGAAGGGTCTTATAAAATGACTGACAAGAGGTCAGTGCAAACACAGAGAAACACTCGACTTGGCCCTGTAGTTTTCCAAACTGTGGACTTTCAGGCATATGATACACTTATGCAGATGCCATTGCCAAATATTTTTTTTACTCATGTTCTACATATTTTCCCGGTTATTTGTAATTACAGAAGTAAATAGACTACTGCACCTTTGGGGGTTGTTAGGTTTAAATGGTGTTTATTAAGGAATGTTCGGGTTAGAGACTTTATTAAGGAACGATAAGTTTAGACTGTATTTTTTAAGGCTACCATCTTATTTAGATTTGGATAGCGTCTATTAAGGATTGTTAGGGTTAGAGAACACTTATTAATAATTTTTTAAATTTTTTACATTTTAGATTGTTTATCAAGAATAGTTAAGCTTAGAAAGTGTTTATTAAGATTTGTAAAGAGTGAGCTAATTCATTCTTTAAAGGACTGTTTAGATATTTAGATAATGTTAATTAAGCATCATCAGGCTTAAAAAGTGTTTATTAAAAGATCATTAGGTTTAGCTGGTGTTTATTAAGTGCTATTCGGGTGAGCTAGAGTTTTTTCAGGATTGTTAAAATTAGATAATATTTATTAAGGATTAGGTTTGTTCATTAAGGGTTGTTAAGGTGAGACTGTGTTTATTAAGGATTGTTAAGGTTAGATACTGTTTTTCAAGGATTGGTAGGGTTAGATGGTGTTTATCAATAATAAGTTTAGATTGCATTAACTAAGATTGCTGGGGTTAAAGAGTGTTTATTAAGGATGGTTAGGATTTGATGGTGTTTTGTAACCACTGTAAGTGTAAAAGTTGCTCCTCCACCCAACCTTCACATATGAAGACTGAATATCCGCTAGCTGCTTCTCCACCAACAGGAGACAGTGGATTAGTGAACGAGTGATATCCTGTGCAACGTCATTTGGTGTGCTGCTATGAAGGCGCTGACAGAGTTGCTCCAACCGTTTAGCAAAACTCACAGCCTGCATATAAACACACACACACACACAAACAAACAGGCTGTATGATTTGATCAGGTTTAACATTTATTGAATGCAATGTCACACAGTAACAAGGCCTTACAATTTAAAAAGTGCTCCTGAAACATAAAACGTGAGGGCAAAAAATGGCCCATATGAATCCTATGTAAAAGAAAAACACTGATATAGGACTGAATGACAACTAAAGGGAAAAGAAAGGAAAAAATAAACACTGTGGTTTTTCTCCATGTCCTGTATTGGTGGAGAGTTTTGTATACATTAACGTTACAGTCATTCAAGCTGTCAGTAGCTGCGGCTGAACCATGGATTGCTCTGCTTGGTTGGAGCAACACGCCGTGAAACCCTGCTGCTGCGTGATGCTGCTGATGACAGAGGCACACCACAGGTGGGCTGCTATGCCAAAGGCTATCGCTAAGCAAGACACCAGTGGTTTCTAAAAAATCTCTCTCTCCTCACTCAACGTTCACTCCCTCTATAACAATCCAGACTAACATTACCTCACACTGTAAATGACTACACAGCTGGAGATGAGTGATTCAAAAGAAGCCTGAACCATTTAGGTAGAGGAATCCCATTAGCGTGTTTTACACTGTATGTCCATTGTGTTACCTGGTGTATTTGTGGCAGGTTTTAGCTGAATTTCTTTTCCATTAAGACTTGAAACAGTAAATTTAGCATGACGAGTCGTGCAAAAGTATTTTTATCAACATAACAGTAACGTTTGTGATCGTGTCTGAATGGAGAATAAACTCTCCTGTGTGTTGGGCAGTGTGTCCACTACGATGTTAAAGACTTTTGAATCTGTTACTTATAAAAACTTTGTGAATCCAGACCAATTATTTTTATTTTTTGAACATATTGCTGTGTTTTCTGGAATGGTATTCACTTTTCTTTAAATATGCATTCATTGAGGCGCAGCAGGAGACAGTTAATATGATAGCTGCACGAAAACAGACACATGACAAACAGATAACATGTTTATGGCCTAGTTATGTCACTGTTATTTAGTAAGTTCAAGCAGTTATCAAACAATATATTATGTAGCCCTGGTGTGTGCATGTGTGTGTGTGTGTGTGTACAATTACCATATGCAGTGTATGTTCCAGCTTCTCTCTGCCTGCTTTCTCCACTTCCTCTACAGAGCACAAAACTGAGCCTGGCTCTGCCCCTTTCTCCCAGCTCAGCAGCTCAGGACATATGTCTTTCTTCAGCTGCTCCATTTCCTGTACAAAATGATGCTAAATGAATGATCCACAGGACAAAAGCTCAACTGATCACAAGATGCTAATTTACATGTGTTTCATTTCTGTACTGCAGATTTTAACCCTTAGAAGTTTGAAATTATTATTGTAGTTCTGCCACAATTATTTATTTTAATTACATAATTAAATCGCTTTTGGCAGGTTTGAATCTGCACTTCTGACTGTTTATTTTATCAGTTTGTACATATTTGTATAAAATGCAAGTACATCAACTGAAAGTACACAATCTCAAGTATGAATGTGAAACAATGTATAACAATATATGAAACAATAAAATACAATAATATATAAATACATGCTTTTGATGTCATCAGTGATAACTGTTATCTAAGGCTGGCTTTACACAGTGAAACTTTCATGCAACTTGACAGTTAGATGAAGCAATTCAAAAATAAAGTTGCAACAGAAAGGAGCAACACATTACTCCACTAGTTAGTCAGAAGCTCATATTTCCGTCTTGTTCTCATTTAAAATCATCTGTCACATGTTGTTTACACTTGCATATTTGTAGCATTTTTATCTTTTTGTATCATTTTCTGGTTGTCACTTTCATTCTATTTTTCTCTAGCTAGATTTCTCTCTTATCTAGCTATGGTTTTCTTTTTCATTATATATGAGTTTTTGAGTTCTATGTATGTTAAAGCAACACTATGCTTTACATGCTGACCCGCAGAGGCACATGCACACCATATTTTAGTGTGTTCTTTTTTTCTCCATACTCAGTAATGCCACTTCTTTCAGCTGCTTTAAGGTTTGAAAACGAACGAATGTTTAACTAGACATTACATTTATATTTGATGCCCTGCTCATCCTGTCCTAGAAACACAACTTCACTGAGAACAGCATCTCAGTGTCCTCTTCTGTAATAAATTTCATCCCTTGAAACCCAAAGGAATAGCTGCTCTATGTAAAAATCAAGTAAAATGTCATTTCATGTAAGCCAGCCTCAGGATTAAAATATTTAACAAGCCAAACTATATATATGAAGTATAACAGTTTTTTGTTAAGTGTCAAAGCACTACAGCCCCAGTAGAGCCAGAACAATCCTGATGCTTTTTACTAGAAATGTATAAGACAGTACCATACCTTTTCCTGCTGCTGTAAGTCTTGCTGTAGGGCAAAGTTCTCTCTGCTGAACAGAACTCTTAGAATATGCAGGAAAATCTGAAATAAGTAAATGAACAATGATAGAAATTTTAGAGAACATTTTGTATGTTGTGTATTTATTCTTTGTTATGGATTACAGCATAGGACAAAAGACACAAATTGTATGAGAATAGTTCAGCCAAAATTCAAATTTACATAATTTTGTATTTTCTCTAAAAACAACTGTTTTGCTCCTTTTGTTTCAGTTTAGCATCATGCAAATGACATGCCTAAACTGCCTCAAACAAACATCTTTATGTGGTTTCTGACACTGACACACTAAAATAAATGGACAAAAGTATGGAGAAAATTCAAGCTTAAAAATGCTTGCTACTGTTTTCAGTTATGCATACTTTTGTCCATTTTTATAAATAGGTCTGAAACAAGTGCGTGCACCTCCACAGTGCTGATTGGCGAGGTACAGGCAAGTGCGTGCACCTCCTTTCATTACTTGTTAACCATTTTAGCCTTATAGATCTAATGCAAAACAAACAAACAAAAAAAAAAACTCTTGGTTGATCGACTTGGTACAAGGAAAACTGTCTGAAAGTGATTTTTCGCCGAATCATTATTTTGATGTTTAAGGCAAAAGGGCATGTCAGCATATCTGTGTCTGAGGCCATGTATAAACATGTTTTGTTTATCACTGCTGTCCTAAAATAATAGTTTTCTACATCATTTGAGTCAGCAGCTACCGTTTTCATTGTCCGAAAATTTTATGAAAAATGGACGAATAGAAATGCTCCAAAAGTGCTTGGAATAAAATCTTTTACATTAGCTAACAATAAAAGCAAAAAACATTTTTGCCTTCTCTGGTAAACATTTATTTATTTGGTAAACACATTTTTTTATATACTTGTTGTGATAGACCCTGTTCAGTGTGTGCATGTGTGTGTGGTGGAGGACAGGACCTACACTCCATTTTTCCTTCTGTAGTTGAGCTGTATGCAGATAAAGGTTCTGCAGTGTCACACAGAGCAGACTCACTTTACCTTCATCCCTAAAACACATGTTAAAGTTCAAAACCACATGCATATGTATTCTTATGACATATACACAGACCAGCCAGTTCGTTAAGTAAACTTCCTTGTTTCTACACTTTTTATCAGGTCCATTTACCTCTGGACTTTGAAGTTCTACAATTACAGACTGTACTTCATCTGTTTATCTGCATGCTTTGTTAGCCCCCTTTTACCCTGCTCTTCATTGGTCAGGACCCCCGCAGGACCACCACAGAGCAGCTATTATTTGGGTGGTGGATCATTCTCTGCACTGCAGTGACAGTGACGTGGTGGTGGTGTGTTAGAACCAACAAGGTAGGTGTGACTAATAAAGAGGACAGTGTGCGGACAAAGTGTTTAAAAACTCCAGGACTGCTGTGTGTGGACCTAGACTGGCGACCCCTGTTTTACAGGGAATTCACACACTGTGCAAAAAAGGTAGAGGCCACCATTCATTTATTTACTTTCCAGTCAAAACAGCAATTAAAGCAGCAATATGTGAGATGTTTAGATAAAACTGAAATAAGTAGCATTACTAAGTCAGGAGAAAAAACAGAACACACTAAAACACTGCATGCGTGTGTTGCTGTGAGTCGCTCTGTAAAGCCTAAATCATAATGAGATGTTGCGTCAAGTTTTCAGACAACATCATACTTCTTTACATGTTAATGCCACACACATAAGCTCAAAAAGAAGGTCTGACTCCATGTTCAGGTCTCAAATGCATGATGAATATACTGATGAAGACATGAGCACAATAGCAGACAATTCACTCACATCCTCCAAAGACATGTTGAATTGAGTTCTTGTACTTTCAACGCGCTCGCAATCATCTGATTCCTTCGGTCGTAGGCGTCCAAAGTGCAACCCACAAAACAATATGTTCTCATGTTGCGTGCAATTAGAGATCCCCAAATGTTATATAATGCAGCTTTAAGAATGAATTATTTGTTTTTCAGGACATATTTCTGAGGAGATTTAAAAGATAATCCACTTGCATTGGGGAAATTAAAGGAAAACAAGTGGGGGGGAAAAAAAAACCTGTTTGGGTTTTCTAAGTTTCCAAAAAAAAGATTATATAAGCTTTAAAGAAAATGGGACTCTTAATAATCCATGCAAGATCTGGTAGTCCACCAAAACTGTCACCGTTGGATAAACAGCACTTAAAGCTTTCATCTTTGAGAGAGAGGAAGAAAATCAAGCTCCACTCTTGCTTCAGATCTGAAAGAATCCAGAGGTGTTTCTGTCTATCCTTCCATTGTGAGAAGACAACTCAACACTATGAGTCTGAAAGGATCTGTATCTATCAAGAAGCACTTACTGAGAAAAATAAAACAGACAAGAAAGAAGAAAGCAATTAAAAGAATTTTTAATTAAAAGAAGCTGCTGGTGTACACCCCAGAGTCCAGACCTAAACATCACTGAATGTGTTTGAAATTACTTGGATTGTGAGATGCACAAGACGCAGCCAATGCCTAAGACTGAACTTTGGATGTGTGGAAAAAAATATCTCTGCAGATTTCTTTGAAAAACTGAAAGCAAGTCTCCTGAAAAGAATGGAAGCTGTAATAAAGGAAGAGAGTGGACACAATAAACATTGAAAAATCTGAAATTAAATTTAGTTGTTAAGGCTTCTGTGTAACTTCTTTGAAAAAATGAATAACTTGTACTTAACAGATGTTTTGTCTAAAAAATAAATGAAAAGGTGGTCTCTGTACTGTATGCAAAAACACCTAATTTGACCAGGGGTGCCAAAACCTTTACATGTGACCGTATACATGCACGCGCGCACACACACACACACACATGCACACACGCATACGCACGCTCAAACACACACACACAGACACACAGACATATATACAGTATACAAGAATAAGCATGCATGCATGTGAATGTGTGTGTCTGTGTGTATTTGTGTGTGTGAACTCACCCAGGGTAGCAGAGTGTGTGTGGGTAGTGCTGCACTCTCCTAAAGCTGAGGCTCTGCTGTGTTTTAGGTGCAGGTTCAGAACAGATATCCTGACTGCTCTCATCTTCCTCTCTCTCCTGACTTGGCCAGTCATCCGCAGAAGAAGAGACGGAGTTTTGGTCAGGAGAAGCGGCTGGTTTCGGGTTCTCATGTAGAGATGGATTGGAGGCCCCATCTGCTAACGGCTAACAATCACATAATGATGATCAATGACTCACAACAGAAGAGTCAACAGTACAACACGTTAATTAATCCATTAGAAAAATACAGAGTGAAATTGTCTGAACTGCAGGACAACTATTCAGTTATTATTCTAAAGATTTATTATTCAGTAACTATTATGAGTTGTTCATTAACTAACCTAAAAGTAATATGTAATTTATGTACAGGGATGCAGGAATTTTAAATTGAAGTAGTATTCACCCCCATTTTTTTTTACTCACTCATGTATCATTCAAATTCCACTCCCAGCTGCTGCACTAGGCATATAGTTAGAAAATGTAGTTTTAATGAGATGCTTCACTAATGCAGTTCTGGTGCCTTTCAGTGGCTATTTCATATTCCAACTTCAAAATAATGGTATTATAGTTCTATATCATTTAAATATTAAAACCTATTTTACACAATGTACTATCAACACAGGAAACCAAACACTAACATTAATAATTACAAATTTAAATAGCCAGAGCCTTTAGATGAATATGTGATAAAATGATCTCACTCTGTATCTCTGGTTGATGGGATAAACTACTTTTGCCTTCAGCGCAAAGGCAGCTACATCACTGTTCACCGGCTCCATCTGCTTCTGCTTCTGCTTCTGAGAGAGAGAGAGAGAGAGAGAGATGAGTATCATCCTATGTTGGTCTTAAAGAAAAGATTTTTAAATGAAAATTATAAGATCATTCGATTTCCAGGTCAGATTTGTTCAGATCTCAATCCAATGAAGAATCTATGGCACTATTTAAAAGTTGCGGTTCACAAGCATCATTCAACCAACCTGAACAACCTGAAGCAAACCTGCCGAGAAGAAAGACTTAAAGCTGTTATTGCAGCAAAAGGTATTTTTTACCAAATACTAATCTGAAAGGGCTGAACACTTACACAAGCAGCATTTTTCATATGCTGTTTTTAATTTTTTTAAAAAGATCAGCTGAAAAATAATGAGTTTTGACTGGAAATTTGCTTAGAGAGCATGTTGATTTTCAATAAAAATACTGGCTGGACCAAACTGTGTAAGTGTCATTCTTAGTCCAGACGAATCTGATGACTTAAGGGGGTTGATTACTTTTGCAAAGTACTGTATCTATAGGTACGACAGTAAGTGAATTGCTGCCCTCTTCAGGTTAAGTCATTAATTCACTCTAGGTTGGACATCACTTTGAATATGTAAACAAAAAATGGACAACAAAAATATCTGTGTACAATTTTAAATCGTATTCATCAACACTGATGATGTGTAAAATGCCAGTTCATCCAAGCATTACATGTAAGACAGTGCCTGCAATAATCCACCTCTGATAGTGCATATGAGTGGGTCCAGGTTTCAGATCTAGCAGTACCAGTCAGTCATAGAGGGATCTCCAATTCCCGGGGACAGATCGAGTCCAGACTTTAATTTCATTTTAGGGATGTTCATGGGTAGTAAGTATGCGGTTAACTGTTTGAGATACTACTATTTGAATGCTGAAAGCATTATTCAAGTATTTACAAAATATAAGACATACAAAATATAATAACCAACAATTCAGTGAAACAGCAATTTTATGGTTTAACAGAACACAAATATGTGAAAGTATTTGTGAGTAAATATGATATACTTTGCTATTCTGTAGCATGGGTGCTTGAACATTGTATAGCCAAGGACCGGGGGTCAAGGACATAAATGCAAAGATTTTTATACCTAAATAGGCTGGGCTGATGTTAGGTTCGGAAACAGCTACAATATGTTTCTCTAACAAACTAACATGTTGACATACCATCCATCGAAGAGTAAAAAACACCTGTAGAAGGTGAAGTCTTCTTGTTCACTTTGTGCCGACATGAAAACCTACCAATCTGGCTTGGCTATTTTTAAATAATAAAATATGTTTTAAAATGTATTCCTATACGTGATGTCATTTTTTTTTTTTGCAACACGGTAAACTCGACATTATTTTTTGCCACTGTTTTTTTCCCTACATTGTGGCAAACAAATTAGTCATCATGCACTTCCCTATTTCATACTCATGCAGACCTCTAGTATGTTTGTATATATCTGAAGGTACCACTGTTTCTGATGGCGCAGTCTTCCTCCCCACACAGCTACTCTCAGTCTCCTCATCTCTCTCCTCCACCTCCAGCAGGCTCCAGGGGTCATAACCTTTAAACTGACCACACACACACACACACACACACATACACACACAGTACAGTAAATTAGAAACTTTCAAGCTTCTCTATAATACAAAAGCAAAATTATAATGATGATAATGATGATTGTAGTATTTTGTGTCTTCACTCACTCTCAAGCGAAAGAGGAACACACCAGGGACTGGCAGATCTACACTTCAAATCTTAACATTTCCTTTTGAGAATGAAAATTTACATAAAAATACTGATACCAAGTAGTGGCACAAAACCACTTTCTCTGCTCTGATACTGATACTGAAACTTTGCAGCCGATATCAATACCAATGTGATTTGGTGTATACATCATATAGCTAAATGTATGTGAACACTCTTCCTAATTATTGTGCAAAGGTGTTTCAGCTACACTCATTGCTAACAGGTATACAAAATTAAGCACAGTCAAGCAATCTCCATAGACAAACATTGGTAACAGATTCATACTGAGGACCTCAGTCTGAGCTGCGTTTGGCACTGTCATAGGATGCCACCTTTTCCACAAATCAGCCCCAGTCTACTGTAAGTGCTATTATTGTTAAAAGGAAGCACCTAGGAGCAACAACAGAGAGGAAACACTGAGTGCTGAAGTGCCTAGCCTATCGCCTATCCCCTATCCCCTGTTGCATCATTTACTACAGAGTTCCAAACTGTCTCTAGAAGCATCATCAGCACAAATACTGCGTCAGGAGCCTCATGAAATGGGTTTCCATAGCCAAGCAGCTGCACACAAGCCCAAGATCACTACGTGAAATCCCATGCTTCGGCTGAAGTGGTGACTCTAGAGCTGTGGAAATGTGTTCTCTAAAGTGATGAGTCATGCTTCACTATCTGATGGATGAATCTGGGTTCGGCGGATGCTAGGAGAGCACTATCTACTTGAATGCAAAGTGACAACTAAGTGGAGGGGGGTTAACTGTCTGGGGCTGTTTTACAGGGTTTAAGCACGGCCCATACTGAATATACTGTCAACACCGAACAAAACCTTCCACAGAGTTATTTTCAGTATAATTGAGTTTACATGGTGACCGTACCTTTTTAGTGAGGAAAAAGGGTTTGAGGGCGTAGATATGAAGAAGCGCAGCGGCAACCAGCCCCATGCAGGCGCCCAGCAGCAGCGCCGCGGTCAGCAGGCCGGAGTGCAGCAGCGCGGCGCCGGGCAGCAGCAGCAGCGCGTCCGCGGAGCAGTTGGAGCTCATATTACCCAAAACACACACACATAACCGAACAGACCAACGCACAAACCGCCACTTCAATCAAATCTCTCTTCAAAGTAGTCTCACTTTGTCTATGGCCTGTTTACGGTAGCAGTACGACATCCGCTCCTTTGGATCTTCTCCGCTACACGTCTCGTCCTAGCAGTTTTTCTTTTGACTGATGTGGGCTTGGACCAATCACAGACGGTTAACGCTGACGTGCTCAATCATAGACCAATAGCGTTCGACCGGAGGCGGGTTATCTAAGCTTTATAATGAAAAGTTTGTGAAAGCTTAGACTTTCCCAAACCAAATGATGTGAAACACACGGTGACAACTTGGTTCATTTTTCTTTTTGAAAAACGAAGCACACAAACATAGATCAAACACACTCTAAAGGTTTTAAATACATGCTGGGATTTGGACAGATAACAACACTTGGCGAATAACTGGAAGGTTTCATTGCATTTCAACAGCACTGAAAAGGAAAAAGCTGTCTCTGCAGTTTTTCTCTTCATTTCCTTCTTTTTTTACAAACCAGTCACACGGTGTATGTGGTACAGTTAGAACCGCAGCATTACATACACTTTTGTTTTGGATCGTCTACGCTACTTTGACTGAACGGGCTTTTAACCAATCACACACGCATTACGGCTGACGCGCTGAATCACAGACCAATAGCGTTTGAGCAAGAGGTCCTCTCAAATGTTTAAAGTTTTCAGTTTTGGGAAAGTTTCGCCAGGCTCCGCCCCCTTTCCCAAAGTGAAATACACACTTTGGACAACATGGCGGAGTCGACCTGAACGGGAGTGCAGATTTAGTTTGAGATTATTTTTTTGGGAATGTTTTGACCACCGGCTGATCAAACTGGAATTTCGAGTTTTGATTTTTGTTTCTCCAAACATTGGACTGAGTGCATCTCGTGGAGAACCGTGTAGTCCTTCCGTTCTGTTCCGTTACCTTCGGATCCTTCTGATATCTACCTTTCCTGTTTTACTGAGATGATCGAATAACAGATGAGGTCAGGTAAAGTGAACATTAGTTAAAATGGGACACGTTGCTTAATGGAACTATACTTTCTTGCTTTTGACAGTGACAGCATGGTACTTAATATAAATAAACGTTCATCATTGATGTAATGTGGGGTTTGCCTGTAATTTAGAATCAAATGCATCCATAAAACTCATAAAAGTACGATGCCATAACAATTCCTATTCTAAAGCTGTTATTTGGTAATTATCCTTTATTATGTTTTAGATTGAGCAGTGATTTAGAACTTTACCAATTTGTCTGCTTTTATCAGATTTTCTTTTTTGTAATGCATTTTAAATGTGGAAGCAGCTTTTCTCAATTTCAAATGTATGACATATATTAGCACATATGGGTTTCCATTATATCTAATTTTTATGTGTCCCATACAAACATATATATTTGACAGAATACATTGTGTGTACAACATGTATGTATACATATATGCATGGCCCTTTATGATATATGTGCATGTATGTCTGTATGTCAGATTTCTATATGGCTTTTTACTTTACCTCTATTTGAAGTATGCAAAACAGGGCAAGAGAGGTAAGGTGCTCTTTAAGGAGATGCAGCACAAATATCAACATATTTAAGCACAGAAATGCAGAAAAGTTAAATGAAACTAACACTTTGTTTGTGAGTGAGTAGTTCTGCTAAACTGTTCTGGTTCTGTTTGCCAAAAGGTGTCACACTTTACCTGAGCTCACCCTATACTGAACCATGCTTGAATTGTTAACATGAAGTCATGGTTCTCCATCTCTGATGTTAAATGCGTTTCTTCGCCACCTTCCTCATTGTGGCACTCACGGAGAGCAGCACCATTGGGATAGGTGTGGAAAAACAGGTAAAGCAGCACATGGAAGTCTTGTTACACTCTTGAGTACACTGTCTGTCCACTTTATTAGAAACACTTATCTTGTACTTCAAGTGACCTGCCACTTTATAGGTCCACTTATAGGTTTACTACATAGGTCCATCATGTAGTAGGCTGCTCAGTATGGACAAAAATAGGGCTGCATGATTACTCTATATATATATATATATATATATATATATATAAAAAAAGGCTACAGATTCTCCATAAGGTAGAGCTACTAGCACTCGAGTCTCTTTTCTCTGCATAATTGAAAAGAAGGAAACCCACATCAGCAGGATCATATGAAAATGTTTGAAGTTACAAATTACATGTATATGAAGTAAAATTTAATATTTGCAGTTACAAATTGTGTGTATGTGAACCATGTCTGGGCTCAACAGACATATAACATCCTTTATTGAAGGATTGCAACGTACATAAAACTGCAACATCAAAGTGAAGAATGTGCCACTTGAATGTCTGTTATAGGCTTCAAGTGTCAGTGTTTAAGTAGGGAGTGAACATTCACCACCATTAGCTTGGTGCTAACTTAAAACTGAAATGATCATATATGCATTATTATGATTGTAGTAATGTGGAAATCTTTAAACAACAAAAATATCTGATTAGTCAGCAAAGTGCTTGATTGCTAATATAATTGATAGTAACAGAGTTAACCAAATACTAGTGATGTGATTATATTGCTACATATTGTGAATGTGTTACTCCTTTCAATAGATTGCAAATGCATTAGTGAATCAATAATAGGGGTGGGAATCTCTAGGCACCTCACGATTCGATCCAATTACGATTCAGAGGGCTGCGATGCGATTATAAAACGATTATCGATGTGTCTTGATGCATCTTTTTTTTCTATACATGATTTCTATTTTCTTACTGTGTGAGCACTTGGTAGTTTTACAACAAAGTATTTGTAATGATCCATAATGAATTTACTTCCAATATCTTTTATTAATAAAACAAAAGGAAGTGACGTGGCAAGTGAACTAGAAGGCTCTCATTCACTGCTCTTGTTTGGAGACGCTGCTGCCACTCATCTATGATAAAATGCGCTGTTACGGTGAAATAAGATCCAGTGGTGATGGATGTCCACGCAGCATGTTATATATTTTTAGTGATTTCATAACTTCGGTTTTGGTCTCATGATGGGGGGGGCGGGGGCAACGAGGTTTCGCCGAGCGAGTAGCGAACAAAAAAGGAAAAGAGAAGGACAGATGAATATTTGGAGATGAATGGACTTATTCGCATTTATAAGCAGCGCACTTGGTTTCCTGGTACGTTAAATCTGCAACGAGAGACTGTCGAACACTAAACAGTTGCGAAGATGAGGTCGCTTCTCTTTCTAATTTTCCCGTTCCACCTTAAATGGTGCCGCTGGTGGAACGGGAAAATTAGAAAGAGAAGTTCAGCAAGAAGCTGGCGAATGAAAAGCGACTTCAGCCTCGTAGAACAGCGGAATGCTGAGAGACATTTTACAAGAAACTAATCAACTTTTGAGGAAAAGTTTTCTGGCAGAGATGGAGGAAAAGCGGCTGTAGCTGAGCTAAAGCTTAAAGCAGAGCAAAGTAAGTCTGCGTTTTCGTTTATATTTTTTAGCCTAAACTAGGACATCATCACATACTGACACATACTGGACATTAAATGTTGTGGCTCCCAAGGTGGTTTGATTTTTGTTGAAAGGACAAAATCGCTCTTCTTAACATTTGTGTTGTGACTCCTGACCTAACCTGGCTTTAATGCAGAGGCAGCCGGTCGGATTTCTCGCTCATCCAGTTGTGTTTTTGTTATGTGCCGCCACAGACTGACCGGGCGCTGCACTTACCGACTTCCAGGTTCCGCCCTTTGCGTTCCGTCAACATTACGTTATAAATTAAATATTTAGAAAATCGATTTTTGACATTGATGAATCGATTCAGAATCGTCCACGTCTGCATCGCGATGCATCTAAGAATCGACTTTTTCCCGCACCCCTAATCAATAATGTGGCACTGTTGAAGACACTGTTAAATGCCTGATTTATTTTTTTACCAAAATAATTTCCTTTTGTAGAATTACATTTTTACCTTGATCAAAACAGCGTCAAAACACACATCTGGAACTGTGATTGTCTACTGAAGTCTACTACTAAACTTAAACACTGTTATATAATAACACCAGCTACTCCTAATGTGCTCTGCTACTGCCAAAGCAACTTAATTACCACACTTCACAAAGCCTGCTGGTTTGTTTAGGGTATGAGGGTCTTTTTTGGGTCTCTCTCTCACTCTCCCTTTCTCACTCTCTTACACTCTCTCTCCCTCTCTGTCTCTCTCCCTTTCTCTTTCTCTTTTGCACACTCTCTCTCTTTCTCTTTCTCTCTCTCTCCCTCTCTTACATGCTGTCTCCTTCTTTTTCTCTCTCCCTTTTTTCTATCTCTCTCTCCTCCCTCTCCCTTTTTCTTTCTTTCTTGCGTGCTTTTGCTTTTCTCTCATTCTTGCACACTCTCTCCCTTTCTCTCTTGCACACTCTTGCTCTTTCTCTTCCTCTCTTACACACTGTCTCCATCTTTCTCTCTCTCCCTTTCTCTCTCCCTCTCTCTCTCTCTCTCTCACACTTTCTCTCTCTCTTGCACACACTCTCCTTTTCTTATGCACTCTCACCCTCTTTCTTTCTTTCTTTCCTGCTTTCTCTCTTGCGCACTCTCTCCTTTTCTTTCTCTCTCTCTTTCCCTCTCTCTCTTGCACACTTTCTCCCTATAACTCTCGCCTACTTTCTTGCACACTCTCTTCCTATCTATTTCTCTCTCTCTCTCTCTCTCTCTCTCTCTCTCTCTCTCACACACACACTCTCTTCCATTCTTTCTCTCTCCCTTTTTTCTCTTGTGCACTCTCCCTTTCTCTCTCTCTTGCACACTCTCTCCCTATCTCTCTCTCCCTTTCGTATGCACTCTTTCTCTTTCTTTCTTTCTTTCTCGTTTTCTCTCTTGTGCACTCTCGCTCTGTCTCTGTCTCTCCCTTTCTCTCTCTCTTGCACATTCTCTCCCTATCTCTCTCACTTTTTCTCACTCTCTCCTGTTCTCTCTCCCTTGCTTTTTCTCTCCCTTCCTCACACACTGTCTCCCTTTCTCCCTCTCTCTCTGTCTCTCTTGCACAGTCTTACCCTCTCCCGCTCCATAGATATGAGAATGATGTGTAATTGACTTAAAATCCAAGTTGCTAGGCTAAGCATGGGGGCACGATTATAAATGTTTGCACTTTTAACATTACAGTCCTACTTGTGAGAAGCTGACCCTGTGAGAATCTTACATCAACTTTTGACAGTGTCAACTATTTTCTTTACTTCAGAGTTTCTAATATGGCCAACTACAGAATGACGGCACAACTTCAGTGGTTTATAGCAGTTCAAGCTGAAACACTCCTTATTCACCATGAGTGGGTGGGGCTAAACTGCTGTAGGCTGAAAAGCTGAATGTAAATATGTTTAATCACAAAACAGTAATTCAGAAACTAGCTCATTCTGCCTCTTTGTACTGTATGGTCTGGGGAGAACAATGTGTTTGGAACCTTAACAGTGTTTGCCTACTGCATCAAACTGTTTTATTTCTAGTGGCCTTTTAAAATGATGAATTTAGAAGTAAAGATCCAGAGAACCAGAAATGCTGAAATCTATTTCTAAATCTGCAGATCCAGACTACAGTAAAGCCATCAACGTTTGGTCTTAAGTTCCAGAAGTGTGCTCAGGTACTGGAGTTCCTCATCTATTCATTGCTTTATTTGAAGTCTGTCTATGTTCTGCCCACAAATACATTCTTTTGTAGTTACTGTTGTTTACTGTTTGTGGTTACTGTTCAGAAAACATTTGCAAAATCTCATGCAACCTAATATGTAATTTTTGTCCCCTAAAATACAGAAGCTTAGAATGCATTGTCCATTTCAAATATGTAAGGATGTAAGGATAAATCAGGTGTAGTTTTTTTGTCTCATAATTTTTTAGGGATAGACTAAGTAGAAAGTTCAACAGCTTCGTGACAATATGTTGCCTTTATGTATATCAATAAGCCAAGCTACTAAGTGACAGAGTGAGAAATGAATAGGGGATTAGCTAGCAACGTTCAAAAATCTGAAGCTGTGTAGCCTATCAATCAGATTTTTACCCTTAATGACTGAGCGCAGATAGGTCAGTTTCTATTGCATGCTGTCTTAAATGGTAATTCAACTGATTTCTCAAAATGTCTGCATAGTTCAATCATTGAAACATAAGTAAAGTTCAGAGGACAAAAGCTGTTACAGAACAACAGTTCTTAAGTTCATAATCATATCCTAACTTCAGGCCTAACTTTAAGACATCCTAAATTCTGGCCTAACTTTAAGACAACCCCAGAAGCATAGTAACGTCTGTTTTAACAGTCTGTTTATATCGTTTTATGGAGTGACAGACATCATAGTTCACTATTCCTAGCATAATGACGTTACATTTATCTACATCAGAAACGCTGCTTTAACTTATGAGGTTATTTTTTCTAGCAGCGTTTTAAAACCCCAGACACTGCTGACACAATCTCTGCTGGCCCCTCTTATTAGCTTCGAGTGTTATTGTTGATGAAAACTCGTCAGATAAAACAGCAATGTCGGCGAATAATGAGGAGACAGAGCTGAACGCGTGGCTGTTTATTGGTAGGAATAACGTTAGTGCAGTCGGCTAAAGCGTTTGGGAAACTGAAACTGGAGAGCGACGACACTGATAAACAGCACGTAGCGCTGACACAATATTCTTAACTTCAAGTTTATTGCGCATTAGTTTTGTTTGACCTTTTTCACCTCAGTAACGATAGCTAATGTTAGCTGTCTGGCTAACTAACTTAATTATACTGATTATGTGTTTACGTTTCAGCTGTGCGTGTTTGGTCGGTTGCTAGGCAATAGACATGACAGTTGATAGTCAACTTCGATCAAGCCGGTTAGATTAACTACCTAGCTTGAGATAAGATGCTGTAAGATAAGATACGATTCCTAAATTAATATAAGATTTGCTTCTGTAATAAGAGTTTTTTGAAAAATCTTATCTTGACCTGTCAGATCTTAAGTCAAAAAGATAGGAAGTTTCTGTAATATGGCCCCGGGGGTCGCAAACATAGCCATATTATTCACTGACCAAGAAATCCAGTGGAGCTAAATGTGTTTTATATGTAATGTTGATAAGGGTAATATATTGGTAGATCTGAAAGGAAAAAAAGTTTTCTGTGGGGAATATTTTGCCTTACAACACCCTGTATGTACCTCTCTACCATATATGTGTTTGAAAAAACACATTTTAGGCCAAAAGCTTTCTCAGATTTATTGTTAAACAACGTCTCAGCCATCAGGCACCATATTCATAACCATTTAATGGAATCCTTTTCTGCTTTGAATGTCTACGACCAGTCACTATTGTTGTGAAAAACTGTGACTTGGAAAGTTTCTCTAGATTGTCACATTCTACATCAAAACACTCTGAATGACTTTGTTTACATCTTAATGATTGAACTGTGTAGAAATCTTGAATTTATCTTGAACATAAATATATTTAAAAAATGGCAGCATTCTGACAATATTGCATGCTGTATTGCATTACTGATCTAATATCTTCACATTATTTTAAAAATGAATGCAGGAGGTTGATTTTCCAGGTACTGTTATAGCAGAACTTGAGGCAGTTATTTACATTCGGTGTGTTTGTTTTTTCTCTTATGTGTGTTTGTGTCTCAGATTGAAACAGGAAGTGAGTTTCCCCAGGTGACTTTATACCTGGTCATTTCAAATCCGCCTGAGGGAACTAACCTATCACAGCTCGGCATCCGTGACGCCATCTCAGACATCACGCGTCTGCAGACTAGCGGCAACGTGCAAGAGAGAGGATACCAGACTTTCACCACAGACTCACTGCCTGGTAAACACACATGACTGTATAAGTACATTTGTAAAGACTTCTGTTCACTCTGGTGATTATTGTGGCAATGTAAATACAGTAATAAGATGTAAGTGTAATATATTAATGTATTAATTTATTACAGTAGAGTACAGTAATACTTATGCCTTTACCTAACCCTAAACCTAATCTTAGAAGATGATGAAGAAGAGCTGTTTTCCAGCCAAATGTCCTCAGATCTTGATCATTTTCATGTTTTCCTTTTATTATGAATACAGTTGATGATGACAACTGGCTAAATACAAAAACACAAATTTTCCATAGACTGGCTGCTCTGTAATCACACAAACAGACACTCAACAGAGCCTTAAAGGGTAATTCCACCAGTGTTTCAAACTTTCTATATAATATTTGCATAAAAAATGTGTTAAGATGTAAACAAATTCATTAAGAGTGGACTGATGAAAATCCAAATCAGAAAGTTTCTCTACAATACACCATTTCACATCAAATCACTCTGAAGAAGTTTGTTTACACCTCAAGGATTGAATTATGCAGAAATAAAAAAAAATATTTGGTGGAATTTCCCTGTACAGTGTACTCAGGCCTAATGAACATGAGCTGAAAGTGACCAGAGAACATTTAAACACCTACACCCTCACACAGCCTACATCAGTATTGGTCCCTTTGACTTTAAACTTTTTAGCCTGTACTGTATGTGTGGGTGCAGGGGATAACGGGGTTGGTGAAACTGTTAATTTCTGGGTCAGTAGAAAAACATAAGTATCTGTTCAAGTGGGGAATATTTTTTGTATTCTCCTTTAGTGAGCACATTACAGAAATATTTTTAAGAGAGAAATAGAAAAAATCACATTAGTAGAAATGACCTATATGGCTAAAAGTATGTGGACACCCCTCTTTATTATTGAGCTCAGATGTTTTAGCTACACCCAGTACTAACAGGTGTATTAAATCAAGCACATAGCCGTGCAATCTCCATAGGCAAGCATTGGCAGTAGAATGGGTCGTACTGATGAGCTCAGTGGCTTTAAACGTGGCACTGCTATAGGATGCCACCTTTGCCACAAGTCAGTTTGTGAAATGTTTGCCTTGCTAGATCCACCCCTGCCCCTTCTATAACGTGATGTATTTTCGAATGAAACAGTGCGGAAGTAACTCTGACTCTGATGGTTCGCAGAAAACCCACAGGAAAAAGTAAAAACAGATTCTGTCAAAAAACGAAGCACTACAGTATTTTGGTTGTGCTTTTTCTATATTTTCATTATTTATCAAAAGGATTTTTTAAAGTATTTTTTTTTTTAATTATTATGTGTTTTCAGTATACTTTGTTAGGCCAAAGGACGACACAGATGGGCAGGGCAACAGGCCTCCTCTCAAGAGGAGTGGCTAAAATGTATGGCGGATATTATCTGAGCTCTATCTTTGACAACTGATTTGAGAAAAAGTTTTGAGAAATGATTGGATGTGGGGAGAAGTTAGGCATATACAAATTTCAGCTGCACTTTTAAGTAGTTCAGTTTATTAACATTATATGCTTTTAAGAATCGCCAAAGCACTTTTTGTCCTGCCAAATCTAACGAAAATCCACTCAATTTGGCAATATTTCCCTGCTGCTTGAACACGTTGACACAACCAAGCATCATACGGCATTTAGAGGCGGCATAAGTCATTAACTTCAATCAAAGATTACAGAGAAACAAGAATTTTTTTGAATGATATAACACAATGATATAACACAATGCATTGTGCTTAAAGTGACCAAGGACAGGAACTAACAAGGTAAAAAATGTCCATTTTGATTTTGAGTTGAGTTAAAAAGAATTACTTCCTTTAAAACTTGCTAAAACTTGCATTAGCTGGCTACCATATGCTATATAAAGTACTGACTAACTATCCCTTTCAAGTTGTTTTGCGCTTTCCTTTAAACATGCCTTTTTAGTAGGGGTTACTTTTGTACAGTGTAGCGCATCGAGCTGATAACATGACTGAACTTTACCTACTGAAGACTCAAGGCTCGATTTAAACTCACACCTCAGAGACTTAAGTCTCAACTCATGTGAATCAACTTGTTAACATCCTTGGCAGGAGTTTCTAAATTTTCGACTGGTAATGTACTTGTGTACTGTTAAGTTCATATGTGTTTATATATAGAAGTACTATATTATTTCCAAAAAAAAAACAACAGCCAAAAATGAGGGGTAGATTTTTTTAACTTTTGAATTTTTGATTTAGAACTGTTGCAGTTAGGTTCAGGGTTAGGTCCTGACAGTAGTAACAGATAATGGTATATGTGTATGTGTTTGTCTGTGTAGCTGGCTCCAATTATGTAGTTACATACATGGCAAGTGTAAAAGGCAGCAAGAATGAGGTTCTGTTTTTACCAGCGTTCCTGACGTTCTCCAACGCTTCCCAGGTAAATTTTCCTCACACTGACCACTCACCTGTCATATGTGTACGGTTACAAAAAGGACATTTCATATTAAAACATTTTAAAAGTATTAATAAAATATTAACAATATTTAATACTGTTAATACATATATATATAAACAGTATGAAAAACTTGATGTCAAAAGTCAGAGATGACTCTTTTATTTTAATTTCTAGTCAAAACAGCCATTAAGCACAAGTGTATTTTAACCCTCTTTTTTAACAACAAACAAATTTCAGGCAGGTAAATAAATATGTAAATGACCATATTGAATTATTATTAGGGCAAACAGGGGTATATCTAATGATTTCTCACATTTCAAAATATATATTTGAATTTCTTTTCCTTCGTAAACCTCATTAACAGATTAGGAAAATTTATATTGTTTGTCTGTCAAATCCAGGATGACCATCATGCCCTGGTTCTTCTCCAGAGCGCTGCCTGGAGTTTTTCCTGTATAAATATGTATTTTTTTAAGCATAGTTAGATTTTGCATCACAGAAACCCCATATTTACTGAGATGTGTGTGTGTGTGTGTGTGTGTGTGTGAGAGTGTGAGAGTGTGAGAGAGAGAGAGAGAGAGAGAGAGAGAAAGAGAGAGTCAGCCGTACGCCTAATACCAGATAGAAACTACATATATATGAAAATCTATGAAATCTTTTGCTTTTTAATCATGTGTTCTAAACAGAAGTTGTGTATAAATCACTCTAGGGGGTGTTTGTAACTCAGTATCAGTGTAAAAATATTGTTTATTTGCAGTTTTCATAAAATTAAGTATCAAGCTGATTACAAAAAGGCCAAGGATATTTTATGAGCTGTTGAAGATGCTCTGGGGTCTCAGGGACCCCAAACGCAACATAAGGGTTAAAAAATACAGAGAAAATGGAACTGCTAACAACCATATAAGACCTGGTAGACCACCAGAACTGTCAACATAAGATAAACAGCACTTAAAGCTTTCATCTTTGAGAGAGAGGACAAAATCAAGCTCCACTGCTTCAGATCTGAAAGAATCCACAAGTGTTTCTGTCCACCCTTCCACTGTGAGAAGACAACACTATGTTTCTCAAGGGATGAATAGCTGTCAGGAAGCCCTCACTGAAAAAAGAAGAAAAGAAGCTGCTGTTGTTCTCAGAACAATGATTACTTGGATTGGGAGAAACAGAAAGTGCAACCAATCGTCTGAAAAGAATGAAAGCTGTGATAGGTAAAGGGTGGACACACCTACAACTGAAACACTTGTATTTAGTTGTTGAGGCTTTCTTTTGCCTTTATTTCTTTTAATAAGAAATAAATAAGGTGTTCTTAAGGGTTGTTTTGACTGGAGACTAAGTACATGAAAGTGTATACACTTATATTGCTGGTGAATCAACCCCAGACTGCATAATATTTCTATTTAATTTGTGAATGTAATGATGTGACTGATTGTCTTCTGTTTCTGTTTTTCTAGAATGACATAAATTTGTTTGGCCCAGTAGTAGCGAACTTCACTCTGAGACTAAACACTACTGAAAAGGTGAGCACTCACTTACATATACTCAATAGTTTCCTGTTGGCTGCAGTTGTAAATCTTTGCAGCAGGGGGCAGCATGCACTAGCACAGGACAGCATGCACTAACAATGCAGCACTCATAAACAGAAGTATACCAGTTCCTCCTGCCCGCTGCTTTTACCACTAGATTTCGATAATGCATAAGTACATTTATAATTATTTGTGATACTATTTTTTGTTGGTTTAATGATCGTCTGCCAGAATATCTTGCTACTGTAAATCTTTCTCCATGGCAGAACTGCTGTTTGCTCTGAACTAAAGTAGAGTGAGAAATCTGAGTGACCATCATGAACCATTACCATTGGAATGTATTCCTCATTAAGCAGGTCTGCGTGTGTTCCCTCTCAGGTCTCTGTGAACCATGCGCTGCACTTTGCTGGATTCTGCGGAGCGTTTCTGGTCTCTACGCTGCTGTTCTCTCTCACGCTGCTCTCTGCCAGCTGCCTCTACAACAAGTGCCATGCACACTCCCCTCATAACAGGGTTTGTCTCTCTCACATGTCCTCAGTTATTCACTCATTGTTCTCTAAGTACAGAGTGGTGCTGATGGTTTTTATAACATTATTGTCCTTGTAGAGGAAGAGGGGCTTCAGTGGAGGGGCAGAAGCAGAGGAGGCTGTCTGCAACATCAGTGAGTCAGCGAATGAAGAGGCAACGTTTGAAAATAAAATCATTGACATTATGGCACTGGAGGACCCACAGAATGTGTTCCAAGCACTGGAAAAGTGAGGATCAAACCGAACTCTGTAACCCCTAACTCCAAATTTAAAAAAACCTTAGTATCTAATCTACCTGTCCCGGGTGTTTCCCGCCTTCCGCCCAATGACAGCTGGGATGGGCTCCAGCACCCCTCCGCGACCCAGAAGGATAAGCGGTTTGGATGATGTGTGTGTGTGTGTGTGTGTGTGTAGTATCTAATCTCTAACCCTTTTCACCAATCTCTGACCACTAACCCCTAATCTTTAACCTCTAATCCATATCCCCAATCTCTACCTTTCATTTTTAACACTTTGTCCCCAGTTTTACCTTGGATGTCTGATCCCTAATTCCTAACCCCTAATCCATGATCCTACCCAAATCACAACACCTGATCTCTAACTCCTAATTCCTCACTCCTAATCCCTAACCCCCTTAATCTCTAATCCTTAACCCCTGATCTCTAACCACTAAAGGCTCATCTATACTCCCTTTACGCATGAAAAAGAACATGTCTGTTTCAAATGATGTAACCGTCACTGCCCTCATACTTCCATGTGTCCTTTACGTTGGCATGGATGGTAAGCAATACACTCACTAGAGGGCAGTCCAAAGTAAAAAAGACAACAACAAACAGGGTGGAGGCAGAGAGGCTGTAATAATGTATCAACCATGAAAGAGGTACCAGTGTAGACTATGGTGGTCAGTGAGATCATTAAATGCTTTATGACGTGGACGGAGAATTCAAAGAATGCGCACAAATACGGAGAAGTGAACGCAGAGTACAGACTGAAGGCTCCATCTGTATCCATATTTAAAGTTGACCCTAAATGAGCCTTAAACCCTAATCTATAACCCCAGTCTGTAACCCCTAACACCCAATCCCTAACGCTTAACCTTTGATGCCTAAATTTGATCCCAACACCTAATCTCTTACTCCTAACCCTTAATCCGTAACCCCTAATCTCTAATCCCTTACAACAAATTCTTAACCCTTAACCTCTGATCTCTAATCCAAACATCTGATTTCTTACTCTTAACCCCTAATTCCTGACCTAAGGTTTGATCCCTATTCAAGCCTTAACTCCTAACTAACCTCTAATTCCTAACCACCCATCCCTGACCCCTTGTTTCGAAACCCTAATCACTAATCTCTATAGCTGCATATACATATTGGCAATGCAGAATTGCTGTGAACAGTACGCGCCATGTAAACATTGCCTTGGTGATAACATGGCAATAAAAACCTTTTGTGAGAATAAATAAAATAAATCACAGTTTAAAGTTAATAGTCTGTTTTTCTGTTTTGTTCTTTCCCTCATTTCTCTATCTTGACCCCAGTCTGGAGATGTCCACTCTCCTGCGAGGGGCTTTAGCGGTGGAGCGTGTAAGGGTACAAGTTGTGAAGGGTGTGTTTGGGGTGCTGCTGGGCAGTTTGGGGGCAGCTGGGCGACGCGTGGTGACTGTGCTTTTGGGCCAGGTGACAGGCATGGAGGGCAAATTGCAGGAGGAGCAGGGGGCCCGACTGGCCACGCTGGCTGCCCAGTGCACCATGGAAACACAGCAGGAAATGGAGATTCAGCATCACGCACATGCCACTGAGAAAACTCAAGCTGAGAGACTGTTCCAGCATGCAGAGCAACAGGTAACACGCACACTCACACACACACAGTAAGAGTGGACAATATGGCCAAAAATCTTGCGTTTTGTTGATATATTTTTTTTTTTTTCCCATTTATGTCCTATTGACATTCCTAGTGCAAACAAATAATTTGTGTTTTATGTAAGACTTTTGCACAGTAGTGTACATGTATTGTAAGGTAAAAATGCTGGACAGTTGTGTGTTGCGCAGGAGGTGCTGGAGTGCACGGTGTTGCTGGAGAAGCTGCAGAAGTTGGAGCAGGAGCGGCTGCAGCGAGGGCTGCTGGCGAGGCATGAGCAGGCATCTGCACAAGCACAGAGACACACAGCCTTGCGCAGGAGAGTTGAGCTGCACACCATCTTCAGTGAGGAGCTGGAAGAGGCGGCCAGGACGGGCGAGCTGGACAAGGACACGGCCAGCAAGCTGCTGCACCTCTACTGCACCTGCCAAGTGAGCTAACCAATGCCTCTACACTTGACACATACAGCAAGAAAATAACCCTACCCATGTTTTTGACGCATGATCCCGATATTGAGTATCTGTCCTAATATTACTATTTTTTGTAGATAATACAGCGACACAGAGCACATGTCAATTAAAAACAAATTTGGTAAGATATGCTACACTTCTAGTAACTTTAAATAGCTACCAACGAAGCACTTCATGTTTAGTTAGTCTAAACTATTTTGTTTAGTTTTTTTCACCTATTTTATTAAGTAACCCTTTTACAGAATAAAAGGTTTCACATTGATCTAGTGTACACTATATGGGCAAAAGTATGTAGACATTCCTCCTAATTATTGAATTCAGGTGTTTCAGCCACACCCATCGCTTACACATGTATAAAATCAAGCACATCACTGTATTTGAATGCTGCTGCTACACCTGTACCAAAATGTCACAGCATAATTATATCTGACTCACTGTGCTATTTAGCCAGTTGCGATACTTTCAGTGTTTCACATTATTGGATTCATTTATTATTTATTTATTTGTTATTTGAACAGGCAACTGACTCTTCATTTAGCATGTAAAGTTCCAGTTTGGCCCGTGAAGGAGCAGTTATCGTGACAACCATAGACACATTTACATGTGACTGGCCATTCTGCTGCCAGCAGATCAGCCTGCCTGTTCACTCAGAAGTGATGTAGTTGTTACTGCAGAAGAGTCTGCATCAGAGTTATTGGAGTGGAAGTGAAAGATGTGAGGAAAATCATTAAATGTTGTGCTATTCTTGGCTGTCAGGAAGAAAATGTATCACCGCAGCTTTCCAAAGTATAGACACATCAGAAAACCATGACTAAAGTATATTTTTTTTCTATTTTTCAGAGGATTTCAGTCCAAAGTTAACTGTTAACAACATTTTACCCTGGATTGCTTTTTGAACGAGACACAATACAGGATCAGTCTGAACAGAAATCATTTACATACATCAGTCCTAAAGGCAGTAACACAGTAACAAAAACAGCCTGTTTGGTCATTTAAAATGAATTAAAAAGCACATAAAACCACCTAAAAATTATAAATGGACTTCAGGGCAAAAAATAAAATACAAGAAAAGCATAAAACATGAGCCTTTTAAAGTAGTGTGGTCAGTTTCCCCAGGACAAAACTGCCCAGTGTGTGTGACCAATTCCCTTGTTCTGCCTGTAGGACCAGCTGGAGGAGGTGCTTGATTTGTTCGTGGCTAATCAGAGGGCAGCGCTAAGTGAGCGTCAGGCGCAGAGACGTTTCCTGTTGCAGAGGCTACATGGCCTGCAGGGCGCACTGTGTGACGTACTCAGCACTTCCTCCCAGCACATCGACAGCTGGTTTGCTGAGATTCGCAGGTACAAAAATCATCCTCATCTTTATTTTTGTCCTTTGTTTTCTTTCTGTTTGTGTATTTGTACATTTCTTTTCTCCCCCTTTAATATTAAATATCAGCCCATGCTGATCTTATACACACTGTGCACTCTGTAAATAAAACCAATATAAATAATCAAACCAATGCTGCTAGTTGAATAAAACTAAGACATGCTAGGCTGCAACTCATTTGAAATACAATTACTTAAAAATGCAGTTACTTAAAAATGCTATCATAAAATCTAGGGGTGTTAAGATATGTATGCTATTAATTTCTTGCAAGATGATATACGGTGTGGATCAAATATGGTTAGATTTCATGCTATGAAATACATGATGCCTTGAATGATTTCTGTAGTTCTATATAACACAATCCATGATATTCCTAAAAATGATAGTGGTGACAGTGTACCAGTATTGCTCAAGGCAAGTCCAATACCCACGCAAATACCTCAAATCTGCTGAAGACATCACCAAAAAGTGTAGTTTCCAGGGTGAGGGCAAAACCAATAACTCCTCAGGGAAGCTTATAACTTCTGATTTGCACCTCTAGATGGTTGTAGAGAGTGCTGTATTCTGGAGTTTGCCAGGAGTGAGTGAGCCATGTTAGAAAAGCCCCTTAGACTCATGTTTATGTACACATACAAGATTAGATTGTAAATGAACTAGTAACGTTCAGAGACTTAATAACACGTTTGCCAAACACACATATGCAACATGTAACATACTTAATATGCATGTGTTAATACTGTTTTATTTATTTTATGTATTCTACAGAAATTACTTAGTACCAGTTATGCCTTCAGCAAGCTCTGTTGTCTTTTTGGGAAAAAATACCAACAATAAATAAATAAACGCAAGACGCATCATATTGTATCATGAAATTTTACGTATTTTTACACTGCTAATAAAATCACACCACTACATAGCCTACTCCTTTCTAGTGGCTTTGAACGTGTTATTAGCCTGCTGTTACTTTATCTGTAGTTTAACTGTGGTTTGGCCAGCTTAATCACTGTAAAAGTACAGGCAGTGTAGATATTACAAGTGTCCTCTGGTTTATTTTAATTTTCACTTTATTTATTTATTTACTTACATACTTACTTACTTATTTACTTACTCTGTTTTCTCCCCAGTTTAGTTGAGGCCAACAACTCAACAAGCTTGGAGGAGAACACTAACTGCCAGTTCTGTTATGCCAGCTAACCTTTTATATTACATTTACAGCATTTGGGAGATTCTCTTGTTTAACCGAGCATTTAATCACACTAGTTAAATTAGGAGCCCTACCAAAGTATGGAGGGGCATTTGCTCAGATGGGGAATCAAACCACAGTCTATCACGTGATAGATGCCCGCTTTGGTTAACTTGGTGCTGAGTGAAAGGGGAGAAGGTGGGCTATCCTACCCACCCTAAGAGAGCAAGGCCAATCATGATGTCTGGGTTTCCTGGCAACGGACGGCTAAGGTTGAACATTTTGGGGAAAAATATCTAATTGCGATGTGCGATTGTGATCTGTATTGCAACTGCGATTGCGATTACTTTCTGTAAACTGAAATCCAGGCCTGTTATTTTGGCTAAGAAAACTAGAACATCCACTTTTTCTGGTTTAGGCTTGAACACTGCCAGTTAGTTGTGATTGTGATGTCACTGCATATATGTTTTTGGCTGCTTCTGATTCACCTAACTCACCGACACACAGCTCTTGTGATTTGAAAATTGCACTCTTTTAAATTGTAATTTTCGATATAAAAACAATTAATCTTTCAGCCCTGTGGATGGCTCTGGCATCACCAGGGACCAAACTCTCAATCTTCTAATAATATTTTCTACTTTAAAAATACAAAACAAAGCCACATAATAGCTGGTGCACATGAACATTTTTTGGACGTTGAAGCTGGTAAAGACATTCCGTGTTCTTATTTGAAGTCGTTAATATGTTCAGACATTTTATCTTGTATTTAATATTTACAGATACTTTTTCAGTAAATACTCTTGGCATAGAGCTGTTGACATACAACTGTTTTTTATTTCACAACAACTAACTGAAACCTAATAAGACTATGGCTCATATTCACAATTAGTGTCATATTAGGACTCCTGGAAGGCCTAGAGTGTCGTTTTTCTCACGAAATTTGTCCCACTCACTGTAAATTTGGTTATAATTGGTTGATTCCACCAACCATTGCTTATTAAGTTGGTAGATAACCTAACGTTAAAGGGCTTCAGTCCAGTTCTTGAAGTCCTAACCAGTCAGAGAGCTTGCTCGGCTATATCGGCCCTGATACTACAGCAGGGGAAATAATCCTGATACGATCATCTACTGTTGCCAAGCTTAAGATTTTAACTCTTTTGTTTAAAATCAGTGACAATTTTATTCCTATCTTATTGTATTACTGTAATACATGCAGAGTGTAAATACAAGCAGGATGATTCTATTAAATAACACTGAAACTAGTTGCCAGAAATTATTAAGCCTTCTCTTAACCCCACTACTGCTTGTCACCTCTAAAACAGTTGTGTAAAGAGAGCTTACGTGGGAAAATTGCCAAGCGTCAGACTTTGGCCAATTAAATAACCGCTATATTAACATAATCGTTAATCAGCTCTGATACCAATCTTTCAGACTAGGTCGAGATGCCCCTACTCTCTGTCTCTGTTTCCATCTCTCTCTTGCTCTCTCTCTCACACTCTCTCTCTCTCTCATTTTGTCTCTTTCTTTCTAGATCTCTTTATCTTCCCCATGCAAATGGTTTGTGGCAGTGGCTGAGTGAAGTTTCTAAGCAGGACTGGGGATGGTGTTGAATTCAAATAGAATTGAAATGAGTGGGCTTATTTGGAGAGAAGTGCTCAAAGCCCAGTCCTGCTGCTGGGGGAATTTAAATGGAGCATTAATGTGGTAAAGTTAGATCTGATTTCTCTCCATGTCTCTGAAAGACTCAGACACATCAGCATCACACAGAATGTTGGATTTGCGAAATGTGGAACAAGCTCAGAAGTTTCATTATTAACACAGCAACAAGAATCTTTTATTTCAAGTTTCTGTTCAAGGTCTGTTTCTCATTAAGTCTTCTTAAGCTGTCGACTAACATCGAAAGAGGCTTGTTGGCAAATTTTAAACATAAACATTTGTTGCACTCTGTTGCATTTGTGGCAACCTGGGGTTTCATTTATTGGTGACATTTTATTTTAAGGTCTGCTTTTTAAAAATTACTAAATCATTAGCAAGCAATTAATAATGCCCTTGCAAATACAGCCACATCATTTGTAAGTGAGCTTAGCAATGTTCTATAAATGTGCTTATATGATGCATTAATAATTCTTCTTATATATTAACTGTTTGATGATTGATAAGTTAAATGTTCATTTATCCTAACCTTTCAGTTGCAGACATACTTGAAATATCTTGTAGTAGTGTAATGTGTGTAATGTGTTAATCAAAAAACATGAATAGGTAATAGTTCAATAAATCTCAATACATGATGACCAAACATGGTAGTGAATGCTAGTAAATGGTCACATTTTAGTTGATGATGGTTTAATGAGGAGCTTACAAATGTTAATTAAAAATAAATGTGCAAATGATCAATCAAAAGATCTTTATTAATGAATTTGCAAGACCAAAACTAAAATGCAATGCACACATTAATTATCAAATACATTTGTTATTATAAATTGTTTTGTAAGTTACTGTACAATTACAGCGTTCAAGCATGCAATGGAAATGTTACTGTAAATGAATATTAACTCATAGTCAACAAATAGTTAATAACTATAATAAAATAAAATAATTTAGAGAAGATCTTATTAATGCATCATATAAATACATTTATACCACATTTCAAAGCTTGCATACAAATGATGTGTTTCTATTTACTATGTTTTTTTCTTAATTGCTTGGTGATAGTTAATAAACTGTTAAGCAGAGCTTAAAAAACAAAATGCACTCTTTTTAAACTTCTTTCTTTAGGTTGAAATTTGACACAAATGAGATTAATCCTGATTAACTGCACAAAATGCTATTAATTGTGATGAATTACTTTAATCTTTTGAAAGTTCTAATTAAAACACGCAAATGGCTCAGTGTTTCCTCTACGATTTTTTTCATTAGCAGTGGTAGGCCAAATCCCTGCCCCACACAACTAAAACTGAGCTTAATAACAAAATAATAGCAAAATAAGGTCAACCAAACCTCCTCACAGTGTGCTAAGTTAGCCAGTTCACTAACTAGAGCTTGCTAAAACCCTCCGAATAGTACAGTCCACTGACGACTGTTTTACTTGGCACTTCAGCTCAAGTCGGCTTTGGTTTGTCTACTTCTTGTATCCATCATTTCAAATTAAAAAAGTCCTCTGCAGAGTTTGTAATTGCAACGTAATGACATTTCTTAAATATATTTAGCAGAAACACTGAACCTTTTGATGGAATCATCAAAGTTAAGCAACCAACATATGTTCTTTAGATAAATACAGCTGTTCGCAGAATGTACTTTTCCTCAGATTCTGAAAGTGCAAACATTTTCCTATCAGCTTCTCCCATCTCAGTCTCTCTACAAAGAGGAGAATTACACCCTGCAGCCATGCACCGTCACACGCTCTCTCTTTTATCTCTCTAAAGAGGGGGATGAGTTCCTCCATCTGGAGGCGAAGCGTCTCCATCCGCATGTGTATAAACGCATCAGATTTTTGCTCTTTTGTTATCAGCCCCCTGCCCTCCACTTTCTGAAAGGGATGGAGTTGTTTGTTAATGAGTATGAAGATGAAAGCTGCACCTCAGGGTTTTTTGATTAGTAGTCACTCTTTCACTGTTTTAACCAGTGGTGTTACAGTTCATTGATTTTCTTGGTGCATCAATTATAATTCCTTCCAAGACAACTGCATCAGTTGTAAAAAAAAAAAGTACAGAATCGTTTACATCAAAAATTGATTTTAGACTGCTACAAATCAAATGAATTGTGATTTATTAACTAAACAAAGTTGATTTAACAAGTATGTGTAAAACCTGGACAAATAATACATGAGAAAGTGTTCTCAAACTGCATAAGTGTCTCAGACACCATTCACAAGCTAACCATGCACGCAGATGATGAAGGAGGAGATTTAAAAAACACTGCAAAGACACTGCTGATCATAAATCAAACAACAGTTCTTGGTTGATTACATTTTATCAGGCTTTGAAAGGCCAGTGCTCCATATATGAATGGTGCTTGGCTAAATGTGCTGCTGTTCAACCGTGCCAGTTTGAGACTTTTTTTATTTAACTCCATGTTTTCACTTATAAACTCACCCACCAGTTACTGTTTTTTTCTTGGATAGCATGATGTCGTGGTGATGCATACCTTTGACCAAAACCGAAATTCAGGACAGATTTGGCCGAAAACAGAAACCCATAGTTTATATAATTTGATCTTCTATTTTTTTAAGGGGCGAGTGGGCAATTTTTACATTTTTTTTTTTCCCCCATAGTTTAGTTATTGCCAATTCCACCTCCCAGCTAGGTCCCCCCTATTACATGATGCCACGAAGCTGAGAGATTAAAGGCTAACACATGCTTCCCCCGAGGCATGTGAAGCCAGTGCATCTTTTTGATCTCCAGCAAACACAACATTACTAGACAGTTCAGTGCACTTGGAGAAGTATCCTGATAGCCAGTTCTGTTATGTCAACTTATGTTGGCTAGCATCATGCAAAGTGATGAGAGAAAGTTGTGCTCTCTTGGACTCCCAGCCACATCTCTCAGAGCGACAAGCAAAAAGGTTTAATACCAAGAGACTATTTCCATATTTCTAAAACGCATGTAAGCTAAAGACCATGTAGAACATAGTTGCAGCAGCCCATGTTTGTGTTTCACTGTTGATCTGCTGCCTGTCTGTGCTGACCATGTTTCTTATGTTCAGTACCACTCACATTATTAAAATGTCAGATTTTTACACTTCATTGTAGACCTATTTAGTCCTTAGTTTTTTTCTCTTTCTGATGAAATTGCATTGCCTCTCTTTGATATTGTAGAGATAATGGGAGAGAATGACAGTGGAAGCACTGCAATGAGCCAAACAAAGCTCTATATTTGACAATCAATACAGTGATTCAATGTTTGTAATGCAAGTCAAATGTGTACTAATACAACAATACCAGAACTAGAAAAGTCTTCATTTTTAAGGATCAAGCTTAATGCTTTTTTATGGTTTCTAATATGATCAATGTGTAGATAGTTCCAGTTTCCCAAATGTTCCCAGAATAAACTTTTCCTCATATTCCGAAAGTGCAGACATTTCCTATCAGCTTCTCCCATCTCAGTCTGTCTACAAAGAGGAGAATTACACCCTGCAGCCATGCACCATCACACGCTCTCCCTTTCACCTCTCTAAAGAGGGAGATGAGTTCCTCTGTCAAATGTGTAATAACACAATGATATCAGAACTAGACAAGTCTAGATTTTTAAGGATCAAGCTTAATGCTTTGCAGAGACAAATTTATTCTCTCATTTTCATTTGATTCGTCATGCAGCACAACTCTGATTCTGAACGATTTAATACATGACTTAATTACTGCAACTTTTAAAGAAACAGGAAATTATTAAGGTTCATGACTAAATCACAGAGAATGGCCCACAAATTTTATTTGTTTGTTTGTTTGTTTGCTTCTTTGTTTGTTTGTTTGAGAAAACTGAACATTTGCAGCAGAGATGTTACTCCAGGGTCAACAGTCAGAAACTTAGGTGAAATATCATGATGTGTCATAAGTGTTTCTTCAAAAATTCCCTGTGAGTGATGCTTTCATCTCTATCCAATTGCCATCTGATTAATGTCTGATTGATGTTAATCAAACACAATTTTAATAAGGCAGATTGGTGGTCTATCTATGAAAGATTACCATGGCAACAAGGCAGTTGGGTTGCTTGTTGGGTTTGGATCGAGTTAAACAGCTGCATCACAAACCAATTTCTGCATCAGGCACACATATGCTGGATACTATATGACCAAAAGTATGTTACTGAGTTTAGGTGATTCAGTTTTTCAGGGTTTGGGCTCAGCCCCTTCATTCCAGTGAAAGGTAATGTTAATGCTGCAGTATACAAAGACATTGTTTTCCATTTTGTAAGCATGACTATTCGGCTCTCGTCCTGGTTTTACTTCATTTGTGCATGCAGCAGTGAGTCGTCCTGTGAGTGACTCACCCTGGCATGCTGTTTTGCTATGGGAAAAATGCCACCAGGAATCAGTATTTTTCATTATTAATGTTGGTTTAATGTTCTTTTGACACAAGTTGATTTTCATGGATGAAAAGCAGATGCGATTTTAATGCACTGAAACTTTTGCTCAGATTTTTTATGAAATGCGAATAGGAAGAAGATGCAGAGGAAGAAGAAATGTGTTTATTGTGTAGTAACGGTGACAAAGTTATTAGTTTTCTTCTAGCCAGTGCGGTGCAGACACTGGATCACAGCCCATTCTGCTAAACAAAAACACAGACTCACAGATCAGACTCTAAGATGTAAACCTATAAGCATTAAAAGGAGTGGACAAACCATGAGCAACCATGACCTCTCATCTGCAATATAGTATAGGTGTTACTGTGTATGTTTTTTTTTTTTTTTACTTGAACCCCCCCACCTGCTGTAAATGGAAACTGTCTTAGATATACAGAAATTTGCTGTAAAACACTGATGGTTTTAATTAATGAAAATTACAATATTTACTGATAAATTTGCCCTGATTTGGTGATTTTTCTTATTGCTTATTATATAGCACCTTTGTAATACTAAGTGCTTTACAGATAAGCATGCAGTTATTACAAAATCCCAGAAGAACCAATAAGTTAAAGAGAACAATAATTGTAATAACATAGATATTTTGCTATAAATAGACATGCTTCATATTGTGTTATAATGGTAAACTTATAGTTTATGTGTTTGTAGGGAGGGTGGTCTCTCTGATCAGCAGTGTGCGGAGCAGTTGGAGATCGCTCAGTTGGAGCTGCTGCGCGTTAAACAGACTTTAGAGGAAACACTGAGCCGCGAGCGCAGAGCCATGCACTGTGACCTCATCAAAAGAAGAAGAACCCGGATATCCGAGATGGTGAGTGTTTCTCACACAGGATCTTATTTATCTTCTTGAGTCCATTACTTTAGTTAATCTAAACTCATGGGTCAATTAACACACACACACACACACACACAGCCCCAGACTTTTCCACCTCTAATTTTGTTAAAGTACTTCTACAGTCATCATTTAAAATACAAAAGAATGATAAATTGTTAAATATTGTTAAATTGTTATGTGTCCAAGAAACTACTAAAATAGCATAGGAGCATCCCTAAATCTCGACACTCATTAACAATGCAGAGATTTATGAATATGCAAGATTATGCAAACTATAAACACCACTTTGACTGCCCATTCCTAAACCCTACCCTTTCCTCCTAGTATCCTACAAGTGAGGAAGAGCAGAAACAAAACTCCTGTAACATGAGACTCACAAAACAGTTCCTGTCCTTCTTGTATGTTAAATGGCAAGTCAGCTTAAATCATACAAATGTCAATACCAAAAAAGTTGGGTCAGTATGAGAAGAATGACCATATGAGCATGACTCATTTTCTAAACGCTGCACCTTTATCCCACTACCCTGTATACAAACAAGAGGAGAAACACCTGCTGTAACTTTAATCATCAGAAAGATTCTGTCGTTCTGATTCTGAGAAAAACGACATCTAAAAATCAGCATCTGATGCTCCAAAATATGGATATATCTCACAGTATTAATGGTGCTTTCACAGATGTACCCCCCCATACCATGACAGACCCTGGCTTTTGAACTTTACGCTGGTAACAATCTGGATGTTGGCCAAGAGATCGCGGCATCCTTTTTTTCCATAAACAATCTGAAAGCCTGACTCATCAGACCACAAAACACCTTTCCTCTGTGTATCAGTCCATTTCAGGTGAGCTCGAGCCCAGAAGTCAAATCGTTGCTGGACGTTGTTGATGTATGGCTTCTGCTGTACACATTGCTGCCCTAACTTGCATTTGTTATGCAGCAGCGAACAGTGTTTAATAAATAACAGTTTGTCAAAGTATTCCCAAGCCCATGCAGTGATATCCGTCACAGAAGCATTTTTGGTTTTGGCCTTTACGCACAGAGATTCCTTTGGATTCTCTGAATCCTTTGATAATATTATGCCCCATAGAAGGTAAAATACCTAATATCCCTGCAAACGCTTATTGTGGCGAGCCTCGGCTCATCCATGCTCATAAAGGACTAGGCCTTTTCCGGGATGCTCTTTTCAGATCTATGTATGATTACATCAGCTTTTTGTACATTTCACAACACTCCTTGTCTTAAACAGCTTCTTTCCCAACTTTTTTGGAACGTGTTGCAGGCATCATTTCAGAATGAGTGCGTATCTACCCAAAACAATGAAGCTGGTATAATAAAACATGAAATATGTTCTCTTTGTAGTGCTTTTATTTAAATTCAGGTCAAAGTAGATTTACAAATCACCGCTTTCTGTTTTTAGTTGCATTTCACATACTGTCCTAACCTTCTCTTTGGAAAACTGAGCTGCTATGTAGCACCCCACAAACCACTTTTTCTGGATGTACTTTTCAAAGTATGTTAACACATTTGATGCAAACAGCATTCTATATAATCATAATAAGCCATCGAAAAAAAGAGTTAAAGATTTTTTTTAATGCAGCAGTCTTCACATATTTTTGGAGTAACCTAAATAATTTCTTTGAAGTTAAGAAATGGTTAATGTGTCCAGATACATTAAGGCCACTATATGTATTTGGTTGTTAATTATGTACTAATAAATGGGTGTTTTCTATAGAGAGATTGTTCTACTGTTTATTACTAAGGTTGTGTTTATTTGTGTATGTGTAGCTGTGTGAGCAGAAGCATGAGCAGCAGGAACTTGGAGGTGTTTGTGAGGGGCCAGTGGATCAGTATTTGTTGCGGTGGCAGACGCTCCTCTCTGCTCACAGCACACAGTTCTCAGAACTCATCACACACCTGGACCAGGAGGCAGTGGCGGAAATACGCAAGGTAGCCATGACCTAAAGAGCAAACAGCGTGGTGGTAACACATTTGCTCATTCATAAACAGAAGATTTTTGGCGTGTTTTACTGCTTTTTTGAGGCTTGGCGGCGCATTTCATTAGCGCTGACACAAAATAATAGCAAACAAACAGAAAGCTGGATTTACACAAACAGCCAACACCGCAGCACCTTCTGCTCACCATAGACACAACTTCTACACAGAGAAGATGACAAAACTAAGTTAAAATCAGACAGCTGGGATGTACAATGTTAAACCTACAAAGTTAAAGAAGTACAAGAACTTTAAAACTGATAATTATTGAAGCCAAAAACACCGGTTACTGCCACAGCGGGCAGTCCCAAATAAAGACGACATGAAAGTTAAATCAAACGTATTGTGTTGTGATGCAAAAATGACATTACATATCATGAAGTGTGCATACTTAAGACTTGTTTGTGTTTAAAATGTTGAAGTCTTTTTCATTTTTGACTATGACTATGAAATTATATCAAGTGCTGTTCCAGTCAGCATTTATGACTATACATATATGCACACACATAGACATACATGTATTTGTTTGTGTGTGTGTGTGTATATATATATATATATATATATATATATATATATATATATATATATATATAGTTTGGCACTCATTTGCTCAAATTATTTGACCCTGACAGAAGTGTCCTCTGTGTTGTGAACATCCTCTGGCTGACCCATGCTGTGTCCTGCAGGTGCTGCTCCGTGTTCTGCAGGAGGCTATAGTGGAGCTGAAGGCAGTGGGCAATGCAGTGTCTCAGTCTCTGCAGGCTTTGGGTGTCCCACGCTGGCTGCTGCAAAGGGGGGTGGGGGACGAGGCCGTGGCTGAAGCCCAGGAGAGACTGCGTGTGCGGGATAAAGAAGCGGCTGCGACCCTGCGAGTAGCGCGGAGCTCCATCCAACAGCGCAGACTGCAAGAGCTGCAGCAGCAGAGACAACTGAGAGAGAGACTGGCACAGTACTGCCGGTGCGTTCCTGCACCACCGTGCTATCTTCTGTGTGTATGTGTGTTGTGTATGTCCCTGATCATGTTAAGCATGATCCATCATATCATTTTACTAACCCACTTCCAAAAAAGTTGAGACAGGAGGTAAAATGCATATGTAAATATTTGTGTGGGTTTTAGAGAGTAATTTAATCAGGGAATTCCACTTATTTTTCAATATTTTTGCCTAATTCCAGATCAAATAGGGCTTTAGAAGTAAAGCAATGAGTAAAGAGATTACTTTTTTGCAGGAAGTAATCAATGAAATAATCCAATTATTGTAATTTGTTATGGATTTATTTTTTGTTGTGCATATGTTTGACCACATCCTTTCTCGTGCAGAAGTGTGTGTGCATCTCGGTGGGCTCTGTCGGAGACGGATCTGCTGCGTGTGAGGTTAGAGTGTGTAAAGTGTGTGTGTCGTCTTGATCGCTGTCTGGTGCTGCCGTGCGCTCTCTCACGGGCCAGACTGTGCACCACACTGACCCATACCATTGGCCAACATGCTCAGCCTGACCCCAGTGCTGAACCCCATGAACCCTCTCTTCTAGACACAAAGGTGACAATTTCTCTCCCTCTTTCTTTTCAGTTTAAAAACATTTCTTTTTATTCATGTGCACATGAAAAATGGGAACAAGAGACGTAGTAGTAGTGTAGTAGTTACAGGGGTTAAATTGGGCCGGCTATTCAATGTGGAACAACCACTATACAGCTTCACTTTGTCACTTTCCTTGCTAATGTTCAACGAGGATTTGTTTTTTGGTGCTTTTATGTGAATTTTTAAAAACAATAAATCTTATTCAGTCATTCCTGCTAGAGGTGTAGCAATTCACAAAATTCAAAATTTCAACTTGTATGATAGAGAAGATTATTAATTCGATACAATTTTCTAGGCATGCACTGATACCAATGCTAATTCTATTTAATCCAGGTACTCAATAGGTGCCCATAAATCCTAATATTTCTACAGTTATTTTAGTAAAAGCAGTGTTCTCAGTCACAAATAAAACCTGGTAAGCATCAATGAATGGCCTTTATATCCACACTGACCAGCCACTTCATAAAGTACACCTATCTCCAGCAGCACTGCTGTGTCTGATCCACTCATACTGACCCGATGCACACTAACACGCCACCACCATGTCAGTGTCACGGCAGTGGTGGTGGCCCTTCCTGGCAATTGAAGAATGGGGTAAAAGGGGGCTGTAATTGTAACTGTTAAAAAAAAATATACAAATATACACACAAACATATGCAGCATACATATAGGTGCATATTTGTAAGTATACTGCAGCTTCTCTTTCCTGGCAAAAATGTTGCTAAATGTTGTTTGTTTGCCTTTCAGCAGAAGGGCCTGAGCTCTAAAGAGCGCTCTCTGGAACGAGGAGTCTGTGCTGGAGATACAGGAAGTTTGCAGAGCTTCAGGAGGAGAATGGAAGAGAGGATTCACTTCCTCCAGCAGGAGAGAGAGAGGGAGAGCAGTGCAGAAGAGGAGGTGAGTGGAGGTTAACAAGGAAGGAAACACACAATATTTTTCTTAACAACAGGAACAAAGCTACTTTTAGTGTCCAGAGCGCTTAACGGGTTAATAACATTTCAAGTAAATTTGAAAAAAATGCAACAGTAAGTGATTTGCTTTTATTGTTAATGCTCATGGACACGTGTGGTGTATCTGAGGGTTTTTATGAACTGGTTACCAATGCGAAACACTGGAGCAGGAAAGAAAATAACGAAAAGTGTCTATTTTCCTCACTGATCTATTCTGTGAAAATTTACCAAAATTAAATAGTAACATTATTAACCACTTAAGGATGTTTAAAATAACATTCTTAGAAAATAAAGGTGCTTAAAAAGGTGTTTTGTATAGTTCCGTAGAAGAACCACTTTTGGTTTCCTAAAACAGTAGATTGTTCTTTAGAGAACCATTTTTGCAAATGATTATGTATGATTGTGAAGAATGTCTGTGTAATGTAAATGTTGTTATACATTATGTGAATGTTCTTCAAACATTTAGATCTTCCCACTGACAAATCCATTTTTCCTTAGAGACCCAAATGGGCAATATGACAATATTGGCAGTATGTGAAATGTTGAATGAAAATCTCTTGTATGTAGAGTTTTTGATGCAGTTTCTGCTGTGGCACTATAAGGGCATTGTGTCTCGGTGTCAAAATATAGTGATACATATATCATTAAAATATTTTTAAGTATTGTTTTATATTTTTGCTAAATCACCCAATTAAACACCTAGTTAATAAGGTCATAAACACTTTAAATCATTAATAAGCACTTACAACACATAAAAAGGGCACTAGTGACATGTTGCTTGCCAAAAAGCGACCCCATATTCTTTTATACTGTAAAACCTTAGATCTTGCTGGTTTCTCCATCAGTCAGCATCATACAGTCTCCTCTAAAAGTACTGGAATGACATGGACACTCTTTTTGTTTTTGTTGTTCAAAAGAACCCATGCAAGCCATGACACTACCTCCACTGTGCTTGACTGATGAGCTTGTGTGTTTTGAAACATGAGCAGATCCTTTCTTTCTCCACACTTTGGCCTTTCCATCACTTTGGTAGAGGTCAGTCTTCGTCCCATCAGTCCATAAAATGTCCAGAACTTTGGTGGCTCACTTGTGTCTTTCTTTGAGAATTCCATTTTAGCCTTCTGATTCTTACTGCTGATTAGTGTTTTGCATCTTGTGGTCGAGTGGCCTCTATATTTCTGCTTTCAAAGTCATGTTTGAATGGTGGATTGTGATAACTTCACCTTTGCCCTGTGGATGTTGTTGGTCACTGACTGTTTTTGGGTTTTTCTTCACGATGTTTCTTTCATCAACTGCTGTTGTTGTGTTTGGCCAACCTGATAGATGTCTGGTTGTTACTTCTTTGACTTCCTTTTCTTCAAAGACAGCTCTCTGTTCTTGCTTTATCTTTTTTAACAAATGCAGAACCCCAGGGCTCAAACCAAGAGTAGACATTTAGAGATATTCATTGTTTAAACAGTTAATCTAACCGGACACACCTGGGAAACAAAAAATACATTTCAGTCACATGTTCCATATTTTTGCTTATTTTAAAAGTGGGTGAGTTCTAACAAAATGCCAAACTAACAATATGTCGAACTAAAAGCTGAAATTCTGATCTATCATCTCATATTCACCTTTTAATCTCAAACCCAAATGTCTTCAGTGTACAGCAAAAACAAAAGTTTGTATTTTTTCCTATATATTAAGCTCAAAGTAAACAGTATTGTGCACTAAAGCTTGTTCCCTGTAGTGAATGTGCTAACTCAACAAAACATTTGGCTGGGGGTGCTCAAATTTGCATACTGCTGTATATAAATGCTTGCACAAACACACAAAACACATGCTAAGTGCTGCATTCAGACCAACACACAACGGCACAATCACAGCACACATGCACAGATGCACACTCGCAGCGGCACGTCTGTCGACACTTAAAAGCTTTGGAATGCAGACTAAGCTGAGGCTTCTGTGACTGGAGGTTTTTCTTATAAAGCACACAATCACACACAGCTCTCTCTATATGTATCCTCAGGCAGAGAAAAGCATAGGTTCTGCTTCAGATACTAGCAAAAGGAAACCCTCACCCACACATATCCATTATGTCTATTAGCAACTGTGCCTTTTCTGCATTCTAACAGTGGAGCGGATGGATGGTTGAATGGATTTAGTGGTGAAAAACTTATGATTTTTTTTTTTTGTAAAAATGAAAGAATTACTAAGTCAGGAGCAAAAATATGCTAAAACGTTATAATAATAAAAAAGGTCTCTCTCAGGTCTGGAGGCCTCATAGTTATGGTGTAGTGTAATACATAGCCAGCCCAGGCAGCTTCTTTACTGCAATATAGCCCAAGAAGCCCCATAGCCCAAAAAGAATTCTTAGCTACAGGGGAAGGTCCCAGTCAGCGTGGGAGGCCTCTTAGCTGCAGTGTAGCGTATCTCCAGGGGCTAGCCCAGACAGCTTCATAGTTGCGGTGTATGGCAGCTGAAGCTGCCGGCCTGGGAAGCCTCATAGCCCCAAAAGAATCCTTAGCTGTAGGGGGAACGTCCTGATCAGCTTGGTAGGCCTTGTAGCTCAAGCGAATAGTGTGATGTAGCATCAGAAGAAAATGGTTTGTGTTTTATGATTTATTTATTTCAATTCTCTGAACATCTAGCATCAAATAGCTCAACTTTATAGGCGTTGCAACACAGCACAGCTGGTAATACAGAAAGTTTCTGTTCTGTTTGCTTTCGTTTTTACACTAGTAAAATAGATTTGAAGATTAAAATTCTGCTTCATGTGCAAGAGACCAGAGATGCTGGGACCTGTTCAAAGCTAAGTGTACAGTTGCTGTAATGTAACAAAAACATGAAATGGGCAAATGTTGAATTTGCATCTTGATATGATGTGATGTGACGTGATGTGAAGTGACGTGATGTCTCTTTCTGTCCTTTAGGGGTTTGTGTGTGAGGATGTGGAGCAGCAGGTATTTATGTGTGAACAGAGTGTGGCGGGGGAGCTTGCGGCTCTGCAGTGGGAGAGAACAGAGAGGATAAGCAGGGTGCTGGAAACCCATTCTGCACTGCTGTCCCTACAGACACTCCTACTACAGCACCTCCGACACACACCCACAACACAAGAGCTTTCACACGCCATACACACACACAGCCTGGTGAGTTCACATGAATACACACATACATACATGTGAGTGCATAAACACCACATACATACAGCCAAATGAGTGCATACACACACACAGGCACTTACACTCGATGTTGATGTGTGCGTCCAGCAGCATAAACCTCCATTCCAGATAGGTCGATAGATAAATTACACTAAGAAAAACTGGAAAAGTGCATTTCCTGAAGACATTGCAGAGTGACTGCACAGCTTAAGCAATGCTCAGGTGGTCACAAGGGTGATTCCAGGCAGTTACTGTAGTGTTTTAGGTGGTTATAAGGGTGTTGCTATGTGCTTTCAGTGGTATTCCAGGTGGTTGATAGGGTGTTGTTAAACAGTTTAACCAGTATCTCTGGTGGTTGCTGAGTGTACATGTATCATGTTAAAGTTCTTAATTCATAACTAGGAATGACTAATCAATATCCAGAATTCCTTGCGTTTTCAACACACTGCAGTTTCTCTCTATCTAGGCTTTAGAGGAGGCAGAGCTTCAGCTACAGAAGGAGGAGTCAGAGTGGGAGGAGTTAGCGTTTGGACATGGCTCTGATAAAGTGCTGGCTGATGCTGCTGATGATGAGCTTGATGAAGAGATATTCAGTATGGATAAAGACTACAGAATGGCTGCAAACCTGCAGGAGGCACTCTGCAGGAGACAGGAGCTCACACACATTCTCACTGAAAGGTCAGATCTCACACATGCGCGCACACACACACACACACACACACACACACACACACACACAGAGATCATTCTTAATCCTGCAGTGGGCTGTTATCCACTGTCTGTGTCTTTGAGTGACTGTTTTTTTTTTTTGTTACAGTTACTACTCAGTGAATCCATTTCTTTTTCCACTTTGTCTTCTTCTTGCATTCTCTGTGTTATATAACAAAAAGCACATCAGACTTGATGAAGGTTTCAATACATTAAACCCGTAAAAATCACCTTGGTGTGAAAAGACCTCACTAACTTTTAAACTACAGTCATGCACAAAAAATTCTTAATGCCACCAGGCCAGCATGACACTATCACAAAGCAATGAGTTACCCTGTGTGCCACAGCCTGACTCACCCTTTATCTTGTGTGTAAATAAAGTGAAACCAATATTAATTTTTTTTGGTAAAGGATTAGAGGGTAGTATGCTGATGCATTCAATATGGAAAGAATGTAAAACTATAAATTCTACTTGTTGGCATGAAATACACAGAGGAATTGCAAGAGGGTAGCAGGATAATGTTAGCACACTGGTATGAGCGCCAAGCCTGAAAATTAAACAAAGAAGTCCTACACAAACACAAGCATCCCGAGTAACAAACAGCGTTATGTCTAAAATAATGTGGAGTCAACAGAGTAAAAGAGTCAATTCCAAGCATTTCAACTCTTAGAGTTGTTAGCCAAGAGTCAACTTTGACTTCCGGACACATGGAAGTTGAAGAATCGTCTCTCTTGGAGTCAACTCACCATTAGTACTGTATTTGAAATATTTGATTACTATAATGAATAGTTCTCTTTTTTTTTCTCATGAATTCCTGGGTTGTATGTAGAAGCTCAGTCTTGTATATCATGTGAAGTTATGAGCTTAAACCTATCAGGGTTCAATATGCTGTAGCATGCTAATGAGAGGATTACGACATGGTGTCAGGAAACATGCTTACAGCTACAGAACATACCCGCACTAACATAATTTATTGTTGATGTTTAGACTATGCAGCTATTATCTTAGGTAGATAAATGATGTCGAAATTTAAAGTTATGACGCTATCAAATTTACATTCCACATCTAATAAACTGTCAAATATGGCGTGTAGAGCTGTTCCCATAGCTGCAACTTTACCAAACATTTTTTGTGTGTGGAGTTGTTAGGTTAAGATACCTTTGCTTCGATATGATTTTTAGCACTAAAAGCTAGGGTTAGCTTAGCAAGAAGGCGTAAACAGCTTTACATACAGCCATGCAGGTTCATTCTGGCTCAGAGCAGATAAACCTGTGCTTGTTTGAATGAAGCTGTTGGTTTAAGATACATTTCAATATACTTGTTAGCACCAGAAGCTAGCATTAGCTTAGCAAGAAGGCCTAAAGAGCTTTACACACTACCACGTGTGTTTGATCTAGCTTGTTGAAGCATCACTGATGCAAGTTCTAAGGAAAAACACTCAAATCTGAGTGAGTAAACATTTGTTTTGGAGCTGTTAGCTTAAGCTATGTTTGCGTCAAAATCCTTATTAGCACTAGAAGCTAGCATTAGCTTTGTGAGAAGGCCTAAAAAGCTTTATATACAACCATGCAGGTTCATTGTTGCTCACTGAAGCTTCGCTGACGCAAGTTTAAAGAGTAAAGACTAAAATCTGAACATATAAACCTGTATTCTTGTATGTGGAGATTACCACATTAGTGAAGCAAGTTTAGAGACTGAAGACTCAAATCCGAGCAGATAAACCTGTGTTCTTGTGTGTGAAGATGTCAGCTTAAGCTACTTCTAATTCATGTCCTAATTAACACCAGTGGCTAACATTAGCTTAGCCAGAAGGCTAAACCACCAGCATTTAGGCTCACTGACACAAGTTTAGAGAATAAAGACTGTGAGCAAGTTAAATCCAGTGACTGGTGCCAGAATGACAGAAAGACAAAATATTTCTGATTATTAAAGCTATAGTGGGAACTTTGTTTCTGCTCTGTCTCATCTTTTCAAATGTATGTGGAAGGGGAGGGGTTTAGAAACAGGGTGGCAAAGGAGTATTTGTGATTTGCACAACCTGCGTATTCAAAGCTCTTCATGTTTTTAAACATTATTGAGGTTTAGGGACGCTTCTATGCTATTTTTCGTATTTTCTTGGCCATAATGTTTTTTTCCGTAATTGACATCATCAGTGACTAATCGACTTTACGATTTGTTGCTGTTCTACTGGACAGCTAAAATTTCCACTTGCGCAAACACACAGACACACACTTGTATCTCTGTAATGGTGTGTGTGTGCAGGTTGAGGGAGGCGGGGAGGAGGCGGCAGGTGATGGAGGATCTGAGGGATCAGCTGGAGTTGAAACGGCTTTACACACTCTGTGACCAGGTGACCCCACCATCGTGTGCGTGTGTTTCTGTGTGCTCACATAAGGTCTGGTTCTGCAGGATGGGTGAAGTTTAGTGGTTTGTGTTTGTGTGTATGTATGTGTGTGTCTGTAGGATTTGGTGTTATCTGCGGCGCTGGTGAAGCTCAGTGGTGTATCGGTCATGTGTCTCCAGGAGCTTCTGCGCCTTCTGCTGCCTTCACTACCTGAAGGAGAACTACAGTCACTTACAGACGCACTTAGTCCTAAAGCAGGGTAATGTCCACACACCTATGTGCACACTCTGAAGCAGACACTTATACTGTAACTTACTCACAGTTGTATGCAACACCTTGAGTCAGATTACATGTTGTGTTGGTCTTCTAAGTGAAAATAAGTTAATGCATCCTCTAAAGGGAACAAAGTTTTAGTGCAAAATTTATATTTTTTTTGCTATTCGGAAAATAAAAAAAACATAAAGTACAAATTGGTGCCATAACTTTTGCATAGGCCACATTTGCTGTACATGAATTGAATCAAAAAAAGACTGATGTGCTTTAGAACTTAGAAAACAAAACTAAAATGACTGGATGTCACTGAAGAGCAGATAAGTTTGCTCTAACCTGTAGAGAAAGTTATTCTAATCTGTGTCTACTGCTGGTAAAAAATGCTGTTTTTTTATGTGACTTGCTTTTGGCTGCACTTCTTAGAGGGCTTAACCTGCACTTCTGGAATACTGCTTTGGAATGGTGTCAATTGTAGAAAGTGTTTTATAATAAAAGTGATTTGAGCTGAATTGTGTGATGCAGGAAAACACCCGGACCCTGCAGAGAACTGGTGGACAGACTGAGGAATGACATAATCAGCAAAAACCTGTCAACCTGCAACCTGCTCACAGACAGAGAAAGGGACAGGTCAGTCCAGCAAATCAGAGAGACAAGTTTGAGATGGTCATGAAACAGAATAACAATTCAATAACGGTCCAATCTTGTGAAACTTTAATGATGAAGTGGCAACCCTCCATCTTCTACAAGACAAAGGGTTGGGAGGTTACTTTAAACATGTATTCCGGGGCTCCCAAGTGGCGCAACCGTCTAAGCGTTGGCCCTATCATCAGGACATCGCGAGTTTGATCCCTGGTGATGCTACAGCCATCCATAGCCAGGAGTCCAAGAGAGCACAATTGGCCTCGCGCTCTCTGGGTGGGTGGATGGCTGCCTTTCTCCCCCCATCACTCACTCAACGCGATGCTAGTCAGCGCAGGCGTCTGTTAGCTCTCTTCAGCAAGTGAGCAATAATATTATTTATAGTTAGTCGAATTGTCGAATTTTATAAGAATAAAATCAAATCCACACAACTTATGTGACATATTTATCGTTCAGAATGGTGAATTTCAGTGAAAGGTGAATGTTTGCATCTACATGATTTAAATACCATCGTGCTAGTAATCACCTCATTTTTATGATGTACCTGCAGTCTGATTACTGTATTTTTTACTGTAACTATACCAGAATATCCTGACTTTTGTATCCTGATCATGTCACACCATCATGTGTATTCCATTACTGCCCAACCCTAACAAAACATACAAACACACAGTAATACTTATATATACTACCTGGTAACTTCCATGTGTTTCTGTAATAAATAGTAGCACCTTCTTTACCAACAGTAACTTAGCTACAGCCATTTTCTTATAAAAACATAAATACTACTTGGATGGAAGTGGAAAATAATAAAAAGTAAAAGAAATAAATAAATAATAACTTTGCTTAAAACCATAAAGGTATACTTTGATAAAAAAAAAATATTTCAAGTGTGCTCAGTCAGCTGATATGTGTTTGGTTTGAAATGTGCTTGTTTATTTTTATTTTTGCACTAACACTAACTAGGCTAATAAGTTAGTGTTAGTGCAAATGTAGCTAATATGTAACTGAAGCTGGTACATTGCAGATTATGCAAACTGCATTACTAAATCATCTCACACTAATACCTATAAAAATAATCAAAATGCAGGTTTCAAGATAGTTTTCTACTGGTTTTAGCTAAGCAATGTACTTTTGACTGTTATTACAAATACATAAATACAGCAAACAGTACTACTATTACTGGGGGAGCTTCAAGACTGGAGAATTATAGAAGGTAATACACTCTGGAATTATTACTTAGTAGACTTGTAAAAACTACAGATGTTGCAGGTTTGTACTGGATTAAAATCACATATCTTGCCAGAAATCACTCAAATTACAGCACCTCCCCATGTAAAACTAATCCAGCTCAAATAGGGCTCTTAAGTGTGAGGAAACCCACATCAGCATTAATGTCATACATGTAAAACAGGAAACTAAATAGTTTATAACCTAATGATAATGCTTAGTTTTATTTAATATTTTTTATGTAATTAATTTATTATTAAAAAAGATAGCAAAAATGGTAGCAACAACAGGGGGCCCCAGCTTTCAAATCCAAAGATGCAATTAGGATTGCTTTTTTTTTTTCAGTAGGCAAACTATAAAATCTTAAATTGTCGCACTTGTAGCAAAAACCTGTATAGGTTTATGTCAGTTGTCAGGAATGGCTTACGTAGGTGTTGTATAGCCTAATTAATGCTGTCCTTCAGTAAAGTGCTATTTTTCATATTGCATTTTGCCCCTCAGACTTCTGAAGAAGAAGCAGAACCTTCTTGAAAAGCTGTTCTCCAGCTCTCCTGCAGGACCTTCTAAAGGCAAACTGAAGGTTTCAGAGCAAGAGAGCGAACATCAACCAAAAATCTCTACAGCACAGCAGCCAGCAACCAGCCAGCCAGTCTTCACATCTGTTAATGTAGATAAGGAATCTGCCATTGGTCCAAGGCCAGGGATGGGAGGGACCAGAAAGGACGGAGTGTGGCCAACGGACTCCACCTGTGGTGATGAGGCAGGTGTGGCCATCGAGAGTCTGGTGTCTGGAGAGAGACTGTTTATTTTCCGTAGCCCTCCACCAGCAAACCAAGAGCCCACCTCACACACTTCAGCCCACGGCCGCAGGAAGAAAAGAAGCTTCCTCAACTTTAAAAAGGGAACAGTGGCTCCTCAAGAGCAAACATGAAGGACACAGGGAAAGAGACTGATTTGTGATGTGATATGAATATGAATGACAGATTCAATACAGCAAATGTATTATTATAAGCAAGACCAGAGGCAAGACTTCATCCTTGCGATGGCTCTCTCTGACCAAGTTTTTTTAAGTGAACCAAAAGTCCTGTAGCTGCTTGCAAAAAACATCTTAAATATTTGATCTATTTAATCCCAATTTTTTTCCCCACCTTTTGAGAGTATATGAAGTTTAGTCCTTAGATAGTCTCATGACACAAACCATATCCTTTTTAAGAAATTGCTTTGAAGGCCACCCTTTGTTTATTTAATTTCAAATCAAAACTGCCATTAAGTGCAAGCTATTAAAGTTTAAATATCAGGACAAAGCAGAAGCCTCAACAACAAAATGAATATTTTTTTTCAGTATTTAATGTGTCTACCTTTTGCCAGTGGAAGGATGGACAAAACCTATGTTTTTTTTTTCAGATCTGAAGCAAGAGTGGAGCTTGATTTTCTCCTCTCTCTCAAAGATAAAAGCTTTAAGTACTGTTTATTGGATGCTGACAGTGTTGGTGGTCTACCAGGTCTTTCAGGTGGTTGTTAGGAGTCCCATATCTCCTGAAAATGATTAACTTGTACTTAATGGCTGTTTTGACTGGAAGTAAAATAAGGCTTGTCTCTTTTCCACAGTACTGTTGATGGTGGGTGTTTTTTCAATCTTAAATAAAGTTTTGGAATTTCCTCAGAAATATGTTCTTTAGAATTTTTAGAATTTTAGATGCACACATAATCAGAAATTTGCAAGGCAGCTAAGGTGTGTATGGACAGTTGCTTGTGATCTAGAACAAATCTTCCAACATCAGTACCTGAGCTCACTAATGCTCTTTTGGCTGAATGCAGTCAAATCCTTCAGGCAGTGTTCCAACATCTAGTGTAAAGACTTCCCAGAGGAATGGAGGCTGTTACTGCAGCAAAGAGGGACAAACTCCTTATTAATACTCTTGATTTCAGAAGAAACGTTGAATGAGCAGGTGTCCGTAGACTTGTGGATTTACATACTGTTTTAATAAAACAAAGGTGCCACAAAGGTTCTTTGAGTGATGCCATAGACGGACCGACTTACGTTCCCTAAAGAACCATGTTTAAAAAAGAGATTTGAAAGTGTGAAGAATCTGTTAAAGGCTTCATGCATTATAAAGGTTCTGTAAACATTCTGGAAACTTTAAAAGATTCTTCACATTCACACATCTCATTTACAAAATGGTTCTAAAGTACCATCCACTGGAAGACTCAAAAGCATCACTCAAAGGACCTCTTCTGGCACCTTGACTGTAGTGCAAACAACTGTCTAAATAAATAAAAATATAAATGCAATTAATTCTAGTCATGATTTTTGAGGTTTGGAGGTTGGAGGTTGTTTCAGATATCTGAAATTTTGTAGGGAGGACAAAGTAGGAGGCTGGCGATCTATAAATAAATTTGGAGAAAACTTCCTTTGTATTAGGTGCTGTCATTTGGGCCTGAGATTTTAATGAGATCCCATAAGACCTAATTCACCCATGACCTCTTTAATTAAGCTGGAATCTAAAGAAAAGACTGAAAGGAAAACGGTTTCAAACACACAGGACACGTACTAAAAATAATAGTGTGTGCAAACCTTATAAAAAACTACAAGAAACGTCTGACTGCTGTGCTTGCCAACAAGGGTTTTGCCACCAAGTATTAAATGATGTTTTACTAGGGGGTCAAATACTTATTTCCTTCAATGAAATTCAAAGTAATTTTTATTTCTCATTTCATGTAATTTTCTCAGTTTTTCTTTTGATATTCTATGTGTCACTGTTAAAATAAAGCTGGCATAAAATTATGAGACGTTTCATTTATTTTTTTGTATTAAAACTTTTAAAGTCAGTGGGGGATCAAATACTTATTTCCTCCACTGTATGTAAATAGTTTATAGTGCCATTTCATGATCAGATACTAACACTTTTTTACTTTTGTTTGTGCAGTTGCTCATGTGTGAAAGGCAGTTACCACCACAATTCAACACCCAGCTAAATATTAGGCCCTTCATGAGTGTGAAGAAAAACTAGAAGTTTATCATTAGTTCTTTCTGGTGCTTATTTAACCCGTGAAAGTCAGTGTGAATTGACGTATTTCCAAGTAAAACGTTATTGGGGGCTCCCTGAGGTAGCAGGGAGTAAATTCATTGAATTCATCAAATTTTATTAAAGAATTTTGTCTTTTAAATTATATACAATGCAGAAAAGTAGTAGTTATGTTCAAATTAGGACATTGGGTCAACAGTTTTTTTTTTTTTTCTGAAATCTGGTCATTTTGTTGTTTTCATTGCTTACTTTTATTCAATTATAATGAGATATTCAGCTAGTGATTTTAGAATGCGGCACAACAGTACTGCAAGTAACACTAGCCAAGTTCCTGTCAGCATTTCAAACCGCCCACCTGCTTGGAATAAATTTGACTTCTTGTGTTTGTATTATTCTGGCCAACTTTTTTTTCTGCTTTTGCCACTGCAGTCCATCATCTTGTAATGTAGAAAAATGACTACATCTTTCAGCAATTTTAAAAATCACTAAATGATCACTGATGATGATGAATATGTAGTGAAGGTGTCCCATAATTGTATGAAAAAAGTTGTTTTAAGCTTCAACAAAGACCTTTAATAAAATCAGTCTGTATATTTCTATTTGGAACATCCTACCGAATTAGTTCATACTGCAGTCACACAGTAAATAAAAGTACAAACACTACTTTACAATATGGCTACCTCTATAAAGAATTTGTTAATAAGCAGTCAACAAAAAGAGGAACAGTGACCCATGCTTGTCAAATAATGAGCTCACATTCATCTATACCAGGGGTCTTTAATTAAAATTCAATAAGGTCCAGTTCAAGAAAATATCCTCAAGCAAAGGTCCGGAACATCATAATGTCTAACTTACATCATGATTCAGTGCCATATACTGTATACTGAAGTAGCCTAGTAGGTATATCAACATCTTAGGTAGTCAACAACTAAATGTCAGATCAAATAAAGTACAATCTAGTAATATTTCAACAACATTTATTGTCAGTTTTCTATTTTAGAGCACGCCTTGTGAAATAACATCCTTCTGACTCACTTTCTTCGCCGACTGCTGTTTCTCACCTCGTCCCTCCCCTGTGTGTGCGTCAGTCACTCGAGTCTCAGTCTCATCGTAAAGCACAGGTCTGATTGGCTGAGTAGCGTCACGTGTGATATTTATAATTCATGCGATTGGTCTGTGAGAAATTAAATAATTCTCCATAGTTATCAATTATAGGTCCAGGTCCGCATAGGACAGCGTCTGGGTCCAGACTTGGACCGCAGTCCGCCTATTAGTGACCTCTGATCATACTGTTAAACCTCAGATCTTGCTGGTTACTTGTCTTACTTTGTCTTCTCCATCAGTCTGCATTAAACCGGTCAGATTCATCAGATATTTGTTATTAAGTTACGCCCATTCAACCAACAACAGGTTGTTTATTCATCAGATCATGATAATTTGGCCTACATTTAACATATGAAATGACTAAATTCACATCCTTAAGGTTTTAGTAATATTGTTTACCTTCACATTCTCTGCATGCTATCTGCCATCATCCTCATGATTGTGACAAATATTGATATAATTCTGCCAGGTGGTAATGTACACTGCAAATGTAGGTGGTGTTACTGTGGTCCTTGGGGCTGGGTGGCATCTTCTTTAGGACAGCATTCCAGTGGAGGCATTAATGGTACCCTTCCTTTGCTGTTTTATTGCTCACTTATTCTCAGACATCTGTGCTCTGCCTGAACCATCCTTGATATCTGTTCTAAATGTTATTACTCTGCTCCCAGACCATCATATGGATTTCTATTTTGCACCTGCTGAATCACAGATTTGAGGTTTTTCTGAGTGGTTTGATATTTCTCAAATGACATGGCGTGTGGTAATGTGTTTCTAACATGTATAACCACCAAATAAGTCTTATTATAAAGTGTAAAACAAACTGGCATTTGTTAATGAGTTACTAACACTTATAACCACCAAAAAGGAGCTTTATTGTAAAATGTAGTAATGAGTTACTTATACTTAAAAGACTCATGAAGAAGAAGATAAGTAGCCAGTAAAATCAGAGGTTTAGGAGTGTGGATGAATGTGGGCTCATTATTTGGCAAGCAAAAGATCACTGTTGCCCTTCTTATGTGTTGAAACTGACTTTAATGCAAGCCATTCTTAGGTTATTGAAATGTGTAATAAAGCTTTGGGCCCACCATTTCTGGGGAATGGACAATCTATGACAGATCTACTTTTTATGGCTTTTCTGGTCCTCTGAGAGCTTTCAGCAGACAGAGGGTTGTGGCCCCATTTGGGGCAAGGCTGAGCCAGTGCTTTGGACACTATGTTGTTTGTGCCAGCCAGCAAAGATGATGACATCCAAGGGATGCAGGCCGAGATTCAGATGGCTAGGGTGGCCATCAGTTGTGGAAATGCTGGAAATATCGGAAGAGGTGACCTGGGTCAAGCTATTTCGGCCAAGAGAGAAAGCATTCAGACCAGGGTACAGTCCAAGCTGGAGGATGGTGGGGAGGATGATCTGTCATTTTGAGGCTCATCATTGAGGCTGAGATCCAGAGGAGTGTCAGTAGTTTCAGGAATCGCCCCCTCACTCAGGCCTGCGGTGCCTGGCTGAGGGGCCTGGCTTTGCGATGTCAAGGCTGAATTAGTTCTGGGCTTGGAAGCAGAGCTCCTTTTAGCCTTGATCTGCAAAATATGACTTAAGTGGATCAGGAGCTTAAGTGCCCTCGGCAGAAGCAGATGTTCTGGAACACTTCTTACTGGAAAAGTAAGAAGACAAAGGCCCTTTTGCATGCTTGATAGGTATTCAGCTGCCAGAGATCATCAGTTTTGGTCCTGGATGTCCAGAGTCCAGCACAGTTTGGTGACTTCCAGCTTTAAGTAGCAGACCTTCTGAAACCCGTAGAAGTTAAGCTGGCATATGATACTCTTCATAACTATGGTGTTGAAGATGTTTGACTCTCCCTGTCTGCTAAGAATTTCACTCATGAAAAGCTTGTTGTCAGTGATGATGCAGGTTCCTTGCTGGTCCCATCTGATCAACCTATAGATCTTGTTCTCCATGATGAGCCACAACTTCTGTAGAAAGGTCAGTGTGGAGACATTTACCTGCACACCAGTCATCCTGCTATTGCAGAGTGAGACGTGGCCCTGGGTCAGAAGGGAAGGTTGCTGGGTAGTTAAGCTATCTGGCTAGCCTAATGGTAAGCCTGAGTATTCATTTAATGCCCTTTTTTCACTGTCAAAATTTGGCTTGGAACAATTTCTTGCAACATTTTTTTTCATACATTTAAAGTAACAAAGTTATGGAACTGGAGCTTTGGCTTATTTGCAGCTGCCTTCCTAACTAGCACACTTAGACCCTTTAAACACACACACACACACACATATTCTAAACTCGGTCACAGGGGTAGCCTATCCCAGCTGTCATTGGGTTGAAGGCAGGATTAGACCTTTACAGTTCGAGGAAAGTCATGCCCAATGTTTCCAGCAGTACATTTAATAATAAGAGCAGAACCAAAGTTCCGTTTTTGATCTATTAGCTTTAGTGCCACATTAAGTTAGCCAGCAAATTTACAGTCCAGGGAACATCATCCAGTCTTAATCAGGGAACATTATGTTGACCGGGGATTTTACTATTTCTTGATGTTATATTAGACATTCAATTGAGGTAACAATTGAGGTATATATATGAAAACAGAGCTGGATTGAGACTTGTTTTCAAACCGGAGTTACATGATGCAAATCAACCCACCCCAAACTGTAACTGTATTTCTGCTGCTACTTACACACAAACACACATACACAGCATTACCTTCGTCTAAAATAACTTCTTCTAAAATCTGTGCATTTTTCTGTTCATTTCTTTCTCTAATTTATTGTTTATATGCTACACTGAGATAACCGCAGTGGCTAGTGGTAGAACGAAAACTAGCAAAAGTTTTTATCTTAAATGTTACATAATCGTGACAGTCACAATCATCTTGGTATTTTGCAGTTTTTGCCTCTGATGTCCATGATTCACATCTGAAAACTGCTACATCGGAAATGGAAAAAAAAAAGAACTCTGTCTGCTGTATTAGTCCATACCAGATTCGGTACACCATTCTCTTAAGGCTGATGTTAATTTCTTTCCCGAATTTATGTTCCACCTTAATAGTGTAGCAGTTTCAAACTAGATATCAGAATGTAACTCCATCATTTAAGGTGGAACTGGAAGTGAAAATAAGAGCTGTGGCTGTTTGACTTGAGGAACATCATCCAGTATTGACCTGGAGACATCAAATCGCTGTGTGAACCCAGATATTGTATTCTATTGTGTTAACATGATAGCAGCACATTAAATAATAGCAGTTGTAGAAAAGTAGATTTATGAAAATTTATGTACAAGCAAACTTCCTACTTACTGTCTTAAGCCTTCTGCTTAGTCTCACAGTATGAACTTCTTTTCACTGTATCTATAGTTTAGTTTCAAAATAAAGGTTTGGTTAAAAAGCTTTGAACTCCTGGCAAGCTGCTTAGCTTCATAGATCAGTGAAGCCTAAGGGTTCCCATCACCATAGAGCCTTGGGTTGAGGCTGGCTTCCAGTATTGGCCCTTTAATGTATCCCACTACTTTAAAAGGACTCAATAGAGGCAGAATTCTTAAAGTTTTTCATTTTGAATCAAAGATATTTTTATTTCAAAGTAAAGGTCAGGTTTCTAACCTGATTGC